TGCTTATTACGGACTTATAATTCTTGGTGATTTAGCAAAGTAATTAAAATTGCTAAGTAATTGGCTAATCTATTCGAATTTGTAAATATATACTGTATGATATTTATTTAAGTAGTTTTAACAATTATTTTAAATAAACTCATGTACATTTTGTATTGTAGATTTCATTCGAACTTTGGGTTTTTTGACTGAGTTATGATAGGTCAAGGTAAGCGGGGCGGAATAGGACAGAAACCCTATAAACTTGCAACGGAAAAATTTAGTTTCAAAGACTCTTAAGTGGTTACGTTTATTTAGAAACTTATCATTGTTGGATTTATAAATATTGCTTTCAATTTTAAGTAATATATAATTATGACAAGGGCGCTTAAATATTAAAAGTTTAAATTCCCAAATTCAATGCATCGATTATAAAAATTTAGTTCCAATCAAAATTAATTGAAATCTTATCACTCTACTCAACAATGATGGTTTTGTTTTTACAAAATTAAATTAAGGTAAGTTCGTATTTTCCACGAAACTAAAATTTTATACCAAATTTTCTTTCTTGTTTAATTTTAATTTAATTCTAGATATTTTACTGACAAAAATTAATAGTTTATTAAAAAAAACAATTTTAACTAAATACCATTAAACAGTGTTTCTTTTCACTGTTCCAAATATCAATTTCTTGGAATGCTACCGAATATGTCGCCACCTTGACTACCCTTATATTATTGTTGTGTACATTTGACATCAAAGTTTCACAGGCATTTGCAGCTTAACGTCAAAGATCTAATTTTAACAATGAGTAATTATTCAGAGTTTTTTAAGAATGTTTTTAGCGACATAAGCCGTCGTTCTGCCTATTCGCAAATGTTAATTGGCGTAACATCAGGATGGTAAGTGTTGCATCATTGCGGCCTATTCTAAATCAATAAACTTCACAGGATATTTGCAGACATTTTTTTAATCCGTTCATTGCGTTTATGCTTTTGTGATTACATTATATGTAAACGCTTAGAATATCGAACAGACTAATGATATAGTGGTCTACTGCATTGTCAGATTTTATGACTTCATAATGCTGTGATTCATTCGCCGCATAGGCCATTTTGTTGTTGGTTTTTATGTTTGTGGCAATGTAATGTGTTTAATATAAAGTCCTGTTACAATTGTATCATAATTCCACAGGGCCACTGGCTTCACAACAATGAAAATTGGAAAATTCGCCGCCTTTGCCGTTGGCGGCAGCATTATTTTGTTGGAGATCGCACACCAGGAGGGGCTCATCAAAATAAACTGGACTAAGCTCGATAAAAGCGTAGACAGGCTGGCCGACAAAGTTGAATCGTCGCTGGGTCGCGAGAAGAATTGGAAAGAAAAGGTAAGTTTTCAACAAAAAAGGCATATTTTAAGGTCACCGAGAGTATGTTATATTTTTGCATATTCCTTTGCAGACCGAACGATTTGTGGACAACAAATTGGATAAGGCCGAGAGTCTGCTAACAAGAAATGGCAAAAAAGCAGCCAAATGGTATTCCAAGCTCATCGGCGACGAGGAAGGACCCAAAATCAACGATCTGCACATCTTTTTGGCATCCTTCTTCGGTGGCGTTGCTCTGGGCATCGCCACGGGCTAATACAATTGTCAAGTGCCACAAAGAACACACTTAAATACATAACATAAATACCATAAGGTTATTAAACGCAAATCTCACCCAATAAAGAACACAAAACGAAACGAAATACGTCGTAGAATGCGCCTCCCCACCTACTTATATTCTCAAGTTTTTCTTTTATTTTACTCAAATTCTTAGCTCCTACTTATATGTTACAGTCCATTCTTGTTCAAAATACATGCGAAAGTACGGATACGTTTACATTTCTGGATTACTGGTTTTAAAATGGCCTTCGTGCCAGGTTTTGAGACGGTTCGAGATGTCGGTGAATGTTGGACGCTTCACTGATTGTTCATGCCAGCACTCGATCATCAGTGAATAGACGGCAGTGGGACAGTTTTCCGGAGCGGACAACAGTTGCCTTGAACGGATTAAATTGATCACTTCCTGATTGCTGAATCCATAATATGGCTGCAATGAAGATATTCATAAGTTTTGAGACTTTCAGGTGAAATACTTCTATGTATATTTACCTGCATTCCATAGCTGTAAATCTCCCAGAGAACGACGCCAAATGACCAGACATCGCTTTCCGTTGTAAACTTTCCATATAATATCGATTCGGAGGGCATCCACCTGACAGGTAACAAAGACTTTGACTGAACCCTGTGAAAAGCATACAATGTTAACGTTATTTTCACAAGTGTAACTCAGGCAATTGCAGCTACCTATAGTAATCCGAGCTATAAATATCCCTGGAGAGTCCAAAATCGGATATTTTCACTATCAATCCCTCATTCACCAGACAGTTGCGAGCCGCCAGGTCTCGGTGAACGTAGTGGTGTGCCGACAAGTACTGCATTCCCTCGCTTATCTGCAATGCTATTTGCAGGAACTCCAGTTGCGTCAAGGACTTGCCTTCGGTGGGTGAGTTTGAGATAAGGAACTCGTGCAGGTCTCCATTGGCCATGTACTCGAACAGCATGCAGTAGGGCTCCTTGTTCAGCACCACTCCCAATATGCAGACAATGTTCTGATGCTTCAGATCCGATATCAGTTCGATTTCCCGCTTAAAGTCCTGCTGTGTCTTTAGCGAGGCGTTCTCCTTCAACGCCTTGATAGCGACCGTGATGGTGCTTTTGTTCGGCTGCAAAAGCTGTCCTTTGTATACTTTTCCTGAAATATTTATTTACATTTACATGTCTGGGTTCTATTCTCGGTCTCTCAATTAACTCACCAAAGGCTCCTTCGCCCAACTCTTCCAGGAACTCAACGTCTTGGAGTGTAAAATGCGAAATTCTCAACAGTGTGTTTCTCTCAATGAGCTTGGAGTTCAATGCAATATGATCGGTTAGATTCCCCAAATTGGTTCTGGCATTATCCTGACCAGAATTAAGCTGCGAATTCCCATAGATGTTCTTATCGGCGCTGGGTGTATTAATCTGTTAAATAAAGTAATTAATTCCTTTCTCCTTATGGAAACGTACACTTACATTATGAATATTCCTCATTCCGTAGTGCATGATTTTACGCCGTTTAAATATTATAAAAGCAATTATTATTATACAGATCAATATGATGGCCGCCGTCGTCCCGACAATGGCAATCCAGATTTTATCAGCGCACTTGGGAATATCGCATGGTTCTATAATGCGCTCATGAGAGGAGTCTACAAAGCACCAAGGACTGTCTTCCACACTTCCGGGATTTCTAGGAAGATGTATCAAATGAATGAAATATATATGTACTATAAACCCTCTTGTTTTACCTGCAATAATTCTGACCGATTAGCTCGGGAAAGTCGGAAATTTCCTTCATCAGCCAGGACCACCTTAGGCATGGCTTTCCCGACACCGATACGTTAGCTACTCCTCTGTAGCTAGACCCGTCCTCCCAGTAACAATTCTCGGCCTTGTCCACCTCAATGGTTATGCCCAGGGACAGGCAATCCTTGTGTTGCGGCAACTTTTGGCAATCTTCGACGCCAACCACTCCAATTACCGGATGACGTTTGGCAATGGCATACTCCTTTTGGCAGAGTTCGTTCTCCAAAAGCTCACACTCCTCGCGACAGATGCGCTTAAGGTTCTCAGACTCTCTCGTTGGCGGATATTTACTCGAAATATCTGTGCTGAACACATCTTCGTAAATGGTGGATTTCTTTTTGAAAATATTTATGCTTTTCATGTCCTTGCTTTTGGTCCTCTTGCGGCGTATTGTAAAATTCGAGTTCTTACTGTACTGCTTAGCATTCGTAGCCACATTGGCAAAATACAACAGATTCGTTCGCTCCGGAGTACGGCAAATCGGCATGGAGCTAAAGCACAAGCTTGGCAGTGCATACATCCGACAATTCGCATTCATATCCCTAAACATTAAGGAATTAGTACGGATTACAACAAATATTAGAGTAGACCTACTTTGATTCCTTGATAACACCATAGGCGGCCTTTAGTCGCTCCTCCAAGGAATTCATGGTGAGATTGGGCGATACAAAAACATAGGCATTGCTTAGGACTTCGCGGCAAATAGTGCCATTGTATAAGTGACAAATTCCTGACGATTGTTGAAACCTGGTTGTGAAACAAAAAATAATTTGTTAAGAGTATATTTTTTATTTAAAAATACACCGAAATTTGAATGTAACATTTAAAAATCTTTTTAAAGCGTGGTGTATTTTTTGCAGGATTCAGCATATTTTAATTTTAAGAGTTTTTGCAGTTTCCTCTTTTTAGAAAAATAACTTTACATTAATCAAATTATTTATAAAAGTTTAAAGGATTATATTCTATTTTGTATGAGTTCAATTAAATAATTAAAATGGAAAACATAAACAATTTATATCCATGGAAACCAAAAAGCCTACCAGATATAAAGAACACATTTGTTTGCTTCTTTTTTTTTGTAAGAATCTAAAAAACCTACCCGTATATTCCTGTGCCCACATTGGTCGTTGTCTGCACCTTCCTTGTGTATAAAATAAGGATTAGCAAAAAGCTCACAATAAATGCTGTATTTTTGGTCATTTTGCAAAGCGCTGGGCTAAACAATATACTATTTTTGTTATTGCAATTTACTAATTGACATGACGACCCTGCGGAAAATATTTTTGTATTTGTCCTTTCGCGAAAACCTGATACATTTTCATCCCTTTGCGCAGAATATGGGGTTGCTATCGGCTGCCTGACGATGTATCGATAATCCTTAAAGTGAAATGTGAATATAAATAAACATAAAATAAAATTTTAAATAATAAATTAAAAAACAAAAGTATATTTTCGTATTTTCATTATTAATTACCATTTTATATTAATTTTCTGTACTTAATAAGACCGCTTATCATATGTTATTTATAAATAAACACAAAATGATAAGACCTAAGAAACAAAAACAAAGACGAACGTTTTCTCCATTGATAGGGAAATATTTTGCGTTTAATATCAACAAAGTTTTTGGTACGGAGCACAATTCAATTAGTAAGTTGTCATTTAATTATCACCTACACCTGACGAATCAATGGCAAAATTTTGGTTACTCCGCCGCACTGTCCACATTTTCCGAAGAAAGAAAGCCAACGAGATCAAAGGCGGACTTCTCGCTGATCCAGAAGAGTCCAACGATTAAGGCTTCGAGCATACCTGTTATTATATATATATTATATATATATTATATATATATTATATATATATATTATTATATACCTGTTATTGCCCCAGCGCAGATATCCAGGACATAATGGCGCTGAAGGATAAGTCGCGAGATCGCCACACTAACAGCCCAAGCAGTGATCGGCATAAGGAACACAATGTGAAGGGGATACAGCTTTGCGAAGAACAGAAGCACGAAGAACGCCCGGGAGGCGTGACCGGAGGGAAAACTGAACTTGTCCGGACCTATTGCCATCATATCCTTGCTAGCCACCGGCCGGCGTCGCCGCACGAGCGCCTTCAAAACGGCCACGACAACAACATCGAGTACTAGTCCAAAAAGCATATTCACTTGCATCTGATACAAGTCTTTTGAGCTGAGCAGCCAAATGAAGGCAAACCACGATGCGAACCAGGCGACCCCATGGCAGGATATTTCGAGAAACTGACTGTGTATTTTCAGAGATTTGAAGAACGACAGGTTGGACACTGCGACCACAAAGTGCTTCGACACCTGCACATCCTTTTCCAGTAAGAATTTAAGGGCCGGTGATGACTGCAAATACAAAATAGAGGTTGTAGTTTTTATTACTTTGTGAATCATCTCCGGAATCACTGAATTTGTGAATCACTAACCGTCTTCATTTCGCCGTTCTGTCTTTATTGTTTTTATTTATTGTTAGAGATGAGATGCAATAAAGTAGTATTCGATGTTTAGTCGATAACAAATAGTTTCAAATTGGGAACGGTGGGGTTTGAAACACTGGAGTGTTTTAATATTTGCACTTTAATCTACGCAACGAAAACGATTACTTTTATAAGATGAGCTTAAAAGATTTTTATTTTGCATGTGCATTGAAATACTTTCTTCATATTAAACCGGTTTTTTATTTTAATTTTATATTTTGGCTCTTGGGCCTGCTCAGCTCTGGTCACACCATTTGACATTGTTGTGATCGAATATTCCAATAGATTTTCGTAAATTGTATCTATGTACAATTATTGTGACGTGAATGCGAAACATATATGTGCGGAACATAGTTATTTCCATAATTTCCAATATCGTCATACAAATCGGAAAATGTACGCGACTCTTAGTGCCCAGTGTTTAGAATAGGATAAGCGTAAAAATCGACTTTGTGCTTCGATAAGAAAATCTGTACATTTCTTGCATTAATTGGTAAATAAATATTCTATTACGTTATTCCCATACAAAATACCGAGTCCCGGACTCACACAGACGTGTAATAATCGATACTGATATGAAAGACAATTGTGCCGGTAATGAAAAAATTATTGATATTTAACAAAAAATGTCATCCTCCAGAAGTGTATGTACCTATACATGTATGCGCATATATACATATATCTAACATTTACAAGATATACATAATGTCATTACCAGGAGGCCGCTATCGCTATCTTGCCTAGAAAAGACGCTCACACCACTTTCTTTTTTAAATACATTTAAGCCAACCTTCCAGATACATTCTGTTTTTTCTTGAGATGCGTTACAATCTTCCCCGGTACACAACGTAGGTACATATTTACGGGCCGCGCATACATACATATAAACTTATGTACATCGAGTGGTCCAACATTCCGTGCTTTTATGTTTAAGCCCGACTATCGATTTTAAATAACTTGGTCTGTGCGTGCGTGCGGCGAATCTTTTTCCAAGCGGATTTGATTCAGTTTTATTTTTTCGTTTAAGTTTTTAACAATTGTACAGTGTGGCTCGTGGATCCCTTTATCTGTTATCACCAAAGGTGTTCAGTACATGCTATGTGTGTATAAAGACAATTAAATTGATTACCGCCTCAGTTATGCAATTGTATTTTTTTTAGTTGTAACTCAATGTAATATTTTCATTCGTCGCTTTCCTAACTCTTGGAGTTTCTGGGGTTTTCGCAAAAAATCGCACCACACCACGCCATTAAGTCTGCCTCCCCGCAACGCCCTTCGTGACGACATAGGCCCATTAAATGTCCACAACATTCGGCTCGATACAACGGCCAGTCAGTCAGCCAGTGAAGTTAATGTTTTCCTACCCTCTAATCCACTCCGAGAACAGTTGTTACTCTGTCGAAATATTCTGAAAACTACCCCACTCCACTTTAATAGCTGGAGAACCCTATACTGTCAGGGCAGAAAAATTACTATGTGTATCTATTTAAAGAAGTGGAACTTATATTGATTTATTTTACTCGAATTGGAAATTTTAACACTTTCAGGCCGATATGCTCCTTGCTTTCAACTGAAAGTAACAAGTAAACCGTTTCAATGATGGCCGCACAGCACCAGCACTACACCGTTGAGGTGGGTGATACCAACTTTACCATTCATAGTCGGTACATTAACTTAAGGCCGATCGGTTCCGGTGCTCAAGGAATAGTATGGTAAGTTGATCATTATGTCTACCATCATATCCTCAATAGTCCCATAATAATATAATTAAACAATTTTGATAAAATAAAATTATTCTTAAGGGAAATTTTCACTTGAAAACTTTTCCCATGCCAATTAAATATGATGTATTATTAAACATTATTTTAGCGCCGCCTACGATACTGTTACCGAGCAAAATGTGGCCATTAAAAAGTTATCTCGACCATTCCAAAACGTTACCCATGCCAAGAGAGCTTATAGAGAATTTAAGCTAATGAAGCTTGTTAACCACAAAAACGTAAATATATAAATGGTTACCGAAAATGACAATACAACTGTTAATGAATCATCTTTCCCTATTAGATTATTGGCTTACTTAATGCTTTCACTCCCCAAAGAAACTTGGAGGAGTTTCAGGATGTTTATCTTGTCATGGAGTTGATGGACGCTAACCTCTGCCAAGTTATTCAAATGGATTTGGATCACGATAGGATGTCGTATTTGCTTTACCAAATGTTATGTGGAATAAAACACTTACACTCAGCTGGAATTATACACAGAGTAAGCATGCCAATAATTATTGATTAAAATCAATCAACTTTGCTCTCATTTTTCGAAATGCTCTCTTTAAAGGACTTAAAACCATCCAATATAGTTGTAAAGGCAGACTGCACTCTAAAAATTTTAGACTTTGGTCTTGCACGCACCGCAGGCACCACCTTTATGATGACTCCATACGTGGTCACCAGATACTACAGGGCCCCAGAGGTCATATTGGGAATGGGCTACACCGAGAATGTGGATATTTGGTCCGTGGGCTGCATCATGGGTGAAATGATACGCGGAGGAGTACTCTTCCCAGGAACGGATCATATAGATCAGTGGAACAAAATTATTGGTAACTAATGGTGCGAATCGTTGAGATTTATCTACATTATTCACTTACTTTTCAGAGCAATTAGGCACACCTTCGCCCTCATTTATGCAGCGGTTACAGCCAACCGTCCGAAACTATGTAGAGAATCGTCCTAGATATACTGGATACTCATTTGATAGACTCTTTCCCGATGGATTGTTTCCAAATGATAACAATCAGAACAGCCGCCGGAAGGCTTCTGATGCTAGAAATCTTCTCAGCAAAATGCTCGTCATTGATCCAGAACAGCGGATATCGGTGGACGAGGCTTTGAAGCATGAATATATCAATGTTTGGTATGATGCTGAGGAAGTGGATGCTGTAAGTAAACCAAATGTATTTATTTCTAATCCAAGTTGAAGTTCTAACGAAATGTAAATTATTTCAGCCTGCTCCGGAGCCCTATGATCACAGTGTGGATGAGAGGGAACACACTGTGGAGCAATGGAAGGAGCTAATTTATGAGGAAGTTATGGACTACGAAGCTCACAATAATAGAACGCGGTAGAAATCGACTTTTTCCTCCTTAGTCAGTCATAATACAAAAAACCTAAAGCTTACCAAACAATGCGGCATGTGTTGTTAAATTATTACAACAAATAAAATATTCAAATTGTATTTAAAAATATAGTAACCATTAAAGAAATAAAATCAATATACAAAGCATAATTTCTTACTTCAAGCGCCTGAGATTATTTATTCTTGACGGTATTTGTTGTTCATTAAAAGTACTGCAAGGATATGCATCGAAACAATGAAAATATTCTGGAAATATAAACCTGTTTTAAGCTAAAGATTTAAAACACACTTGGGGACTATTATGAAATATACGAATCTATTTCCTAAATAAACAATTAGTACAGTAAAATTACCGTTAAAGTAAACTATATTTTTTAATTTTCAATAATTATCTTTTGTTTAATAAAGAAATTTAAAAAAAAAATATAAAAGTTACTTTTTAAAATAAAAACATTTAACGAATGTTGTTAAAGTAAAAAAGTGAAAAGTATTCGATAAGTCCGTGGTTTCGATAGTTGCCTATCCCCAAGTGCGATAGCTGTAAAGTGTCATCGCGAATAAATGTGGGTTTGATAATAAAGAATTGCGTTGAACAATAATAATACAAATCCTAAATGTATCGAACGGAGTAATTGCAATTACTAATAAACGAAGTGTTAGTGCCGCAAGCAGCAAGATACTTTAGGTAATAAATGCCATTAGTTGATTTGCTAGCGAGGAATAATACGCCATGCCATATGTATATTTGCATTACATACATACATACAGAGCGAATAACGTAGATACATATGTATGTAAGATGTGTTAGAATTCCTCAGATATATACATACATATATATTTATGATGCTCATCTATAAAACAAAATATGTACAAGCATACATATGTTCGCGTGTAAGTGTGTGTGTAATGAATTGAGCATCAGCCTCATTGGTGCACTAAGCATTACGCAGAAAAAATTGAAATAAACAAAGTGTAAAGTGCGGCCAATTATGGATTCCATCGCTTACAACAACTCACCGATTCTAATCTTTTGTCGAGCGCTGGCTCTGGCGCTGCCGTGCAATTATTGACATAAACGACGTAATTGCGTACTATGTATGTTTGTATGTATGGTGATGTTTGATGTTGATAGTCGGGAAGGCAAAAGGATGTGGCTGAAACTATGAGATAAATGCAAATTTTATGCGTTTTATGATTTTGCAAATTATAAATGTGTCTTAATCATGACAACAGTGAAAGCGAAAGCAATCTGAGAACAAAACCTAGGCTCTCAAGTGATGAACGTAAACAGATGTACATCATTGAATTACATCACATGTTGCCTACATTACAGGATAATGGCATCTATTTCGGACGACGGAATGGTCCTCAGCGGCTACCAGAAAAAATTGAAGACCATGAAGAAGAAGTTCTTTGTTTTGTACGAGGAAACGTGCAACACCACAGCACGCTTGGAATACTACGACACGGAAAAGAAGTTCCTGCAGAAGGCAGAGCCAAAGAGGATTATATACTTGAAGAACTGCTTTAATATCAACCGCCGCCTGGATACCAAGCACAGATATGTCATCGTGCTGTCCTCCAGGGAAGGCGGCTTCGGCATCGTGCTGGAGAGCGAAAACGATCTGCGCAAATGGCTCGATAAGCTGCTTTTCCTCCAAAGGAATATAGCCAACACCAATGGTCAGGTGTTCTCTACATATGGTATGTGTCTTTAGTATACATGTTTTTCTAATCATTTTGTGTTCACACATTTTAAATTGTTGCAGACCATGTTTGGCAAGTGATTATCCAAAAGAAGGGACTGGCGGAGAAGGTGGGAATCACTGGAACCTATCACTGCTGCCTTAGCTCCAAGTCCCTGACGTTCGTGTGCATAGGACCGGAGAAGACCCCCAACGGCGATCACCGAGTGGCTAGCATTGAAGTTCTACTTACAACGATACGGCGGTAGGGAAAAGCCTTTGAAAATGAAACCTATAGCTTAATATTTAAATATAATATCACTCCAGATGCGGCCATGCATCCCCGCAATGTATTTTCTATATGGAACTCGGCCGGCAGAGTGTTTTGGGCTCTGGCGAGCTGTGGATGGAAACGGATAATGCAGCAATAGCGACAAATATGCACAATACGATATTAAGGTAAGGAAACACACCTAGCTCCTTTTCTTTACTCATCCTTAATTATTTTATTATATTTTTGCAGCGCCATGTCAGCTAAAACCGAGTCGAATGTAAATTTAATAAACTCCTTTCAAGCTAGACCAGATTTTAGTAATGTGCCAATGAGACAACGCTCATCGTCGGCAAACGAAGCCTCAAAGCCCATAAATGTTATTCATAATCGCCAAAAGTCACTCGAACTGCGCAACTGTAGTTCCCCCCATAATTATGGTAAGCCTGTTTAAGGAAAGAGACACGTTTCCCAATTAAATATACTCTCCGTTCAAGGCTTTTCGCGTGAGAGATGTGACAGTTTACCGACTAGAAATGGCACCCTCAGCGAGTGCAGTAATCAAACATACTTTGGATCGAATCATGGACTGAGATCCAACACCATTTCTGGCATCCGTCCGCATTCGTCATCCAACAAGCACCATAGCAATAGTCCAACGTTCAACATGCCATTAAGATGCTCCGAATCCGAAGAGTCGTCAATTAGTATAGACGAATCTGATGATAATGGAAGCTTTAGCCACTACCGACTAAAGTGAGTTTCATTGTCATCATAATAAATAATAAAGTACATATTTAAAACATTTTTCCACAGCACTCGTTCGTCGAAGAGCGCTATACCTGAGGAAAACCTTGATGACTTTGTCTGTGCCGAATCCAGCAAAGTCACTGGACTAAGTGGTGAGCTCTTTACCAGAATGTTACATTTTTTCAAATTAATGTTTATTTATTGTGAGTTTAGAAAGTGACGAAACCTATACCATGATGACTCCCATTAAACCAACCAACGAGGAAAACGAAAAGGTGGAATTGCAAAGGGTTGAAGATGCCAATTTGCATTTCAACTTTCCCGAACACATGTCCGAAAAGCTAGCCAAGGAATTGGATTTGGATTCGGATAATCAGTTAGTATACAATATCCTACAATGTTATAGTTGTTTCCACTGATTGCCTACTCCTTTTCCCATAGGTGCGGACGTCCCATTCGTGCCTACTCTATAGGCAACAAAATTGAGCATTTAAAGATGAATTCACGACATGGCTATATAAATGATACGGGGCAGAATTCGAACCGCGTGCGGGCTTACTCTGTTGGTTCCAAGTTGAAAATGCCGCGATGCGACCTACAGCGCGTTGTCCTCGTCGAGGACAATAAGCACGAGTTTGAGACGAACCGAAGTCAGAGCAACATTGCCAGAGGAGCTGGCACCAGTACGGGTCGCGAGAAGAAATCAACGAGTGCTCCGCTGCTGAGTCTGAAAACACAGGTAAACCCAGACCGAATGAGTGACTTGATGGAAATTGACTTTTCGCAAGCGACAAATTTGGAAAAGCAAAAGATTATCAAGAGCAGTGAAAAGCCCAAATATATTGAGAACTCGTTTGCCAACAATATAAGAAGTGATGGTTCCAATTTAACCCTGAACGCTGCCAGTCAGAAGAACATCTTCAATGGAGCCAAAATAAATAATACGGCAGTGCCAGCGCCAGCGCCAGCAAGCAGCTCGGAGGACGGTTACCTGGAGATGAAGCCAGTGGGCAATACGAATATTTCCAGTACAATTAGCCTTCCCATTAAAATAGAAAAGCTCAAGGTAAAAGACGATGTTCATAAAATAAGTTCATACAACATAAGTCCTGAAAAGTGGAAAGAGCAGCAGCCACCCAGGAGCGCCGTCATTCTCGCTTCCCTAGATGAAATGGCTAAACCCGTAGAAACTAAGAATTCCGATGATAAACTCCCCGAGCTTCAAAGCGAGGTTGAAAAGAAGAATAATGTAAAAGAAGTGAAGGTAATTGAAAATAACAACCTGGATTTGAGCAGCCACGAGGAAAAGAAGCTAGTTCATTCGATCAGCAGCGAGGATTACACACAGATTAAGGATAATGGAAATGATTTTACCAACTCCAACGAAGTTGGCTACAAAATTCTACAAATAAAAAGTGACAGTTCCCTCATCTCCTCATCGAGAGTCTACCAAAAGGGCATCAAGGATAACCTCGAGAGACAGCTTCGACTCACGGAGAGTGTTAATATAATTCCTGATAAAACCGCAGCCAAAACCTATCCATATTCAAAGGCGGCCACAGCAACGGCAGACTCCAAAAGCTCGGAGACGTCGCCTCAACCCAACATTCTGCAGAATATAACTGATTTGAATTTCCCAGCACGCTCGTCGTCACGCATATCCCAGCCGGAGCTTCATTATGCCAGTCTAGATCTTCCCCACTGCAGCGGCGGCCAGACCGCAGCGAAGCATCTAAAGCGAGGTTCGCGGGAATCTCCAATTGCCTTAGGCCCCGAAGACGGTAGCACGTATGCAAAAATTGATTTCGATCAATCGGACTCATCTTCCTCCTCATCGAACATATTTAATACGTAAAGTTTTCAAGCTTATTGACTACATATATATATGTATATGATTTGTTTATAATATTGTACATTTATTGTAAATATTCTCGGACAAGCAAAGCTTAAAATTTTTGGATGCTAATAAATCAATTTTATTTAGATTAAAATTCATGGCTGGTTTCATACCTGATTTTTTCTACTATTTATAATAATATTTTAGCTTATTAAAGGCAACTTTTCCACTGCAAAATCTTCCCCTATACGAAATACCTCTAGGTTTTAAAGAAAACACGCAGTACTTTTTAATCCACCAAGTCCAAAAAGTTGACTAGGTGAACATTCAGAATTTATTATTGAGTTTTAATACAATTTGGTTTTCTGAAATATTTCATCCGGCTTTTATCGATTTCATTGATTTTTACTCTACTTCAGATCCTAGTATTACAGTTGCTGCGTGCATCCACATGGTTTTTTGTTTTTTTTTTTGTTGCTCCTTTTATTTGCTAACATTGCCTTCCTCATTTGCCGAATTATTTAGATCACTGTTGTTGCAAGTTTCTCCAGAGGTTGCTGCGCCAACATTAGCCACATACAGAGCGGGGTCAATGACCTTCGGAATAGGCTTTATTTCGGTGCCCAGTTCCTTTTCAATTCGATGCAGATCAAACCTATCCTCGTACGTTATCAGATTTATGGCAATACCTGAAAAAAAGAACAGATTGTAAAACAACAGATTAGTAAAGCTTGTCAACGAAAATTGTCTTTTTAAAAACTCAAATTTTTAATGCGTATCAACTCACCCAAATGTCCAAATCGTCCCGAGCGACCAATTCGATGCAAGTATGTTTCCGCCATTCGTGGGAAATCAAAGTTGATGACCACATTCACGGCCTGGACGTCTATGCCGCGGGTAAACAGATCGGAACAGACCAGGTTTCGGCACAGTCCCTGACGGAAGTCGTGAAAGACTCGGTTTCTGTGCGCCTGAGCCATTTTGGCGTGTATGTAGTAGCAACAATAGCCAAGCTCGGTGATCTTTTTAGCCAACAATTCGACACGTTGCGTGGAATTGCAAAATATAATAGACTGATTGATCTGCAGCTTCGAAAACAATGTATTTAAGCAGTGTACTTTCTGGCGCTCCTGCACGAATGCATAGTACTGAGTGACACCCTTCAACGTTAGCTCCTCCATCAGGTTAATTTCGTAAGGCTCGCGTAAATGCTTCTCCATAAAATTCTTGACGGTCAATGGAAATGTTGCGGAAAATAGCAAGATCTGTGGATCCTTTGGTAGCTTTAAAATAACATGATCCAGCATGCCTTGAAAATCAAGAGACAATAGCTTATCGGCCTCATCCAAAACTAATATCCTGCAATGCGACATATCGGCAACTTTCTTATCCATCAAATCTAATATTCGTCCAGGAGTCGCGATAATTAATTGTACTGTAAGAGAGAAGAGTTGACAATACATCCCCTAGATTTGATGAAACTATAAACCTACCTTTTTGATATATACGAAGAATGTCATCCTTAAGAATGGTGCCCCCCGTTGTGACCATTACCCGGATATCCAAGTGTTTCGCCAACTCAATACAGATCTGTGAGGTTTGTAGCGCCAACTCTCGGGTGGGCACCATAACCAGGGCTTGAATGTAGTCCTTGGTTGGATCGATTTGTTCTAAAACTGGGATGCAGTAGGCTCCGGTTTTGCCTGTACCATTCTTTGCCCTGGCCAGCACATCTTTGCCACTTAATGCTATAGGAATAGCTGCTTCCTGAATTGGCGAAGGGCGCTCCCAACCCTTCTCGAAAATACCCATCAGCAGTTCTCTTTTAAGGCAAAACTCCTCAAACTCGTTACCTCGCGTATCGGTCACATCCTGCGAAGGAGATAAATATAGTCACTAATATTATATGTAATATTTTAATGTTTTTAACTTACAGTTGTTTTGAATCGGTTGTCCTTTGGCGGCAGCTTCAGCTTCGATTTCCAGCCCATATCGTCACTAGTGTTCCCAGCAATTTGAAGATCATTTATAAGCCTAAAATGGAATTATTTCAAGAGTTTTTATAAGAATTTAGAAAGTTGTATTCCAATCTTTACTTTTTTTTTTTATTGAACAAAATGTGTGCTATTCAGAACAACTACAAATGTATGTATCTAAATTTTTGCTCTGTGCAAAAAATCAGCACAGAAGCGCAACTTGTTTTTCGGGCAGTGTCCACGAGTGCACATATATGTACATACTGATGTAAATATGTATGTGCTTATGGTCGCTTGTGCATCTACATACATCAAGGAAACAAGCTAGAGTAAATATCAATGTTTACGCTTTTATTTATTAGATAACAATACAAAACGATTACTTTTGTTGTTAATTAATAAAGACCCATTTGAAAAACAAATACATACACACATACATATATTTAAAATGAAAATACAAAGCTGTTTTATTTTATGGAAAGCCGCATTATATTTTTACGGTCACATCACAAATTTGTGTAGAATCATTCATGTAAGCATACATATAAACATGGAATAACAAATATTAATAAATATACAAACCCTTTGCTTGTTAAATTAGTGTGCCCAGAATTTAACTTTTCCGTCATCATTGTTCTCATAGATAATATATTCTACTTTCTTTTAAAATTTCTTAACTTTCTCAATATTGGCCGACTGTTTAAGTTGCTGCAATTGCCGATTTATTTATATTGCTCACGTATTCAACTTTGCGTTTCGATAAAAATTGCGTTCAGCTACAAAATAATCAAGTCGCCTTACAACATGCTATCAATAATACAAATTTCATTGCCTCTGCAAACATTTTCAGGGATTGTAATGTGCTAACATTGTTAAAGAAATTTCTTTCGCATTCGGAATGCTGGAATGAAACATTATTTTTTATTAATTGTAGTACTCATTTATAATAAATCTGATTTATTTAATACATATTGTGGAGATGTTTAGACTATGTATAAGACAAAAAATTATTAATTTTCTGCTTATAAATGATACAGTTATATACATTTTCTAACATCAAGAAACTGCTGCAGGCGAAGTAATCGGATCAGAAGGCATACATACAAATTTTAAGCCAACCATAGACAATGTGATACAAAAGTGACAAAAACAAAACACTTTTTATATATGTATATAAACGATTTATTTCATATTTCTATATATGCTTAACTTTGAAATTATATTTTATAATCCCGAGCCCGATGATGGACTACATTATTTTTTACTGACTTATTGGAATGATTGGAATAGAAACATCTTATTAATCGACAAGTCGATTATTTCCGATAAACAGCTGTTTATAACGTATAATGTATTTTAAGTTTGCGCCAAACAAATATGGTTAAAAAGTTGTCGCTCTGATTTCGCTGATTTTTTAGGTCCCGAGTTGCAGGTGTTGAAGTGAAATATTATGACTATTTTCCTATGTACATACATATGTACATACATATTTTTCTCATACAAGATCCAGTCAGAAACACCTCTATACCTTAACAAAAACAACATTCTTGAACTCTACGTAAATACATACATATGTATGTACATATGCTGGGTATTATATTTTCAATTATCTTTTTAAGATACTTAACTGAAGAACAATATCTAAAAAAAAGCCGATGTACATACGTACATATGTACATACATATGTATGAAAAGATCAGATCAAAATAAGAATACCCAATAGGCGTATGTACATATGTACATACATAAGTATGTATAGAAGTGATAGAGTTAAAGAAAAGCGTATGTAACTTATTTATTTTCCGCAAAGTGTGGCCCAGTGTGCGCAAACAAGAACTGTCCTGATCAGACATGCCTCTAAAAAATACTGTGTACAAAGACATCAATTGGAATTTGTGGAAACATATAAACATGTATGTAAGTATGTACATATGTTATTTACGCACATACAATAAATACGTAGCCATTAGCTTCATTTATAGCCGGTGTGTGCTCCCAGCGTGGTAAGTGTTTATCACTCCGTGGGGTATAAACTTTCTTACATATTTGTACAAAGCAGACGAATTCAATTTCATTAATGTATTGGCTATGTACCTAGAGGACTTGTACCACTGCCTGGGTGTGTACATAAGCCAAATGTGTTTACTCATAAACAATTGGCGTTTACTCGCGAAGAGGAATTGCGAAGACGCTCAGTGCTCAGTTCGGTAAATCAGCCAACTGCATACGGTTCGAAGTTTATATTGCCGTCCCGATAACGATTCAATGATAAGATATGAAAAGTCCGTTCTAAGGAAAGATACAAACATTACACAAGACGCCCTGAAATTGGTCATTGCAAATCGAAATCAATCCGTAAACAACCATGATCAACGGACTAACTCTAGTATTTCTGATTTTAAGTGGCATTATTTCAAAAGGGTGTGCCGTTCGAATATGTTGCTCTCCCAATTCAATATTGTTCAAATACCGCGACGCGACTAACTCTGATATTTACCAGTGTGCTTCCAATGGAACCCTGAACCTTAAAGAATTTCCGGTTCCGATTGAAGTGATAGGCGAAATGATAGCACCACAAGGCCTGGGATTAGAGGGACCGGAACCGCCCCATAATGACTCAGATAACCTCTTATACGAGCTACCAAAGTGCAAAAGTGCTACTATTCTAAACGTAACTGAGCAAAGTGAAAATTCGTTGTATCTCAGAAACGATTCCTGCGTTGGGCAATTAGACAAGCGAAAGCTCATAGTTTTGTCTTGTGATTTCAAAAAGAATGTGTTGTCTCAAAGTGTTAAATATGTAAACAAGTGCTGCCCACTGGGCTCTATTTACGTTTCCGAAAATAATACGTGCATCGTGCTAGGCGAACCCGATTTCTTTGTTTACTCTTCCATCATCAACAATCCAATTATATTTTTTGATAACTATTCCCTGCAATGTTCGGATAATCAGGCCTTTGTGGAATATACCGTTTCTGCAAAAATAGTGCAATTCAGTGAAAGTTCGTTGGTTTGGAAGGATGGATCGAACAGCTTGCCATTCTCAAAATTCTGTATAGATGCCATTTATGATGGCTATGAAATTCCATCAAAAGAAAGGTACTCTTCGCACCAAAAGTACCTGGTTCAAGCGTGTCAAGATAGAAAGATTTGTCAAAGATTACCGTGCATCCGACGGTGCTGTGGTGAAGGCGAAATGTATGCCAAGGGCAATTCAAGTACTTATTGTAAGAGCGACGAGACTGATATTGAATTTCAGGGATTTCAAAACCTCAATATAAACGCAAACTTCTCAAAGCCGGCAGGTAAGAGCTGTATTGAATATAATTAATGTGATTGTGAAAAAAGTATGCAAATAATTTACGAAGAATTCCTCGTTAATAGTGGGATGACACTGCCGCATTAATTAGAGACTTCATTAAAGATTTGACAGCGCTATAGCGTTTTACACAAGTGCGAGCAAGACGACTCTATGGCGCTCTAATGCATTAGAATAATGCATTAGCTACTTCATTGCCGCGGTAATCGATAGATCTACATATTATATACTAGATACTCGATAACAAAATACGGGTTTAATGAAGAAAATTGTAATTGAAAAATGTATTAGCCAGTTCATTGACAGTATGGTCTCACAATGAGAATTTTATTTTTATATCATTTCGCTTGTTTTTTGAACTGAAAATATATTAGAAAATTAGCAAAAATAATATGTTTTGCGGTAGCAAGGTTCTTGCGCTGTAAAATTAATTAAAATTATTTTTTTTGTAATAATTAAAAAAATTTTAAGCATTATAGGTTAAAAACATAAATTTAAAGGATTCTGCATTTATTTATGCAATAATACTTCGACAAGGAATTCAGAAATTCATAATAATACGCCGCGAAAGGCCGCCGTTTTTTTTGTTTACCTTTTACGGTCGGTGTGACCGTAGTCGTATTACCAAAATAATCCAAGCAAAATTCAAGCAAAATTACACAAAATTACACATATAGTTGACTCTTTCAAGGTTCTAATGAAGTAGCTAATTAATGAAAACTGCATTACTGTATCATATGGGCATAAGGATTTTTAATTTCTGGTAATTATCGATTAGCACTCGTTGATTCCGTAAAATAAGAAAGGAAAAACCTATGGCCGCCGGATCGTTTTGATTGCTTCCATATGCTTGGTCACCTGTTTCACTTAAATTTAGGCGAAAAGCTTGAAACACATAAACATATTTATGGTGTATAGTTTTCAATGAATGAAACGCAAATATGTCTATTTTGCTTAAAAATTGTTCGTTATTGCTTCCTGATATATCATTAGTGGTGTCGTTTTTATACCCTCATGATCATGATTCAATTGTAATCTACAAGGGTATACAAACTTCGGCTTCTATTCTTGTTTAATTATGGTTTCGTCATTTTAATTATCTTTGTTGTTATCAGGAAAAACAAGCCATTAAACATGGCACATATGTATGTATTTCTGTAGTTGACACACTTCAGTTTTGTTGGGTTAGGTCAAAACGTCAAAATAATATTATCAAAAAGTTCAATAAGACATGGCTCTCGTGAAATGTCAATTATAGGCAAATTTTTACAAAAATCCTAATCCTATATAGTAATGTCTACACTATTATAATACTTTCTTTCAGAATTTGGCATACTTCATAGATTGCAGTGCCAAAAATTTCGATTGGATCCAGATAACTTTCCAGACGATGCACACACAATAAACTCCTCCGATGGCTCACTTATTATTCAAAATACTCGAAAACGCTATACAAATACTCAGTATTGTTTGGAACGAGTTCGACCAAATCAAAAGGTAAACTTTATAAAAAACGATTTTAATTAGAAATTAATTTTTCTATTTTTATTTACCTAACTAAAATAATTATTAATTCTTTGCCTCCGTTTCTTTCAGAGCAGCTGTACACATTCCTCTGTTTCGACACAAAGGTAGTTGGAAATGATCACCTTCGTTTTCGAATGTATCCTATTGGTCTTCTCATTTCCTGTTGCTTCTACGCCATGACCTTGATTGTTTACATATCGATTGCGAAATTACGTAATCTGCCTGGCAAAATCCTTATTTGCCTTGTAATCAGTCTGTTTTTGGCATATATGGGTATAGCGCTGGGCCAATTAAAGCCCACATCCAATGATGACGTTTGCTTCTTTTCTGGTAAGTTAATATCACCCAAATTAATGGTCAACAACGTGGACATTTGATGTCTCAATTATGCCCTGCTGGGTTTGTGTATGTGTGTGCCGGTAATTACAGACTATTGAAAGCACAAAATCAATAAGGACGTCGAGTTCCCATAAAAGTATTTTATCGAAATATTTATGAGCGTTTTCAACAAAAAACTTTTTACTTGTACCAGGGAACGCTAAAGTAAAAAATTTGATATTTGGAATTGAAAAATTAAAAATGTTTAATTTTATATTTTTAACTCGTTTTGTGACCATCCCAAAAGTGTATTCGATAATCGTATTCTATGAAATTTACGTTTCTTTAAGGATTCTTTGTATATTTTTGCTTGATGGCGGCATTTTCCTGGATGAATATAACTTCTTTTGACATATGGAAAACATTCGGGTAAGAATTGAAATAGAAATAATAAAAATCATTGATAGTAATTTATTTATAATTTATAATATATTCTTCTGGATCAATGTGCAAATGATTTATTAGTTAGCATACCTGAACTTACACGATTTTCTCTCTTCTTATATTTTAGATCAACGAAAGTAAAAAGCTGTGAAAAAAGCGACCAACGAAGGCAATTTATTTGGTACTCCTGCTATGGCTGGGGACTCCCCACCTTGTTAACCGCCATTACAGTGGCATTTACAAAGTCCAATGTTCTACCCGACATTGTTCGTCCGAATTTTGGCCACGGTCGCTGCTGGTTTACATGTAAGCAAATCTTTTTAAATGAAGACAAAATCAAGTGTTTATTTCCCTCCTATTTCTCAGATGATTCTTTTGGGTCAGCCAGTTTGCTATTTTTTTCAGGCCCCGTTGGAATACTTTTCATTTTCAACCTAATACTTTTCGTGCTCACAATGAAGTATTGCAATAAGGTGAAAAACGAAATCTACAAGATGCAGAGCTTAAACAGCGATAAGCCAGTGCTGAAGAGGCGCTTCTTTCAAGATAAAACCCGATTTGTAATGAATACAAAATTGTGCTTTGTTATGGGAATCACATGGCTTTTGGAAATAGTTAGCATTATATTTTATGATCACAAGAAAACCTTCTTTTGGACCATAAGCGATTCGTTTAATGTTCTCCTGGGCATATTTGTGTTTTTCATTTTTGTTTTTAAGCGACGAATTTGGAACGAAATCTTAATGAAAATAGGCAAGTTTATACGAACAATTTGAATATACATTTTAAATTATTTTGCCAATTTTGTGTAATTCACAGGCCTTCAAGCGGACACTAACGTCACGTCGAATAGAAATCGCGTGGGCTTGACCAAATCCTATGCACCAAGCAGTACAGCGATGACCACGCTAAGGTCGTCGCCCGGCAGTTGTGAGCTGGCGCGAAAAACCTCAACACCAAAGCAAGCGGAACATGAAATTATGCTTTAGATGCTTTAATTATGTTTTATCATTACCTATTTATAATTTGTAAAGCTTTATGAGAACTAGTCCCCGCACTTCGAAACCTAATAGTACTTTATAGTTTAGCTGTGAACCGAAATATTACATTTATAAGCACTTTTTATACTTCTTTTTTTTTAAATAAATGTGTTTACAATATTGTAAAAGTCTTTGTTCAGTTTTTATTATCAAAATATTTATTTAAATGACACCCATTCGTAATGAGGTAAATCCGAATCTTCGCTTGATAAATGATACACTCTTAGATCTTGTTGAAGGCAGCAATGTCAACACTCTGAACAAAGTCTTCGAGTTTCTCGATCTCCTCAGTCAGCCAGTCAATAGAAACCTTGTCGTCTTCAACCACACAGGATATGCTGAGCTTCTGGATGCCGAAGGCAACGGGAACGAATTTGGAAGCACCCCACAGCAGGCCATCGAGGGTGATTTTGCGGATTTCGGTCTCCATGACTTTAAGATCGGTCTCATCATCCCAGGGCTTCACATCAAGGATGATATTTGACTTGGCGATAATGACAGCTTTCTTGGATTTTTTAGCTGCATAGGCCGCCAAACGTTCTTCTCTTATGCGCGCAGCCTCCTCGCCCTCCTCCTCGCTGTCCGAACCAAAGAGATCGACATCATCATCGTCGTCGTCCTTCTGTTCCTTCTGTTGACTTGTTGGGGCTTCTGCCTTCTTTGCCTCGCCGTTGGTCAAATTTAATTGAGCTTCGACTGTATCTACGCGCTTGAGAAGGGCATTGAAGAGCTTGGTCAGTGTGGCAACTTCGGATTTCAGATCCTTATTCTCGCTCTCTAGCTGCGACAGACGGCTGGCGAGCGGCGACTTGGAGCCATCGTCTAAGGTAACCCCATCAATCTGCAATTAAATGAAGATTAAATTAGTAAATAACCCTATTAAAGCTTAATAAAACAAAAGATTTGATAATAAATCAACCGATTAAAGTAGTTTTTACTACCTAGGAATATTAATAACATACAGAAAACACGAAAAACAAATAAAAACCAGGCGTTAAAAAAAAAATTATAAGGAAGGCGAATGGGTATTGGCAATAGTTACCTTTTCCAATGAGTTCTGTATGTGTTCCCTAGCCTTTGCAATTTCGCTTACTAAGGGGCTGTAGTGGCTGCGATCAGTGACCTTAAAAACAAGACAACACTATTGATTACTCGTGTAAACTAATTAATTGAGAATAAAAACTATACAAACTAGCTAAACAACAAAAGGTATTTTAATTTGTGAAAAAAGGATATTTTTAGAATACAGTTTATATGATGGAATGTGTGTGTGGGGAGGTGGCCTGACAAAGCCACACAAAGGACAACTATATATTTTTTTAAAGCTTTATAATACATTTTTATTTTGTTGCCGGGCTAGAAAATTATCAGTGATCCTAGCTATCAGTTGAAAATATTGCCGGCTTTTCATTACTTTATACAAATATACATACATACACATATAGCTAGATTCAACCCTGATAGTGAAATTGCTACATCAAATTGGCTGAGCACTATTTATTTTTATACTCTTGCAGGGTCGAAAAATGCAATGCACCTGTTACATACAGTTACGGGATATACTAATGTAAATACAAACTTGTTTAGGCACCATTACTTGGGCGTATTAAAACGCAAATAGGTGCACCAAAAACATTCAAACATTAAGGTAAACTGTACAAATTTTCTAGTTTAGCTTAATATTTCGTGAAAATTGTCGAAAACATTCCAGTAACCGGGCCACGTGAAATGTACAATTACATACATATGTATGTATGTACATACTATGTATGAACACATTTCTTTAATAGACTCTTTTAGTTACCTTTTGGGGGCCCTCGTAGAATCTCTTTTCGGCAATATCATAGCGACTTTTGTCAGTCCAGAATTTGTCCTGTGCCTCAACTTTCATTTTAAATTAAATTTGTCGGTCGCTTAAACACGTTGCACAATTAGCGAATATTGCGATAACTGCAAACAATATGTCCAGAATTATCGATACTTCCAACAATAGTTTTCGTGTATGCTGGAACGGTGGGATGGAATATGTTTACGGCCAGAAGAAACTGTGTTAATTGTGCGTTCACACAAAGTGCATACCGTGAACATATATTATAATAAACTCCGTCTGCCGTTTTATTTAGGAATTAGCTTGCACTGCTGTCGCTGAACATTTTTTTTGTATTTTTACATTTTTATCTGGTGCAAGATAAGTTATTTTCGCAGACATCTTCATCTATTATGCCATTCCAAAAGTAACAAGGTAGAACGATGCTAAAATGTAATAGCTTTTTTATTTAAAATTGTGTTAAGTATTCCTTAAATTGTAATAAATATATTACAAATTGAAGAACATACAAGTAGATATTTTTACATAAAAATGTAAAAATAAGAGTTTTTGTTCCAATTCCGTGTTTCATTTTCAATGGTTAATGTATATTCACAATCGATTTCTGCATTATGTCTTACTTAAACCATTCGATATCATCTACAACAAATTAATTTTTTACGAAGAAAGTGTTGTGTATTGTTACTACTATGTTATCATATTTGTGATTGTGGATTCTCTCCTTGTCTTGCGTTCTGTTCATCATTGCGATCCTTTGGTGCGTTCTCATAGTGGTATAATTTGTATAGAAGTTATTGAGACTGTTCTCTATTGGTTTTTTTCCTGATATATATGCATATATATAGCATTGAGCATTCCAGAGCAGCTAATATAATTTAGTGACTAAATTTTGTTCTGTAACATCTACCTTACATTCAAATCATCGATCTAATTAAACCTACTTTTTAATTCTGCAATCATTTTCGTCGAGTGTATACATACACTCGTCTAAATCAGATGTGGTATTTATACCACAGCATAGAAACTGTGTGATTGCTCCGTAAAACATATGACAATTTTACAGTGTATATATTATTCATAAGTGCTAGTGTGTGTGTGCGTGAGTCTGCCAGCGTATGTATGTGTTTTTGGAAGGAAGCAGCCAGGCAGCAAAAGTTGAATTTGCCAAGTTATTCTAGTTCCCTTAGTATACATTGAATGTATGTGTGCGTGTGGATACATGTACACATACTATGAAAGCCATTCGTGGTTTTTGCAGTAAAGCAATCTCAGCAGTAGGACATAAAATTTACGGGCTCGTCGCTTCGCTAGGTCATCTAACATAACGGGGCTTTGTGGGATAACTTCAACTCCACATACAAATTGCTTAACATGGAACGAAGCTCGAATTCATACCCTCAAATCATTCCCAAATGTGGTCGCCAGATTCGTTAAGTGGAATGAATGGTAAGGCGTGTAACCACTAGATTTTGGTCTAAGCAAGATGGCAGCTCATAATATAAAACAGATAAACAATAAATAGAGAAGGGAGGGGATACAAAAATTAAAAAAAAAGTTTGTCAATTGTTGTTGTACGAACGCACGACGAAAAAGTGTGACCGTATTTAAGAAAATTGCTATATTGAAAATGTAATCATAAACCTATACGGACCTATAAAGACTAGTTTAAATTATCTGGCTGTGTTATCCTAAATTCAACATTTCTTAGATCCATACAAAAAATTAAAAAACAAAAAAGGAATTATCCCTTGAGTTATCGGACATCTGTTCATCAGCTGTTTCTTATTTTTTCTCTTTAGTGACATTTTCAAGACAAGGTAAATAAGTTTCCTGATAATAAATAATATATTCAGAAAAAAAGTAAAGCTACACTTCAAGCTCTTTTAATAAAATGATCTACGAAAATAGAACAAAATGGCCGCCAACGTCAACCTACACTAATCGATAAACGCAGTCTAATAAATTCTACTGATGTAGATACAAAAAATTCCTACGCTACCCTCGAACGGCTTAGTATAAGAGTTTCCTTACGGATCGATTAAATATCAATTTGTCACTTAGTTTAACTTTGCAACCGGTGGTTTTCTTAATCATTTATGAACCGATTCTCTCTCCCTCAAAGAACAGAATGAAGGACCTTTTTTTAAGCAATCCTTGTAGACAGATTTGCTTGCCTCTGGAAACTAATAATTATTTAATGAAGCAATTCTTATTCTTTTGTAATTTCAGTGACAATGGATGAAAAAGATAAAGCTCAGCACAACATGATTTCCAACTTACCACTGCTGTTTGCTAACGGATATCCGACATCCCTAGAGAAAATAACGGAGCCGCAACTAGAAAATTTCATTCCATTCATGGTGCAGTGCTCATTAGGACATATAAACTTACCAAAGAAAGTGGATTGCAGTGAACCAGAATGGTGGCCCGAAAATGCCCCATTCGAGATTCCGTTGAAAAAGCCAAAAGCGTTTGTTGGGGTAAGTTTTTATTTAACCTTAACTTTAATTTTGTCTTTAAAGAAGCAGATATAATGTAAACCTCACTCAGTTGGGCCTTGGTTTTGATATCAATTGAAATAACACCCAAGGATATGCTACAATTAATATCAATTACTCTCTCCTTCTCTTTGTAGAATTGGATGGAGAAAATGAAAGAGATTGTGGTCATATGCTATCAATTTCACAAAAGCCTATTCCTATTAAGATTTTGCAACGATTTAGCTGCTTACGAGCACGCCAGCTTGAGATTTATAAACAATTATAACTCAACGACATCACTGTATGACAGAAGGAACAACAAATTGCTAGTGACATTTCGCAATGAAAATATGGTAAGTACCAGTTAATATTTAACTAACTATAGCGCTTACTTACTGCAAATATTTGCAGTCGTATGACAGACAGCAAAAGAATAGAAAGTGCTTGTTGCTGCAAAAGAATAACAACAGTTCATTAAATGAAAACTCACAACACATGATGGTTGAGCCACCACCCTTTGATATTTATCTATGCGACAACTGTGATGCTGAACTTTATTCAAAAGAAGCTATACTGGTAAGTAGATATAGAGTGAAAAACCCCGAACAAATACTTTAAATAACATTTATGGCATGGCAGGAACACGAAAATATTTGTTGCATGGAGGACGATGTTATACTTTGTGATTCGCCAGAGCCATCAGATAACAATAAATGCGAAGGAAAAAATGAGGATGACGAACTGCGCAACGCCTTTCTCTTGAACTTTGCCCTGCAATCAAAGTTTTCGGACGCCAGCTGCTTATCGAATGAAAAACAAAAAACCTACTCATTCAGTGAAGAAGCATCAACGGAAACATCCAGTAGAAGCCGTCGATTGCCGTCACGAAGAAATCGCACAGTTCATTCGTTCAGTCGATGCTCGTTTATCCCAATATCATCACCTGCGGGCCAGCAATTATTAAAGACGACAAAGCAAACGATATCGATGGATTATATATCGGAGAGACAGGAGCGCTTGGATCGATTTTGTTACACGCCCTTAATTTCAAAATCGAACGCATCGAAGCAAAAGATTTTCGAAAAGAAGTCTGGCAGCATGAACGTTCATTGTACATTCAAGAAATCCCATGAACACAATTTTCACATTTATACATTTCCGCGACGTCAGTTTGTTAAACGCCGGGATACCACTGAGAATTTTCTGTTTTTGAACTCGCCGCTAATCAAGCAATGCCGTCCAATTTCAGTTCGATTGAAAAAGATATCGGAACAACAGATGGTGATGGAGGAGCAGAGCCAGGTTGCTGCAAATACAAAACTAAATATAAGACTAACGCGCCACAATTCGCTCAATTCGCATTGGAGGATCTCGCCATCAAGCGAAGTAGTTGTCGACACGATTGACTTGTGCTCCTCAGAAGACGATGATGATGAGAGTAGTACTAAAGTGCTCGGCTCCGATGCGCTAACCATAATCAAACTAACGCATAACAATAACAATAAAAGGTCCAGCAGGCGAACCAATGACTCAAGCAAATGTCCCTCTGAGCCAGAATCATCGTCGGCTGCCGATAATGGTTCGGTTAAGCCCCTGCAACAGTCGTTATACATTTTTTCAAATTATAAGGCTAACTCAGTATTTAGTCGTTGCACTGTTGACACAATTACAAACCATTCATTGGTTAGCTCGCTAACCACATCGAATACCTTTACCGACACGCAGGAGCAGCACAGGAAGGAATACAATCAAGAGAATTGCAATTTTTCCAAGAAATTGGTTCGACTTACAGACTGGTACGCCCACTCGGCGGCGGCGGCGGCTAATACGGAGAAGAGCCCATCAAACCCGATCACTACTGAGAGTAGTAGTACGTTTGACCCACTCTCCTCGGCAGTTCAGCCGTTCAATAGCACGGGGCGAATAATTTCCATTGATTTAACATCATAGATTTATTCTTAATCTAATAGTTAAGTTACTAAATTGTTATTTTGCGCAGGATAAAAATTAAATTCTAGAATTACCATATTTGAATAAATAATTTGTTTAAATACTTTTATATTTAATGCTGCATATTTATTGTTTTAACCTTAAGAATGAACAAATCAAGAACTTTTTAATAGATATGATGGTACACAACAGGAAAGGGGTCAGGTAAGAGTGACCTTTAAGAAGCGTGCCGGAAGTTAAACATTACTGGCTGCCAAGATCCATGCTTTCACGATGGCAGCAAAGTAAACATTCTAATCTCAATTTATTTCTGGATTACATTATTGCAAATTGAATCATTAAATTTCCATATAATCAACCATAAATTCAAAACGTTAGGAACGCTTACGTCAATGCTATGAGAAGCGCCGAGAAAGGCTGCGTGAGTGAGAGAGAAAGAGAGTTTATGGCGAGAGTGTTTGCTACCTCTCTATGCACTTTTCGTAATAGGCACCCAAACAGAAAGTAGAAATTCTGGATAAATTAAAAATGGTCTTATCTAACAGTAGATGTAAAATTTTATTAAAAAACAACAGCTATATGATATAAACGTCTAATCCGGCCCATTCCGACTTCTATAAGAATAGCCAGAAAAATTTATCGATTAACGCATATCAACATTTTTTCAATTTTCAAACTATCATGATTTTTGGATAATACTATAGCAAGAATTGCAATAAATATTAATTAATTAATTGTAGCTACAAAAACTTTATGATATTTAATTAATTCCGTTAAAAAAATTACTAACCTGGCGAGAAAATCGCTAGACAGCCAGCACAGAATGCGATATTTTCCCTCGTAAAACACGAATAAGTGAATTCAACGATTAAAATCGAAAAGTGCACGGAACACCCTGTGGAATCGCGGATTGCTTGCTGTCATATCTATAAATTAGTAAAGTCGTATACAAGAAATGGTGTTTGAAACTAAAACGATTTTACTGTTCCTCATGGTGTCGTCTGAGAATTTTTCGCTTTTAAATAATTAATTGATGAGTGCGTAAGTTGAAAAGTACATTTTGATTTACAATTGGTTTAATGCTGTGTGTTTAAAATGAACAAAAACTATGTACATACATATATATGTACACAAAAATTTTGCAATGTGCGACTGACAGCAAATAAGTTTTGTTAAATATGAACAAAAAGTTTAGCATTAGCTACAAGATGCTCCATGGTGCGCGAATCCATTTACGAAAATTAATTATTGATTAATCTATCGGCATAAGACCGCAGCTTTACGCACAGATGTATGTAAGTATGTACATATTTAGACGTACATACATCAGGCATTCGCTGTGGCAGCAATGCAAAATGGATCAAAAATTAATTTCAAATTGGTTATAAAATATTACATTGATAGGTGGCGTTCCTTCAGTGTTCATGTCGATAATTGCTGAAGAAGCTGTTTAATCACCAGTTCCCTCCCGTCATCGATTAAGAAATTAATATTTTATCCAGTGGAGTGAGCCTCATATTCTTAACTGTTTTTAAATTTATGATGTACAAATGTACACAGAAAAAAAAAGGTTTTTTTTTTAAATCTTAAATATGCAAGTCATAAAACAGGCACATAAATATGTGTCCTTATAGAAACAATTTCTTTTTAACCCAAATTAATTTCATATTATTTTAGATATATTTACCTTTTATTTGTACATTGTGGATTATATTTTGACCAACGGATATTTCATGGTCAAGGCACTAGGATTATGGAGTTCTTACAAGTTTGATCTTCATATTAACGAGCTTCGAAAGGTTGGTCCACCCAAATATAATACCAAAAGTTTAATTTTAATCAGACCTTGTAAAAGTATATTATAAACTCGTATTTTCTTGTTTATTTCCAGGGTTTATACTATAAACAGGACCTTTATGCCTTTTACGACTTAAGTCATCAACATTTTTAGCAATGAATGCTACGTTCCATTCATACAGAGACATACTAGCGGCACATCATCAAGACTCATCTAGTCCCGAGAACTTCGCCCCCATAGTAATTGATTATAGGAACTCGAATCACACCAAGGACATTGTCGAAACCAACTCGAATATATCTTCGTCTCAGCTATCGTTCATGGACGAATCTTCAAACGATTTCAATAATCAACAGCTAATTCACTCCAACTCTCTTATTAAAGTGTGTGGTGGTTGTGGCGGTAAGAACTGGTAAAACCCAACTAACCTAACTCAACAATTAATGTATTTTGATTTAATTGCAGATAAAATAAGTGATAGATATCTTTTATACGCTCTAGACAGATATTGGCACAATGGTTGCCTTAAATGTCACTGTTGCGGCGCAATGCTAGCAGAGGTGGGTTCCAGCTGTTTTACGAGGCGAGGCCTGATTCTTTGCAAAAAGGACTATTCCAGGTAAGATATTCCCTTACGTATTGCAATTTATTATAATTGAAAATCGTGTAAACCCCTTTTTCCAGTATGTTTGGCTGCTCTGGAGTTTGTTCTGGTTGTGGCGAAACTATTCCTCCGAGCGAACTAGTAGCGAAGGCCCTAACTGGCATAAATAATATTGATTTACAAAATCAACAAAAACAAATAATTAATTGCGTATTTCATCTAAGGTGCTTTAGTTGTGCTAAGTGTGGATCCAGTCTGCGCCCAGGCGACAGGTGAGTGCACTTCTTGAACCTTCTTCTCATTGATTTAAAACGACTTGTTATCCCCAGGTATACTATGTTAGGAGCAAGCTTGGTTTGTGAGCAGGATTGGCACAAATTACTTAAGGGGCCCGCTAACTCGAATGGAACGCTCGGACAAAGGAAAGGAAAGGTGGGAAGGCCGAGAAGATCAAAGGACTAATCAAATTTAAATGTCACATAAAATATATACATATATTTTAGAACATAGTTCATATTTTTAAATTACCTATAAAAATGTAATTAAATCATAATATATAAAATATTATGTTGGTTTTAGGGTATCATTGCTGCCGAATAGTTTTGTCCAGTTAAACAATTATTAGCTTAGTTTTTAATTATTTTTTTTATTGTCGCCCAAAACATTCTCCCAAATATCTTCACACGAATCAATAACTGTCTGCGGCGAGGATAACTTGTGTTTCATAAAGAAACCCTGAACTTGGGCAGGACTCACAGAACGGTCAAAGGAATTTACTCTTTTAGCGAACTCCTCCGCCTTCGTGGACTCACTGTGACCGAAGAAGTTCTTGAACATTTTCTCCAACTGATACGGCGTGCAATAGCCAATGTATTCCTTTAGGTCGATTCTGCCCGGCCGGATTAGTGCGGGATCCAAGCGATCTATATAGTTGGTGGTCATGAAAACTATGCGAGCCTCCGTCGAGCCCACGCCATCCAAGCAGTTGAGGAGTCCACTGAACGTTATCCTATTCAAACCATCGAAAGCCGACTTCTGCTGCGAACTCTGCTCTCGCGACACAAAGGCGGCGTCAATGTCCTCCAGAAGAATGATACTCTGTTCCGGGGCCACGTTTAGCAGGTGGTTAAGTCGGTCGTCGGTTAGGCCCCGTTCCGATAGATTCAACAGGCATACACTGTACTCCAGCTCCCCAGCCAGGGCAGTGATAAAGCTGGATTTGCCACAGCCCGGAGGCCCGTATAGGAGATAGCCCCGGCGGTAAGGGATTCCGCGTTGCGTGTACCACAGGGAGCTCTTGATAAAGTCCTGGCAATCGGCAACTATCTTCTGGGAAGTGCCCCTGTCCAAGACCACCGAGGCGGTGGGACGTCGTCGTCGAGGATGTCCGAAGGGTCTCCATTCGGCGCCCATCGCCGTGTACAGCACCGTCTTGCCTTCGGTGGCCTCCAGGGCCAAATGCCGCGCCTCTTCCAGGATGTCAAAATAGATTTGTTTGTTGTTGCCAAAGGCAGTTAGGGTCACCGTTTCCCACGGAACGCCCATGTGCAAGTCCAGAGTTTGCTGCTCCCTGGTCCGCTCCACCTGAATCCAGTTCCCCTTGTAGCTGAACAGATGCTTGCCAATGCTGGGTATAAAGTCATAGGTGGTCTTTATCTGGCCGCTGTCGCTTTGCAGAAAGGTGGTTTCCACACTTAGATGTTGCGTTTTGCGGGCGCCTCGGATTGTAATCCATTTCAACAGCCACTGGTAGGATTTGTCCCGGCATGGCACTTCCAGCGTAATCATGCAGTGTCGCCGGAACAGTATTAGTCCCCCCTGCAGACCCTTCCTTAAAATGGCAGCTGCTGCTCCAACGCCGAATAATCCAAAGCCAGCGCCAAAGTACGGATTGGACGATAGACTGGACACAAGATCCGGCAGAGTCATCTTGTCTGTAAGAAAGGCATTGCTTTATAAATTTTTGTTTTGGTAAGTGCTCCTTGATCTTTTTCATGGTAAACTTTATTTACACAACCTGTTGATAATCTTTAAGTTATAGCATTTAAATTAATCCTCCAGATCCAACATTTCAGGTTTACATTCACTTCTCTCTTTGTGTTTAATTTATTTCCATACATACAAATCTACTGTGTGTTATAGAGATTATTAAACTAATATGTTATTAAATCAAACTTTTTAATTAACTAAATGGAGATCTAAATAGTAAACTTTCGTTATGTAATTATTAAAAATTGGAATTTAAAACCAAAATATGTAAAGAAAACGTAGTCTTTTATTCTCATCATCTTAATGATTTGCAGATGTTTAAAACTTATCATTCACAAAACGGAATATATTTAGTTTTTATAAAATAAGAAAAAGAATAATAATAATACCGGCATGGAACAGTGTGCCCAAAATTCAATGAACGTGAAATACCTTGCCCCTACGGGAATGTGATGATGGAATGATGGAATATGAAACGTAGAGGCTTTTTATATTTCATTTAAAACCAACTAAAAAATAATACAAATAAATAAGAATACAAATGAAAATAAAATAAATAATAATTCATAACAAATAAAATAATTTTTAAACCTTACTTTATTTACACATTTTTATTAAAATTATTCATTTATATTTATTAAAATGATTTGCCAAATATATAATTATTTTTTAAAGAGCCCCAGGAAACATGCACCAACGTGATACAAAAAAATAAACATATTTTTCCTTGTAAACTTGATTAATCTTAAATGCGTTTCACACAAGTGAAAATTAAATTTTAAACCCCCTTTTTTAATCAGTATTTTACATTTTTTGAAAAATCGAATTTAAAAAATAAAATTGTTTAATGCACAATTACTATTATACTTTTAGTAGTTGTTGTAGTTGTTTAGTAGTTTAGTTGGAATACATCTTTTTGCGTTTCATCGGTAGATGAAGTTTACAGTCTGTATATTCCTCTTTTTTAGGTCATTTTTTCTTTGCTGCTTATATCCTTTCCCCCCAACGTAAACATCTAGTAAGTTCCGTTTTAAGAAATATGCAAATGCATTACAAAGTTTATTTTAACCTCCCATCCAACATTTTGAATGCTTAAGACGACTTCGAACTCCTGTGTGATTAACGCTCCTCCGTGGCTACAGCAACTTGAGGATCCCTTGGACCGGCATCAGGGTCATCCGATGTGGACGGGCGATTATCGTCGTCATCATCGTCGCCAGGTCTGCGCGGATCAGCAGGAGCACCCCTTGCCTTAGCCCATTCGAGATACTTGGCGTTCTCCTCCTCCGAGAGAATTTTGAAGGGCTGATTCTTGCCGACGATGGCCACAGTTATGCTCTGAAAAGCAAATAAGCATTTATAGTGGAAATTTCAATACAATCCTCGAGGAAACTTACATACTGGGATGGAGTGTCGCGGCTCTGGTGCTCATCAGTGGGCAGGGTACCCAGAATGGCGTTGATGCCATGACAGATGATGTCATCCTTGGAACAGTCCAAGAAACTGTTCAGATTGCGGTCCAAATAGGTGCGTGCGCTTTGTGAACGCGATCCAATGGAATTGGCCTTGCAATTAAAAAAGGTCGCCGACGGAGTGACCTGATAGATGTGCGGCCCCTTCTCATCGTAGCCGGCGACGAGCAGGCCCACGCCATACGGACGGCGATCGTAGCGCTGAGTGGTGGTCTGCATTTTGTTGCCCAGGTTCGTGATCAAGCGGGTCACCGGGTAAGTGAAGTCGTAAGAGTGTTTGTAGTTCAGGCACTCCGCACGCAAGTACTTGCTAAGCACACGGGCATCCGCAGTTATGCCAGCAATGGATATACCCAAGTGGTCGTCGATGGGGATAATCTTGCGTTGGGAAGCCGACAGCTCCGATGCCGGCTTGCACAGGGCTACGAGCACAGCGGTGTCTCGATTCTTTAGCCCCACAGTAGCCGTGCCGAGCTTCACGGCTTCCATGGCATACTCCACCTGATGCAGACGTCCTTGAGGACTCCACACGGTAACATCACTATCATATTGGTTGCGAAACTGGAATCAGGGCGATTAGTTTTTTATAAAGCTTTATATTTTTATTTAAAATTAACTTTACCATGACTTTTGTATTAGAAGCGGAATATGACAATGACAAGTAGAAATACTCGATAGTTAGATATGGCAGAGACAAACAAACAATATATCGGAGAGACGGAACTGTTTGACAATTTCCCTCGAAAATGGAACAGTGAAATAGTGCATTTTTTTCGCGCCCGTGCAAAAGCCTTATTGAAAATGAATTAGACGTTGTTTTTTTAGCGACCTTTCTTTCCTTGAACAGTAATTTAATTAGATTTATTTTTATTTCTTTAATATCTATCAACTAAAGAAAATAAAGGCGCCTTAAACATACTTATCCTTGCCTAAATTTAAATAATACAAAACATTGTTTTCAGGATTAAAACCATTGTATTATTACCTAGGCAAATGATTATGCAGGGAGGTAATTCCAATAAATTACTAATTGCAAAATACATAATTACAGAACATTTCACATTCCAGTGTTCATTTTCCAATATTCTCATTTAGCGACATATGAATGTATATCGATTGTATGCACTCGATTGGTTTGAAAGTTGCTCCAACAGTCAATGGGAGTGTTTACATTTTAATTGTATATTTCGGTTACAAATCTCACACTCTCCTGTTTTCGGCTCTCCTGATTTGGAAACGAGGGTTAGTAGCTCCAAGTCAAGCTAAATTGAGAAGGTTATTTACGTGATTCACCCGTCAAATGTAGTGGATTATTGAAAAGTGATATTTGCGACATCAATCAATCAACAAAAATTGTGGAAAAAAGTGAAATTTCAGTGCCGTTAGCGAAAGTGTTTGATTTAATTTAATAAAGGAACCTTTTCCTAAGGTGACTTCATGCACATTCACGCACACACACACACAGCCCTGGGGATGTGTAGACGAATATGAGGAACAAAGAAAACATTTTATTGGCTCGGCGCAATACTGGTGTTTACAATTAACGATTTGCTGAAAGTGATAGCTAGCTAGCATGTTTCTCCTGAACTTGCGTGCCTTTTATCAACTGGCGGCTACAAGGTTTCTGTGGACAGTCATATTTAAGAATGCAGTGACACCCGCATATCAATAAGACTGTGAGGCAGCAGCACAAATACATAAAACATTGGATCCGTTGCGGAATTTTTATTCCCTGCGGTTGCTATGTACATCGAGGTAGTATCGGCTATTGCACCGTCAGCTGTTTGTACATAATGCACATAAGTTCATGTGCATGTATGTGTGTGTGTGTACACTCCATAATAAAATTACCCATTCCATTACCGGGCCACTAGTTGCATCATCAGTTTCGCAGTAGCCGTAGTCTTAACCAGTTACCGTACAACGAGATTTAGCGCGAAATATAGCATATTATTGTCCAAGGGCGCCCAGCCCCACTTACTCCCCTGGCTGTCCATGCTGTATGAACTAATGTATGTACATAGTTTAATCTTTCATTGTTAATAATATTTATTCTTCTGTGCGAAGTGGTTACTAATGGCTTCGATTTCTTAATAAATCAAGTGATTATTTTCTTATGACTCAGAAAGCCAGACTTTGTCTTGATATGAAGCTATTGAACTTTCTTTGTATTTTATTTTTACTGTGAATATGTATGTTATCAGGATTTGCGACTGAAATAAAAAAAGTTTAATTCCTATAAAATAATGCTTAAATATTTATAAATTTATAACATAAACTTGACTTTCATTTTATAATTTTAAAATAATAAACATATTAAAAATTATACAAAAATATTTTATCTTAGTTCCGTATTTTAACCAAATTGTTATGGAAATTAGCTGGATAGGCAATTAAAAATAACTTATCCAACCATAAAAGCTCATGATTACACTCGTAATATTCCGACTGAATGGACTTTAAAACCTAGCGATAAAACAGTTAATCGCTAGAGCTCCATCTGAAAAGGAATATTTCGTATTTTGCTGGTGATCTGGAGAGTGTTCGTGGAACTTCCATGCTCAGATCCCAAGTGTTCCAACAGCCGGATACACCGACTAACTTCACATTCTTTACGCGAATAAATGTTTATCTAATTGATTCGAAAATCGCCTTTCTTCTCTGAATTTCAATTAGTTTTTGCATGAACACAACGGATAACCAGCGGGCGGAATTATTTTCGGTTTAGCATCCGAAGGGAACTGAGATCTAAAGCGATCAAAGAGTGTACTGCAATGTTTATTTAATTGTCTACATTTCATTTAGTTTACTAAAATCGCATTTGGTATATTTACAGATATGCAATTGTGATAGGATGCGGTCAACGATTCCACTCAGGAGTACTGCTTTCGGAGTGCACATCCTCTTAGCCGTTGTATTTTGCACTTTAATTCAATTATCAAAACAGGTGAGTGCAGTTTAAAGCTTTTAAATATTACTAAATCCTGGTTGGGTACCAAGTTTCAAGTTCTAAAATCCCTTAAAGACAAAGGAAAACGCAAAAGCGCGAAATAATTTTTTTTTTATAAAATTGTTATCGCTGTAAGCTGAACAATATTGTGCAAATTGCCCATGGAGCATCTGTTTTCAAATGTTTAAGAATACCTGCTGCAGGCTTGACGTCATCTTTAATATACTAATATACACATAAAAATGAATTCGAGTGAGTCAAAACAGATGCAAGCTAATTTTCTTTTTAAACAACCCAAATAATAGTTCAACATGGCTGTGAAGTGTGTGAAAAGTACGAAATATAAGTCCTCTCGACTTATTTATTCTTTATGCATATATTCCTGATCAGCATCAACAGCCGGTGTGATCTGGTCATGTCTGTTAAAACAATAATTAGTCTTACCAAGTTAGCTTCTTTGTTTTGTTTTCAATAACATAGATTTTTGTTTGATATTCATTTATAGTGATATTTGATTTATTTAACTAGTGATTTACATTCCTAGTTGGCATAGTTTATATGCCATGACTTTATATGACTGAAAAGGTTAGTGATTCGATCTCTTTGTGATCCCTGTACACCGAATGTACTCAAAAGTTGATGTCACATTTATTATCCACTTATAAACAAGGTTATTTAAAGCTTTATTTAATGAATATAATTGAAGGACTGCGTTTGGTATGGCGTTTGTAACACCGAGGAGACCGGCCACAGCCAAAACTGTCCCTATAATGGCACAGCCAGGGAAATGCCTTCGGATGGCTTGGAGTTGCTGAAAGATCGATGTGGATTCCTGATGGAGAATAGTGGCAACGAATTTTGCTGTGACAAGCAACAGGTAAGAAATCCTTAATTGCTAATAATTTGTGCATGTATTTTTAAAATTATTTTATTTTTTTTAGGTGGAAATTTTGAATAAAAATGTTAAGCTGGCCGCTAATTTTTTGGATAGATGTCCGTCCTGCATGGAGAATCTTGTTCGGCACATCTGCCAGTTCACATGTTCCTCACAGCAATCTGATTTTATGCATGTGGCGGAGACGAAAAATAATGCAAAAGGTTCGAAAACTAATTACTAAGTTCAGAGTTTATGCGTTAACCTTGATTTTCTCGAGTTTTACGTTTTTTTTTTTACTAATTTAAAGTCAAAGCTGACGCCAATTTTCTTAAAATATATTTCAGGTATTTCCTACATCAGCGCCGTTGATTTGCATATATCGACGGAGTATATAAATAAGACTTATAAATCATGCTCTCAGGTATATACATTCTTTTTTTTTTATAAAATGATGGATTAATTTAGCTAAATACTTGTTTTTTCTTTGCCAAGGTTTCCGTACCGCAAACAGGTCAATTAGCTCTTGACTTAATGTGCGGTTCTTACTCAGCATCTCGTTGCAATCCCACAAAATGGTTCAACTTTATGGGCGACGGTACAAGCCCATATGTTCCTTTTCAAATAACGTACATACAGCATGAGCCCAAAGACAAGAGCAATGATTTTAGGCCAACCAATCCAAAGACCATACCTTGTAACCAAGCGGTCAGCGTAAGTAGCTGGGATAATTATAATAATTCCATATAAATATTTTAATATTTAATATTTTATATATTTATATAGAGCAAACTGCCCGCTTGTTCTTGCTCGGACTGTGACCTATCCTGTCCTCAGGCCCCGCCCGAACCGCCGCCACCAGAGCCCTTCAAAATTGCAGGTCAAGACCCCTATTTCGTTATTATGGCTGCCGTTTTTATTGTTGGAGTTTTGGTATTTCTTATGGGATCGTTTCTGTTTACACAAAGTTCGTCAATGGGTGAGTTTTAGTGATTTCTTTCTAGTGCATAATTATTACCAACCAACTACAGTTAACAAGAAAGAAAGTCGAAGTTTGTATACCCTTGCAGTTCATAAATCAATCATAACTTGGCCAAAAATGCATTAATTTCGTTTTGGAAAACAGTTTTGAATTAGTTTTTACAGGGCTAACAAATCTGTTAAATTTCAAGTGATTCAAATTTTTGCCAAATTTTGACAATTTTAACGATGTAACCCCTTATCAAATTTTGAAAAAATGACAAAAAAAAAATGTCTTTCCGACATGGCTAGAAAGATTCGCCTGTTAATGCTGATCAAGAATATATATGATTTATGGCGTCGGAAATAATTCCTTCATTGCTTTTTAAGATTTTGACTAAATGTATAATACCCTGCAAGGGCATTAAAACATAAACTTTGAAAGCATTTAAAAGTTGAATTTTTTTGTTATAACCCTTTTTCCCCCCACAATCGATAACTTATTTTAAAATAAAATTGATTCAATGGTTAAATTCATTTCCCTCCTTTAGATGACAGCTTTCAAATCGATGGGAATGATGTCTCGGATGAACTGGCGTTTAGGGAGAACGATTCTTATTTCGACAAGCTGGGAGCTCGAACGGAATTATTACTGCAAAATGTATTCACCAAAGGTGGCACATTCTTCGCCAGCAATCCCTGGATGACTCTATTCGCTGGAGCCTCGCTGGTCGTGATCCTGGGCTACGGCATTACCTACATAGACATAACAACCGATCCGGTTAAGCTATGGGCATCACCAAATTCAAAATCGCGGCTCGAGCGAGAGTTCTTTGACACCAAGTTTGCGCCATTCTATCGGCTAGAACAGGTAATAATATAAGATCTCGTTTCGTGTAGATAATACATAAACCGTAACCAATCTTTTGTAGGTCATTATCAAAGCGGTTAATCTGCCGCAAATAGTTCACAACACCTCGAATGGCCCGATAACGTTTGGCCCCGTTTTTGATAGAGAGTTTTTGACCAATGTCCTAAATCTTCAAGAGGGCATCAGGAAGATCGAGGCCAACGGGACAATGCTGAAGGATATATGCTTTGCGCCGCTATCGGATGATGAGGACGAAATAGAGGACTCGAGTTGTGTGGTTCAATCGATATGGGGCTACTTCCAAGATGATCCCAGTCGATTGGATGATAATGACGATGATAATGGCTTTAATGTGAGTGTAGCTCTACAATAAGCTCTATATTTAGTTTCCAGGGAGAAACAAAAACCCTCTATCTATTTCAGGTTACCTACTTGGATTCTTTGTACGACTGTATCAGCAATCCGTACCTATGCCTGGCTCCTTACGGCGGTCCCGTTGATCCGGCCATAGCCCTGGGCGGCTTTCTCAAGCCCGGCGACCAGCTGACTGGAAATACCAAGTACGAGCTGGGGAACGCTTTGATCTTGACGTTTCTGGTGAGGAATCATCACAACAAAACGGACCTGCAGAAGGCCCTGCAGTGGGAGAAAAAGTTTATTGAGTTTATGACCAACTATACCAAGAACAGCAGCAGACCCGAGCACATGGACATTGCCTTCACCTCGGAGAGATCGATAGAGGACGAACTCAATAGGGAATCGCAATCGGATGTCCTAACGATATTGGTATCCTATCTCATTATGTTCATGTACATTGCGATATCGCTGGGCCATGTCAAGGAGTTCAAGCGCGTTTTCATCGACAGCAAGATCACACTGGGCATTGGCGGAGTCATCATTGTCCTGGCCTCGGTTGTATCATCCGTTGGCCTCTTTGGCTACATTGGGTTGCCGGCCACGCTAATTATTGTCGAGGTTATACCTTTTTTGGTGCTGGCCGTCGGCGTTGATAACATCTTTATTCTGGTCCAAACGCATCAGCGCGATCTCCGCCAGCCCAATGAGACTCTGGAGCAGCAGATTGGCCGAATACTGGGTCGTGTGGGGCCCAGTATGCTGCTCACATCGTTGAGCGAAAGCTTTTGCTTCTTTCTTGGCGGCCTTTCTGATATGCCGGCGGTGAGGGCTTTTGCCCTGTATGCCGGCGTTGCCCTAATCATTGACTTCTTACTGCAAATAACCTGTTTTGTTAGCGTTTTTACCTTGGATACCAGGAGGAGAGAGGAAAATCGCATGGACATTTGTTGTTTCATCAAGGGAAAGAAGCCTGATGGTATTGCCAGCAACGAGGAGGGACTTTTGTACAAGTTTTTCAGCAGTGTTTACGTTCCGTTCCTGATGAAGAAGGTGGTGCGGGCCAGCGTAATGGTCATCTTCTTCGCCTGGCTGTGCTTCAGCATTGCCATTGCGCCCAAGATAGACATTGGTCTCGACCAGGAATTGGCCATGCCGGAAGACAGCTTTGTCCTACACTATTTCCAGTCCCTGAACGAAAATCTTAACATTGGGCCGCCCGTTTACTTTGTGCTGAAGGGCAACCTGAGCTATACGAACACATCGGTTCAGAACCTGGTTTGTGCTGGTCGATATTGCAACGATGACAGCGTCCTGACACAAATTTATCTGGCCAGCCGGCACTCAAATAAGACGTACATAGCCCGTCCGGCGTCCAGTTGGATGGACGATTACTTTGACTGGTCGGCGGCATCCTCCTGCTGCAAATACAATCCAGACAGTGGCGGCTTTTGTCCACATCAAGGTGAACCTTATAATAGTAAATAATAGTAATAGTGATCTAAATTGATTTTTTCTCCAACTATTTCAGATACTTCCTGTAAGCGATGTGAAATCGGAAAGAACTCGCTTCAGCGACCCGACGAGCAGAGCTTTGAAAAGTATCTGCCCTTCTTCCTCAAGGATAATCCCGATGATTCGTGCGCCAAGGCCGGTCATGCAGCCTATGGCGGTGCTGTTCGTTACTCCACCGCCAGTGAACGACTGAACATTGAGGCGTCCTATTTTATGGGCTATCATACGATACTAAAGACCTCGTCCGACTATTTCCTGGCCCTGGAATCGGCCAGAAAGATATCGTCGAACATCACCCAGATGTTGCAGGGCAGACTAATGTCGAACGGAGTTCCTATAGAGTCGGCACTGACCGTCGAAGTTTTCCCCTATTCAGTATTCTATGTTTTTTACGAACAATATCTGACCATGTGGTCGGACACGCTGCAGAGCATGGGCATCTCAGTACTTTCCATATTCGTTGTTACCTTCGTTCTGATGGGCTTCGACGTTCATTCCGCGCTAGTTGTTGTGATCACGATAACGATGATCGTTGTTAATTTAGGTGGCCTTATGTATTATTGGAATATTTCGTTGAACGCAGTTTCCTTAGTTAATCTCGTTATGGCCGTGGGAATATCGGTCGAGTTCTGTTCGCACCTGGTGCACAGCTTCTCCATTTCGAGGTCGATCAGTCAGATTGATCGGGCGGCGGATAGCCTGTCGAAAATGGGCAGCTCCATATTCTCGGGCATCACGCTAACCAAATTTGCAGGCATCCTAGTGTTGGCCTTTGCCAAGAGTCAGATATTTCAGGTATTTTATTTCCGCATGTATCTGGGAATAGTTGTAATTGGGGCGGCGCATGGCCTGATATTCCTGCCGGTCTTATTAAGTTATATTGGTAAGTTCAATAACATATTTCATTTCAACTCGTAAATATTGATTGTTTCTTCCTATTTCAGGGGCTCCTGTAAGTAATGCTAGACTTAGGTTCCACAGACAGGCTGCTCTCGATCAGGAGACAGCCCTCGCGGGAATTCTTTAGATGAATACACCTTAGTTATATGGCATTAATCTCAAAAGAATATTTTAAATGTTAACTGGTTAAGGTAAAATAAATAATCTAAACGTAAACGTAATTGTGGTCTTTATGTATTCCTTTTTTGTTACCTGTATTGTTATGCTTTCGTTAAACGTAATAAAAGACTCGAATACCAAAGAAAAAATCCAAATTTACTTGCCTAAAAGCATTTGTACTTTATTTCTCATCTGGTGGGTATATTCTTAACGAACGGCACTATCTCTTTGATCCATTCGATGGATATTTCCGAGACCTGGCGCAGAAAAGTCTGCTCTGTCTGCACTATTTCCGTGAAAATGATATAGTTTGGCTTGTACTTGCCGTGAAGGACACTCGAGGGGTGAATTTTGGCACGAATGTTGCCCGAAACGGTTACATAAAATCCGTCCCTTTGCAGGACGGCAATGTTTTCAAAAAATCCATTTAGAATACATTTTTTCAACATTTCAATATCATCGGAACTGTTTAGCGCCAAGTCCATACCCGTGCTTATTTCGGTCAATTGGCGGCGCACATTTCGAGCATAGGTCAAGCTGCGTAGATTTAAATAGTTGTCGTGACACCACACCTGCAATTGTGAGAGAAAAAAATTAAGATTATGCTACTTAAATAGAAGAAAGTTTGGGAATTACTGCATACCTTTGGTTTTTCTGTTTTTAAAAATGCATTAAACACATTGAGCAGCGTTAGATGGTCTCCGTGCTTGGACTGGAACTTGGCATGAGCCAGGCTGGCCATTTCGTTTTTATCGCTGTTAGATATGAAAACATGATCGCTGGAGAGGACAGAGACCAGGCTCAGGATTTCCTCCATGCAGCCAAAGGTTGATGCCGTTAGCAAAAGCTTTGAGTATTTCGGATCCAGAGGATACTGCACCATTTGACGGCCCAACGGCGTTATGTGCGAAACTGAACCAATCTTGATGGCACCCAGAGCATCCAGGCTCTTGTAGGCGCTCCTCAGGCCCTCTTCCGACGGAGCGTCTAGGAAGTCGAAATTATTGCAGTCTATATCCAGGGCCAGAAGCTGAAGTACCATTGCCGTGGGGTTTGTACGTAGTATTTCTGGTTGGGTGGCCTCTGGAAAAGATTCCATTTCTTCTTTTGTATACGCTCGATAGCAAGTTCCGGCCGAATCACGACCTGCCCGTCCGGTTCTCTGCCAGGCCTGAGCTTGGGATATGCGCACAGACTTTAGGACATCCAAACCGTCGGCAGAGTTGAACGATTTCTCCTTCACAAAGCCGCAATCGATGACACACCGGATGCCCGGTATGGTAATCGAGGTTTCAGCTATATTTGTGGCCAATATCACCTTCCGGATGTTGGCCGGCGTTGGAGCAAAGCATTCCAATTGCTTGGCCTGCGACAATTGGGCGTACAATGTGTATACGCGGAGATCCGTACTACCAGCTAGGTCAACCTAAAAGTAAGGAGAAGCTTCCTTATATTTCTTTGTACTCTTTGTGGCAATTTAAAATAATAACTTACCTTGGCCAACTGACGTATTTGATGGGCTAGTGCTTCAATTTCCTCTTGCCCTGTTAGGAAGATTAAAACGTCATGGCTGTAACAATAATTTAGTTCGGTAAAATTAAAAAAAAAATATACAAAATGAACGAATTGTTTACAAGACTACCTACTTTCTTGGCGTTGTGCGGTGGATGTGGAAGAGCGTTACCAGCACGGAGTGGACATAATCCTCCTGCTTCTCCTTGGCATGCATCACGCGAACGGGATACGTCCTGCCCTCCAGATACATTCCGCGGCAGTTGAAATACTTTCCAAAATGATCGATATCCATGGTGGCGGATGTGACCACTACCTTTAAGCTGCCCAATTTCTGTCGCCGCCTCTCTTTTTGAGCCTCCTTCACAATGCCAAACAGCAAGTCGGCGTTAACGGTGCGTTCGTGAGCCTCATCCAGAATAATTGCAGAGTATTTGAGCAGTAGACGATCTTTGATCGATTCCCGCAACAGAACGCCGTCCGTGAGGAAACGGATTTTGGTACGCTTCGAGGTGACATCCTCGAAACGAACTGTGTAGCCCACAGTGTCGCCTATGCCCCCGGCCAGCTCTTGGGCCACGCGCCTGGCCACGGTAATGGCTGCTACGCGACGTGGCTGCGTGATTCCAATCATTCCGTTCTTGGCATATCCCGCATGCAGCAGGAACTGTGGAATCTGTGTGGTCTTGCCCGAGCCCGTTTCACTCATGATCAGCACCGTGTCGTTCAGCTCCAGCTCCTTGAGGATTCTCTGGCGGCAGTTGAAGACGGGCAGCGACTTTTGGTGCTGCTCGATGGTGGCTCGCTTGCTGGTTAGCAGAACAGGTGCGATCGTCTGCCTAACCTGTTGTGTAGTCGCCGCCGTGAGATGGATCTTCTTCTCCATAATGGGACTGCTGGCCATAGCCTCGTGCTTGCGCTTTATGGAGAATTTTACCGACGTAGCGCCGCCTCCGTTTTCTCCCCTGGTTGTGGCCATATATTTGGACTCCATTATTTACAGTCTCGTCGTCGGCCAGCACGTTTCTGGATTCGGACTTGGAAATATGTAAACAATGATTAAAACCCACCCAGGACAGCCTTAAAGACAATAATAAATAAGCGAAAGCGTGGCAACTTAATAATGTACGGCAATGCCAAGTACTTTACCTTTTAATCCTAATTCTATTTAAAAGTAACCCTGAAAAATATTTTACAAAACTCGACACGGCGGAGCAACAGGCGAGCGTTTATCGGTTATCGAAATTAGTGTGGCCAGTATATAACTTTGCTAAGCATATGTTAATAAAATTCATTAATTATGTTATATTTACAGTTAACTAACTTTAAGCTTTTTTGATTAGCAACCATTTTAAGAAATATTATATAAATCTACAAGTTAAATGAACCCACATGGGTCTCTATTTTATTTATGATTAGTTCCATTCCATTCTGTTCCTTGGATTTTATGCTTTTCCAAGTGCAGTCACACTTTTTGAAAATAACAATTTGTAAATATTTTAATTTATTTACGCTCATAAAATGAAGTCCGAAAAGTTAAAGAGAAACTTTTGGGTATCCGCCGAAATCGAGTGCATGCTCAATTTGATAAAGGAGGTCAATAATTGCCAGGGCGCTCTGTCCACGAGCACGACGCAATACACATTTATACAAATTGCCAATCAAATGAAAAAACATGGGTTTCCAAACAAGTCGCCCACGCAAATAAGACGGAAATGGTTTCAAATGAAAAGCGCCTATCTGTGCTACAAAAAGGGCAATGTCGACCGGCTGTTTCTGATACCCGAAAAGTTCCGAAATGTTATAGCCCAGTTTGTGGAGAGCGGTGAGAAAATTGGTCGTTCCAATCTTTCGACCATCTCGACAGGAAACCCGGCCATACATCAGCAAGAATGTATGTATTACATTTATCATTTATTGTTAAATCTATAAAATATAATACAAATTTTACCCTCAGCTATTTCCGAGGAAGATACCTCCATTACGGATAAATTTATGAAACAAATCAGAAGAAACAACAAAAGTGTGCTCCTGGAGTTCGCCAAGCTGGAGGAGTCTCTGTTGGAATACGAGCACAAGTGTCAATTTATCCGAGACAAAAATATTATAAAGCAGCTTGAAGTTAATTAGTCTATAATAAACAATTGTATTTAATTCATATTGTATTTAGGTCCACAATTTAGCATTTACAAATTTATTTTACATAATTAAACGAAATAAACACAACCTTAGAAAGGCTTTAAAAAATGTTAAAAAAAAAGGGGAACAAGAAGGCAACAAGTAAAAATATTTGTTTAAAGCCCGCTTGTACATACTGCTATTTTCAAACAGCAATTATGCTACGTTATTCTCTCACCTGAAACTGGTTTCTTATCATCTTATTAATCTGTGGATATATACAAAACATATTAGCCCAAGTTCTTGGGTAAACAATGCCACATAATTAATTCGTCAGTAGCTTCCAGTTAGGCGCTCAAAATGGCATTGAATTTATAGCTTTAAATACGGATGGCTCTTTAAAGCCCTGAATAGAACCAAAAAAGGGAGTTGACTTTACCAATTCAGAAAATTTGACTACTTAGGCCTCCTAATCAACTTAATTTGGCTTGGACAAACCAACTCAAATGCGGAAAACTCAATTACTTAATTGCGCTGCAAATATACAAATAGAAATCATTGGTATGTACTATACATTTCTGTTCACAAACTAGTTTATTTTTTTCTTTTAAGTGTATGTACGGGATAAAAATTGGCAAGCTATTTAATTTGGCCCCGAGTGCGTATACATAATGGTTTAAATTTATATATTATCTCTACTTGAGAGATCAGTTCAACTGACTTATTTTCATAAACATAAAGTCTCAGATATATATTCGGGAGTGTATTATATTTTGATTTATTTTTAACAAAATGTCGCGAGTTAATGTGCGCTTGAGCACTTTCTTTTTGTATACATAAGTGGCGGATTTAATGACGTGAGAACAAATTCGATATTCAAATCAATTAGAGTTTCAACTCTTCTCTTCTACAGACCCAAAACTTGTTCTCTTTGTCTCTCTTCCCTTCTTTGGCCATTGTTCGAAGCAGCCGAGAGCCTGGCTTTAACAGCGTTGCCATTTCTTGCCACTTTGTTAAAGCCAGTCTTCCATAATCCCACCGTTCCATCTCGTTTCAAGTCGGATAAGTTTTCCTTATGCGATTTATAAAAATTGTTTTTGTTTATTAAAAAAATTAATAAGAAATGGATTAGTTTTGATACAACATGCCGCGAACGCCACTGATTTAAGGGCAAGAAAGAAAGCTAACTTTGGCCAGCCAAAGTTTGTATACCCTTGCAGGCAACAATTAAAATATATCATAACTAAGCCAAAAATGTATTAATTTCGATTCGGAAAGCAGTTTTGTGTTAGTTTTTATTAATTTAAAAAAACTGCATACCAAATTTAAAATTTTAAGAAATCAAAATTTTTTGCCATTTTTGCTAATTTTAATGATGTAACCCCTTATAAAATTTTGCAAAAATGCCCAAAAAATCGATTTCTTCCGGACATGTCTAGAAAGATTCGCATGTTAATGCTGATCAAGAATATATATGGTTTATGGGGTCGGAAATGATTCCTTGACTTAGAAAAATATTATTTTGTATTATAAAATCGGATTTTTTATATTAAAAAACTTCTTGATTTTTTTTTAAATTAAAAATATCATAACTCGGCCAAAAGAGCATTAATTTTAAATCGGAAAACTGTTCTGTGCAAGATTTTCTGTAGTTAATAAGTCTGCATACTTTATTTAAAAATTTTGAAAATTCAATTTTTTATCAAAATCAAAAATTTTAATGATGTAACCCCTTATAAAATTTTGCAAAAATGGCCAAAAAATCGATTTCTTCCTGACATATCTAGAAAGATTCCCCTGTTGATGCTGATCAAGAATATATATGGTTTATGGGGTCGGAAACGTCTCCTTTACTGCGTTGCAAACTTCTGACTGAAATTATAATACCCTGCAAGGGTATAAAAATAAAACTCTTAAAATAAAATTTCAGATTTTAAATATTTTTTATTATATATATTGTTTTATTTATTTGTATATTTTTAGAGTACAATGTTATCTATAGCATGGATTATTTTAGTAAGTAGCTCTTTGTGCAGCAGCCTTGACAATGGCCTTGCCAGGACTCCTCCGATGGGATGGCTTTCCTGGGAGAGATTTCGATGTAATACCGACTGTGTCAATGATCCCGATAATTGTATAAGGTAAATGTTTAACTATTTAAATAACTATTAATAAGTAAATATTGTTTTTTTGTATTGATTTAGTGAACAGCTATTTCAAACCATGACTGATATAGTAGTCGCTGATGGATACGCATCTGTGGGGTATGAATATATTAATATAGACGACTGCTGGCTGGAAAAACATCGAGCTCATGATGGAAAATTGGTGGCGGACCGAAAACGATTTCCCAATGGAATGAAAGCTCTATCGGACTATGTGAGTACCTCAGACTAACTCATTTCGATCGAATTTGATTCGAATCTTTTGAAAGATTCATTCAAGAGGACTTAAATTCGGCATCTACGAGGACTATGGGAATTATACATGCGCAGGCTATCCTGGCATTATTGGTTATGAGGAAAAGGACGCAGATTTGTTTGCGGAATGGAATGTAGACTACGTGAAATTAGATGGTTGCTATGCGCTGCCCTATGATATGGATCGCGGGTATACGAACTTTGGAAGACTCCTAAATGCGACCGGAAAACAAATGGTATACTCCTGCAGCTGGCCTGTTTATCAAATATATGCTGGAATCCAGCCAAATTATTCGTCAATTCAATCGCATTGCAACTTGTGGAGAAATTACGATGATATCCAGGACTCCTGGGCGTCTGTCGAAAATATAATCGACTATTATGGCAATAATCAGGACTTGATAGCTCCTAATGCTGGTCCTGGCCATTGGAACGATCCTGATATGGTAAATTGTAATTATTTTTTATCCTTATAACTATTGAAACCGAATAAAATTTCAGTTAATTATTGGCAACTTCGGGCTAAGCTACGAGCAAGCGAAAACCCAATTCGCCATTTGGTCCATCTTAGCTGCTCCACTTTTGATGTCTGTGGACTTGCGAACGATTCGTCCGCAATTTAAGCATATCCTACAAAATAGAAAAATAATTGCCGTCGATCAGGATCCGCTTGGAATACAGGGAAGACGGATTTATAAGCACAAGGGAATTGAGATTTGGTCGAGACCTATCGGACCGCTCTACCAAAACTTTTACTCCTACGCAATCGCATTTGTAAATCGAAGAACCGACGGCACGCCCTCGGATATATCCGTAACCTTGAAAGAGCTTGGACTCGTCAATTTCTCTGGCTACAGAGTAGAGGTGGGTATCGGTGGTTATTAATTTATTTTTAATACTCGTAACTTGAATTCTTTCAGGACCTTTACGAGAATGTCGATTACGGCGTCTTGTATCCGAACACCAAAATCAAAGTAAAAGTAAATCCCTCTGGAGTGGTCATGCTGAAAGGAGAAGTACAGTTTCCAGTTGAATTGTAATATAATTTGTTAAACAAGATTGCCCAAAAGTGACTTTATTTGATACTAAGATTTGTCAATAAATTTTAATCAACCCCCCTACTGACTACTTGCAATAAAAGGGGAAGATAATATTATAATTTAGAGCTACAACATTTATATTGAACTCTTAATAAATAAAATCCTCTTAACTATAATCCCAAAACGGTTTTGTGTAAAATATAGTTTTAAAGAAGGGGAAAAAGCAGCCAATAGATAACGTTTTTCACAGTAAATAAATAGATTCAGGACACTTTTATGTGTTGTTTATTTTTTGAAATATTATTTTTTGTATATAATTATATCAATTATGTGATGTTAAAATTAGTTGTTGGTTTTTGAACAACCTTCTGTTTAAATTATTTTGTATAGGTAGGTAAAAATATTTTGTTTAATAGCTGGCTATAAACAATTTAAATCTATACGTATACGTATATCGTTCGTGCTAAGATTATCCTGTGTTCATCGATATTTTGACATCTCTAGTGATTATTATTCAGCTGGCATTTTGTCGTGAGCTTATTTTGAAACGAGTAAGTATAAACTATTTTCAAGTAAGTTTCTACACATATAATTTTTAGATTTCAGGACAATGGACACCGTATGCCGGGTTTGCCTCGAAGTGACTGAAAGCATGGTAAATATTTACAGGGGGACGACTAAGTTTGACATCTCGATTGCTGACATGATTTCGCAAATTACCGGCTTTAAGGTAGCCAGAGAGGATTCATATCCCGAAGGCATATGTATGCCTTGCCTGGAGGATGCGCAAAATGCATTTCAAATCAAACAAACATACGAGAGGTGCCATAAAATATTTTGCCAATTACGCGAAGAGCTAATGGATAAATCTTCGTGTGAGTTACCGAGGGATCAAGATGCCAGTGGAGAGGCTGAGCTGGCGTTCAAGTGTCCCCACTGTCCGAAAAGATGTAGACTTAAGTGCAACCTAACAAAGCATATAAAGCTCCACTCGAAGGAGCGACCATTTAGGTGTGACCACTGCCAAAAGACATTCAAGGACAGCTCTGTCCTGCAGAAGCACATCCGCATCCACACGGGCGAGCGTCCGTTCAAGTGCACCCAGTGCCCCAAGGCCTTCTCCTATTCCGGCTCACTGAGAGACCACATGCTTGGACATACGGGCGAAAGGCCACACCAGTGTCCCCACTGTTCGTCGTCCTTTAGATGGCAAAAGCTGCTCAAAACTCACTTGCGCACACACACCGGAGAGCGTCCCTACAAGTGCCCTGACTGCTCGAAGTCATTTGCAGCTCGAACCACGCTTGAAACTCACATCAGGACGCACTCAAAAATGCGACCTTACAAATGTAAATTTTGTCCGAAGTCGTTTACCATAAAGCAAAGTCTTTATTCCCACATGAAACGGCACAAGGAGGATCCGGTAGATTACACTGGGAAGGATCTTGAGGACAGCTTCTAGTTCCACGGCACTGTTAACTTTACATATGTAAAATGAACATATATTGTTAAATTAAATCTATTTGTAATATACTATTTAATATTATAAATATTAGTTAAAGAATACAGATCATCTGATGGCCAACAAAAGAACACACATACATCGTAGGTCTCTGTAATATCCATGGCGCTTAACAGCACCTTGCGTAATGTTATGAACTAATGTTTACATTTTAAGCTTTACAACTATTTAAAAACAAGGGTTTTATGTTCTCGTCTTTAAAAATTAACAAAAATGTAAGTTAATATATGTTTTATTTTAAGAAATGTTGATAGAAAAGCTATCGAATACTACTGCTTTAGGACCATGGAGATGAAAATCTGCAGGGTGTGCTTGGAAAGTTCCAAAGATCTCATTGACATTTTCCAAGGAAGACGAAAACTGGATATTGCGGACATGATCGCGCAGTGCACAGGCTTCGAAGTCAAGCCTGGCGATTCCCTTCCGGAAACCATATGCCCTCCCTGCCTGAAGGACGCACAAAATGCATCCACTATAAGGCAAACCAGCGAGCGGAGCCACCAGTTCTTCTGCCAGGTTCGCGATGAGGGCTTGGAAGAAGCCCTGTGCGCCTTGCTCGAGGAAGAGGATTGGGATATGTCGGACAATGAATCTGAGGAAACGAATGATGAAAAGACCTACTCCAAGGAATCACCATTTGAGTGCCGCAAGTGCGGCAAGACCTACAAGCTTAGGGTGCAGTGGCTAAGACACAAGAAATCGCATACAAAAAACTTCCCCTGCGATCTGTGCGCAAAGTCATGTAGAAGTAAGCATGAGCAGCAGGTGCATATGAACACCCACACGGGCAAGCGTCCGTACAAGTGCACCCACTGCTCGAAGGGCTTCGCACAAAATGCCACTCTACAGTCGCACATCCGGACGCATACCGGCGAGAAGCCGTACAAATGCGACCAGTGCGCCAAGTCCTTTGTCAAGTCATCAGATCTTCGGCGGCATAAACGCACCCACGAGGGCGTCCGGCCGCACAAGTGCTCCGATTGCTCGGCGTCGTTTACGCGAAAGGCTCATCTTCAGGATCACATGAAGACCCACACTGGTGAAAGACCGTTCTCCTGCCTGCACTGCTCCAAGACGTTTGCGGTGAATTCATCACTCCAAATACACAGCCGTACGCACACCGGTGAGCGACCGTACAAGTGCTCTAAGTGCTCCAAGACCTTCAGTTCGGGCACCACCCTCAAGGATCACATGAAGACGCACAGCAAGGCGAAGTCTTTCAAATGCACTCACTGCTCGGCGAAATTTGCGCAAAAGAGGGGTCTTCGTAGACATTTGTTAACCCATAAAGATTCTGATTCCCATTCAGGCTCTGAGTAAAACTCATTTAAATAGAAATAATATTAGTTAATTCATAAATCACTGCAGTGATCGACCAATACATGAAGTCAATAATTTTCTGTTATAAAAATGTAATTTTAAACATTTGCAGAACAAAATCTATTGGTTTTACTTAACAGCGATTGCACAGGGTGATCAGTGTAACATCTACACAATGTAAACAAACATCTGGAAAACCATTTTTGTTGAATTAATAAAACAGCAACAGCAGGTAATCTGCCATAATTTTCTACAATTGATTTACTTGTTTACGGATTTAAACTGACAGGACAATGGAGGGGATTTGCCGCGTTTGCCTGGGAAATCCCACCGGTGACTTGGTTAACATATTCGATGCCAGACGTCGGACTCGAACCGGAATCTCCATTGCCGACATGATCGCGCAGTGCACAGGCTTTAAAGTTCGACGGGGCGATTCCTACCCAGAAACCATTTGCCCGCCCTGCCTGGAGGATGCGCAAAATGCGTTTAATATACGGCGGACATGTGAGAAAAGCCATCAGTTCTTTTGCCAAGTGAGGGATGAAGGCGTTGAGGAGGCCTTGTGTGCCTTGCTCGAGGAAGAGGATTGGGATATATCGGACAACGAGGACGAATGGAAGAATGTAGAGCAGGCTGATAACAATAGTAATAGCGACGATGAAAACAATAATGATGACAGTCAAGGAGATAATGTGAATGAAGAAACTTCCTTTGAATGTAACGAGTGCCGGAAGACCTACAAGCGGAGAGCTCCCTGGCTAAGGCATATGCGGACACACTTGGTGGGTGGACCAGACCCATTCTCCTGCAGTCACTGCCCAAGGGTTTTCCGGGCTAAAATTCAGCTGAAGGTGCACCTGCACACTCACACGGGCGAGCGGCCCTATAGCTGTGGCCACTGCCCGAAGAAATTTGCCCAGCATGCGACGCTGCAGTCACACATCCGGACGCACACGGGAGAGCGTCCCTTCAAGTGTGCCCAATGCAGCAAGACCTTCGTTAAGTCGTCTGACTTGCATCGCCACGTTCGCACGCACTCAGGTCTTAAGCCGCACAAATGTTCCCAGTGCTCGAATAGCTATTCAAGGAAGTCCCATTTGGAGAATCACCTGCGTTCTCACACGGGTGAAAAACCATTCAAGTGTTCACAGTGTCCGAAATCCTTTTATCTGAAGCACCATCTCCAGGAGCACATCCGAACGCACACCGGCGAAAAGCCGTTCAAGTGCTCCCAGTGCCCCCAGTCCTTTAGTCAGAGCAACACTCTTAAGAGCCACATGCTGACGCATAGCAAGGAGAGATCATTCAAGTGTTCCCGCTGTTCCAGGACATTTAAGCAAAGAAGATCGCTCGGAAAGCATGTCCTCACTCATGATTGAGGGATATTTAATGATAATATTATATTTGAATATTTTGAAAACTTGTAAAAATTCGTTTTTTATGGAATATCTGAAGGGACATTTAAATTGTTGCGCTTAACAGCACCGAATAAACAGGGTGTTCAATGTAACGATTGATGTTAATCAGCGTCAGCTGATCTATGTTTATCTGTTATCGAATGAAGGAGTTTCACAGTTGTTTAAAAACCCACAGAAAACAAACTTTATTAAAATGAACAATGACAACCCCAATATAGTATTTAATCCCCTGATTAGCTGCATCCAGAAGGTAGTGCTGTATGAGACGCGTACGGTAAGTAAAGCCACCCAGCTTCGGTTTTTCGGTGACTAAACATTTGGTTTTTTTCGACAGCGTCTCTATTTGGTGGGCAGCAACAACCGGGAGACAAGATTCCGCCTACTCACCATCGACCGTCTGGCGCACAACCGCCTAAGCATTGAGGAGAATGCCAACGAGTTCAACAGCCAGGAGATTAGGCGCTTTGTGGCCTCGCTCACCGGCTCGCCGAGGGTGATTTCAGCTTACGGTGTGCTTGGGTTCGTACGCTTCCTCGAGGGCTACTACCTGCTGCTGGTGACCAAGCGCAAGTGCTGTGCCCACATCGGCCGACATCTAGTTTACACCATTAAGGACACGGTGATGGTGCGCGTAAACGAGGTGACCTCCCAACGTCCACCGCATCCCAACGAGGTCCGTTACAAGCGGATGTTTAGCAATATCGATTTGCGCAGCAATTTTTACTTCTCGTACTCGTACGATCTGACGCGGACGCTGCAGTACAACGAGTCGGCACCGCGCTTTGTCGGCGCAAAGGTGGACCTTGACCGTGACGAACCATTGCCCGACTGGAATTCGCTGACCAACAACGTGGAGCAAACGCACGAGCGCGTGGACTATGCATTTCGCAGTGATTCGCGCAAGCGTTTCGTATGGAACGCCTACCTGTTGCAGCCGATGGAGGGCATCATGCTGAAGGACTGGTTGCTGGAGATCACACACGGCTTCGTCAGTCAGTCGTGCATTAGCATCTTCGGGCGCCATGTCAATGTCTGCCTCATAGCCAGGCGGAGTTCACGCTTTGCAGGCACTCGCTTTCTGAAGCGCGGCGCCAACTTCCAAGGAGACGTGGCCAACGAGGTGGAGACGGAGCAAATTGTCAGCGATGGGCAGCGGATGTGTGCCTTCACCCAGATGCGTGGCTCAATTCCTTCGCACTGGTCGCAGGACATCAGCAAGATGGTGCCAAAGCCACAGATTCAGCTGGACATATGCGATCCCTACGCCCAGACGCCGTCCCTGCACTTTGAGCGCCTGCTGTTCCACTACGGAGCACCGCTGATAATGCTGAATCTGGTAAAGAAACGGGAGCGACGCAAGCACGAGTCGATCATATCCAAGGAGCTGGAGTATAGCATCCGCTATCTGAACCAGTTCCTGCCGCCGCCGCATCGCATGAAGCACATTCACTTCGATATGGCGCGACAGAGTCGCCTGAGCGGCGGCAATGTCATGGAGCAGCTGGCCATCCATGCCGAGAGCATTATCCAGCAGACGGGGATGTTTTTTAAGGCCCCCGGCAGCGACCTGGGTCTCCAAACGGGTATCGTGCGTACCAACTGTGTGGACTGCTTGGATCGCACCAACTCGGCCCAGTTTGCAATTGGTAAGTGCGCCCTGGGCCATCAGCTGGAGCGTCTTGGCTTCGTGAAGTCCGCCAAGCTGGAGTTCGATTCGGATTGCGTTACCATGTTGGAGAATCTCTACGAGGAACACGGCGACACTCTGGCCCTGCAGTATGGCGGATCCCAGCTGGTACACCGGATCAAGACGTACCGAAAGACTGCTCCCTGGGGCTCCCAGGGCAGCGATGTCATGCAGACCCTTAGTCGCTACTACAGCAATACGTTCAGCGACACCGAGAAGCAGCACAGCATCAATATCTTTCTGGGGATATACAAACCCAGCCTGACAAAGTGTGAGTATCCTTTCTCCTGAGTTTCCTTCTTGAGATTTCGAGATTTCCCATGTTCCACAGTGGGTCCACCCATCTGGGAGCTCCAAACGGATTACGACATGCACAACGCCTTCGTGCCCAGCACGAACAGCAAACCACTCACCGACTGGGTGCGCCACAAGGTGCGCGAGTGCCTGCCCCACTCCTGTGCCGACTCCAACAAGCTGGTGCGGGAGCTGTTCCGCGTCCATAGCAGCGGCCTGGAGATGATTGATGGGTACTCAAACTATCATCAATCGTTCAAGTGGACCGACTTCAGCGAGCACATAGCCTTTGAGATCTGCCAGCTGGCCATGCGCTACATGCCCACATTCCGCACGAACTATAGTCCCTTCCAGCGGCAAATTCAGACGTCGCGAAAGGCCCGCCAGAATCCCTCGATGACCGGCCAGAGTTCCACGGGTTCGATGAACAGCAACTCGTCCAGCTCCAGCGAGGGTGACGACAGCTCCAGTGACGAGGAGCTGAGTGCCAGTTTTGCCGAGAAAGACGGAACCAACCAGACGGAATCGACTGAGCCGGCTGCCTTAACTCTGGCCTCCAGTTTGCCAACCATGGAGGAGATCTATGGATGTAGTATTAGTGCGCCCTCCAAGCACAGCATGGCCATTTACAAGAAGTACGTGCAAATGGGAAAGCTGTCCAGTGGAGGGGCCCGACCCGCCCAGACAGCCGTGGCTCAGCGGGACCAGGAGCTGGCCAAGATAATGCGAGGAATCACGCTGCGACCACTCAGTGACTATGGCACGGACTCTTATTTAAGCGTTCGGCCGCCAGTTGTGTCGCAGGAGAGTAAGCTGGTGTATGCCGAGTATTGCCGTACTAGGAGCACCTTTAATGCGGTGCCCAAGCTGGAGCAGTTCGATGTGCTCTATCAGTATGTTCAGGCACTGTAGGTTGAACTTGAGAAGTATTTAAGTTATCGAAATGTATTAAATGTAAATATATTAAATGTATTATTTAATATTTATAATTTATATCCAAAGAATCTTTCAATATCGTAAGATAGCTACTTGATCCCCTTGGAAATCCACATAAAAACCAATCCATCGTCTGTTTCTACAATTTATTTAAATAATTCAATTTCTGCTGATGTTAAATTACAAAGATTATTCGTTAAAAATACTCAGATATTGCTAGCATTGGAACACGGAACCACCAAGAGCAGCTACTGGTCACCAGCGTCCGGATGATGCTTAGTCTGATGATATGAGGGCTCCGCGGGGCCGGCCGAGGCGTGCATGGCATTGTAGCCGGGCTTCTGGCCCAAATGGAGCAGATGGCTAGTGGTTGGCTTATACACAGTGGCCAGCTCCTGTGCCAGCATGAATTGCTCCTGCTCGGGAAAGTCGTGTTCGCAGTGGTGTTCGCCGCATATTTTGCACTCGTAAATGTTTGGTCGCAGGGTGTTTCGGATGCGCTAAGGGAAGGATAATGTGTTAATATAAAAAGGAATATAACGAAAAAAGTCTTCAAGTCTTACTTCCCAGAAGGTGTCGCCGCTGGCTCGCAGGAAGTTGATCAGCGCATAGCCAGGTATGCAGATCAGCGAGAAGGAGGCAAACATCCAGCCAATGCCGTAGGCCCAGTCGGGATACGTGTAGCGTCCATTGTGGTAGGTGGGCTCGTGGTAGTTGATCAGGCTGAGAACCCAGATGGCCTGGAAAATATACAAGTTTGTGAAACCATCTGGACGAGAGGATTATGTCCGGGTAACTTACAAAGAGCAGACAGGGTCCCAGGACAAGCCAGCAGGACTTGAGATAGAGCGATGGCGCCTTGCCCGTCATCTGCTTGACATTCTTCGAGAGTCGTCCTGTGCCGTAGAACCACGCTATGGCGATCATTTGGCAGAAGGCCAGGAACATGATCGTCACGGAGGCGGCATAGTGATCCATCAGCTGGAAGTAGTAGATGCCGCCCTGTATGATGTTCGGCATGCCGAACAGGCAGGAGATGACGCACACAAACAGCACCACGATCTCATGATACCCCAGATGCCGCTTAATCCAACGTGGAAAGCCGTCCTGTATCGAAGTGACCACCACTTCCACGATGGCAAACTGTGAGTTCAAGCCCAGGCAGAGCAGCATGAAGAAGAACATGACCGCCCAGAGCTGGGCATACGGCATCTTGGCCATGGCCTGAGGATATACCACAAAGATCATGCCCGGACCATCACCGATGACATCGCGAACATTGGTGTTCTGCTCCAGGGCCAGATTCCCCAGCGTGGAAAACGCAAAGATCCCCACCAGCAGGCTGGTGATCATGTTCACCGCACTCACGGCCACCGTGTCGCGCAGGATGTTGTTGTTGTACTTATTGTAGCTGGCAAAAGAGATCATCGAGCCGAAGGTGATGCCCAGTGAGTTGAAGTTCTGCGAGGCAGCATTGATCCACACATTGGCGTTCTTTAGTTCGGACCACTTGGGCCGGAAGAAGAAGCGGAGTCCCTCGGCGGCCCCATCCAGGGTGACGGCCCGACCCATCAGAATGATGATGAGGACAAAGGGAAAGGTGGCGGTGAAGTAACGCACCTTGGCCGACGACTTGATGGACTTCCAGGTGGCGAAGTAAACCATCAGCCAGGCGCAGATCAGACAGGCGAACAGCTCCCAGCGCATCATGCCAGGATACTCCAGACCTCCGCTAATCTGCAGGACTTTGTTTCTAAAATATTGGTAAGAGATAGGGGATTAATCTCAAATAGGATTCAAACTTGCTTCACATCCTTACTCAAAGAACTCCTCGGAGGGAGTGCGTGAGGTGTCTGGCGCCGTGGAATTGTTTTCTCTGCGTTGTGGCACCCAACAGTCCGGCGTGTTCCATCTGAAAGTAACCAGTTGTATTAGGTTTCCGCTAAAGAATAAAGGATCATCTTTAACCAACCTATTGTTGCAGTCAATCCAGGGCATCTCCGTTTTGAAGGACGTAAAGAAATAGTAAATGGAGTAGCCAATGATGACGCTGTAGTAGGTGGACATGAGGAACGATACCACCACACTGGCCAGTCCGGCTCCTGGAATTAGAGCAGGCAATTGTGATTCATCGAGTCAAGACCAGTTGCAGCTCAAATAGAGACATTATGGCGCTTTACATGGCAGTTGCATTGAGTGGAGCATATGGAAAAATTAGCCTTAATTAGGCCAGATGAAAATCGGACCGGTTTTGGAATCACATGTCTAGACTGGCTCTCATCTGCATAATTGGCCATCGCGAATCTTGGTTAAATAATATTAAACGTTATTAATATTTATGGCCTGGGCGTTGTGGGCGTGCCAGCAATGTGGTTTGTTTTGGCGAAATATTGACAGTAATTAAGCGTCACGAAAATGCATTTGTAAGCAAGATTCACGGGCAATGTAATGACAGCCTTAGCCTTCGTCGCACTGCCTTGGGGTTTTCACGCCACCGCCACAACAATGACCCAGCTAATTAGCTTCCGTCTCTGTATGCAAGTGGAGCTATCAGCGGATTTGGATTCGGGGTTCTGGTGTAAATCAGAACGGAAAACACGGCTCTCTAGCAAAGCGCCAAGCGGGTCTAAATATTTGCCCGACCTTGGCCATGGACTAGGCCCGAAAGCAGTGACACTTTTGTTCTATTTGTCATGGTAGGATGGACAAGCCCAGTTTCCCTTTGTTGTTGCCGGGGGCTTCTAAAGTTCTGGATGGCGTGACGCATTTACACACAAATGACGCCATAATTTGTATCTCCGGAGATACTCTTTTGTTAGATAGATACAACATTTAAACAAAAATAAAATGTCACGATGATTTGTTTGTATGTATTTTTATCTAGTGATAAAGCTGATTTTATATACTTTTGTGCTATTTGGGCAACAGGTCGCATGGTTGATATTTACGTTAAATATAGTATTTATACAAAAGATTAGGAAGATATGATTTCTTATTTAAATAAATACGAAATATACGGAATTTGTAATGTCGATGATTTATATTTTAATTTGTTAAGTATATTAACATATAGCAATATAGATAAATACCCTTTTAAAGAATTTAAATATTTCAGATCTTCTTGAAAGGTATATTTTATGATTTTTATCAGTGAAGGAGTCGTTTCTGACCCTATACATCATATATATTCTTGATCAGCATCAACAGACAAGTCTTTCTAGTTAAAAAACTTAAAAAAAAAATATTTTTTTTCAAAATGTCAAAATTTGATAAGGGGTTACATCGTTAAAATTCTTAAAAATTGACAAAAATTTAAATATCCTAAAATGTAAAATTCCGAATGCAGATTTGTTGACCTAGAAAAAACTAGCACAGAAAAGGTTTCCGAATTAAATTTGATGAATTTTTGACTAAGTTATTATCGATTTTTGATTCGAGGTTCCTATTGAAAACAGCAAGGGATTTCGGCTTCCCCATATTTGTACTAATAATTTGAATAAATGAACTAAATTTCAGCTGTTCACAGATTTGGCTATGATACAATAGAATCCATTATTTATTAATGTTATTTTCAAACTCACCTTTAAACAGAGGACACAGCTGGCCCAGCGCACCGATGGGTCCTCGGCCAGTGTATTGGCCGACAGAAAGCTCCATAAACAGCAGTGGAATGCTGCATATGAACAGTATTATGCAATAAGGTACTAGAAAAACACCTGTAAACGAACAACGATCGACAAGATAATTATGTACAAGTGCAGTATGAAGCAGCTAGGTAAATAAATTAAATGAATTATAAATATTTGACAGCGACAAATGTAAATTGTACAAGAGACAAGTCTATCTATCTGTGTAGCTGCCCCCTGTCATTATCAGGAGGAGGAGGAGGTCGTGTGCCAGTTTCCCTCATTACAATTCCGAGTCCAAGTGTAAATGAAGACGGACGCAGGCCTCCAAGCTGGCTCGCGTGATCGAGAGAGAGAGACACCGACCAAATGATGACAGTGACCGCTCTATTCCGAGCTCAAACAAATTTTAATTTATGGCTTTTAAACGCTCCAGCGGAAATGCCGCTTAAAGCGCAAAATTGTCAAATGCTTTTTCAGAGCAACTGAAACACAAAAAATGAAATCTTCCCAGCGCTGTCGCACGAAATCAAAGTAACTATATCAAACTATCTTTATATATCCCAGGCCTTATCGCATGTGGCAGACCTTTAGCGGCACTCTTGGTCTCACAGGGGACTTCCGCTAAGCCTTTCCCAGGAAAACCAGATATTAAATGTGAACTGACCCCTTTGACTACTTGACTTTAAATTGAAATCGGAAAGAGACGAAGAGTCTTACAGGCAAATATTCTATTAAAAATAGAGCTTTGCCTAATTTATCACACATTTTTATTATTATTATGCCAAAAATATTAATTTAAATGGGTTGTAATTATAAATTTATATTAATAGATAATTAAAATAATTATTTAACAGACTTACCACCGCCACTCTTATAGCACATGTAGGGAAACCGCCAGACATTGCCCAGGCCCACCGAGTATCCAATGCAGGCCAGCACGAACTGCATCTTGTTGGCCCAGTGCTGCTGGCGTGGCTTCAAGTGGGCGGCCTCATCGGACATGTCCAGGTAGCTGTCATCGTCATCAATGCCCAAGGGCCTGGAGAGGTTTGCAAATAAAAACAAGAGTAAAATAATCAGAGAAGCACGCTCGGAGATTAGGTGATGCGTCAAATGACTTAATCATAGTAATCACATGCCAGCAACGAAACCAACAATGGGGGCTGGCCATTGGAGGTGCCAAGTGGGACAGTGCATTCATTGTTGAATCTGGGGGAAGCTCTGAGTACTCTCTGGGGTTGTCATGTCACGGGTGTGGATACGGGTGCCATGTGGGTGGCGGTGTCATGAATTAGACAGACAGCCGTTCGTGTCACTTTGTGTTTAGACTTAAAAGGGTAAATATTGAAAAATATATGGCAATCAACCAGGGAATAGAGTTATCAAAGGTCTGTTTATAGAAAAATAAACTAGGAAGCATCATAGATTATTAAACAATTTTGAAAGTTTTAATTCCACAAATTTTATAAGACTTCTTTCAGCTAATATCTAATCATATTTACACATTTTCATGCCCCAGAGGACCTCTATATATAGGTAAACTATAAAAAAATGTATCTTTACACTCTTTTGTGGATTAGTGCTAAGTGCCGAGTATAAACAGTCCACTTATCCATTAAATAATCATTCATGTTTAATCAGCATTCGATCGCTAATGTTCCAAGCAAACACATATGTTATGTACAGAGCGATCCCCATGGAGCTTTAGATACAGACATGGCCTGATTCGAGTTGCATAATCACTGAATATTGCCTCGGATTCTTACACTTTGGCCACCCGATTGAAGCGGAAGACGGACTGCTCCGACTGGGACTGGACATCATAGTCCTGGCGATTTGGCATCTTAAAAACTACGTTCTCGAAGCTTGGGTTATCTGATCTGAGGACGTGCGCTAGGGTAACTCGTGATGCTTATCCTTATTTCACGTTATCCATGCGGCCATCACTGGGGACAGGATACTAGGAGGAGGAGGGTACTGAGACTGAGGAACTGATCGGTTCGTGGCTTAGCGCGTTACTGAAAATGAATCCGGCAGTTTTCCAACGGGTTTGCGGCCTGCCCGTCGCCCACATTGGGGAGTGGTAATTGCTACGGTCAACACTCACACAGATTGGAGCACTCGAATTCGATCTATTGATCTCGTTAAGGAACGTTGCTTAAAAATAGCCAGTGTGCGGCTGGCCGGCACGTTTTAACAAATCCGTTGTGGAACCATATCATGTGGCCCGTTCCCTGTTCCCAAAGATGCCACAAGGGTGTTAAAATTCGTCTGTTTGCCAAATGGCCAAACACCATGGGCTTTCTATGCATAGGTGCCAAATGCTGGACAAATTTGCGCCAATATTAGCCATTAGTTTTATCGGCGCCCCTTTGTCAATATGCTAATGGCCCTAAAAACTACAGAGAGGGAATTGGGTATTGGGGAAATGGGTATTCTTTAAGATGGGTTTTCTTAATATAATTTATAAAAAAAAAATATAAATAATATTTTAATTCTGTAAAGTTCTTACTGTTACTCTTTAAGTTGGGTTTTAAATGATAAAATAAAACTAAAAATAATATTATAATTCTGTAAAAGCTCAACTTACGGCGGCGTCTGTGGATTGACCATGTCGAATAGCTCGTTGGCCGTGGTCGGGACTCGCCGGATGACCAGCTTGCGCCCGTCCGTCGAGCCAATGCCAATGGAGGCCAGCGAGCGTACGGATGTCACATCGGAGTAGATCTGGTTGGCGGCCAGGTCGTGAAACTGATAGGAACTGCCGCTCAGCGAGGCCTGCGGTTGCATATAGAGCGGATGCGGTGCCTGTAAGCCGGAAGTGGCCATCGGCAGGCCTCCGACCAGGTTGTTGCTGCTGTCACTCAGGCCGGGCAGGTAACCTGGAGGGGGATTAAGGAGAATGTTTTGATTAGATTAGGAAAATTAAATTATGATGTATTAATTAGTTAAGTTAGTGAATAAGATAGTCATCTAAGTGTCAAATCAACGTTTTTTGTGTACTATTTTTCCTTGGATTTATTCAATTTTAAAAATTATAAGTGTATAAAAACGTACTTGGTAAATATTTTTCAGTTTAAAAAAACTCGGCTACGCTCTGTTAAAAAAAAGTTTGTAAATAATAATATGATGTAAGTAGTTGAGATTTTTTGCATAAATTTAAATAAAAACAAATCGATATATATATTAATATATTTGTTTGCAACAAACTGGTTTTATACGTAGCTTTACTCTGTTTCGAAAGGGTTTAAATCCATTCAGCTTAATGGCTTACAGCTTGAAATATGATATCTATAAATATCGTATATACTAATTTATGAGCATAACAAATTTTGAAAAAATGGTTGTGTTTTGGGTTAATAATTCACTTAAATAATTATCATTGCTATTTCAAGATTTTCTACGGGTATGCCTTACAGTAAAAGTAATAGATCTTTGTTTACATGTGTAATATTTACTATTATTATTTCTAAAAACAACTTTATGCACTCAAGACCCAAACATTTGTGTAGAACAACCTTTTCAAATGCCTTTTCGAGGGCTTGTAATTAAAAGATTTATAAGAGACTTTAAAGTCAGCGAAAAAGCCACTCGACAGCGAACAATTACTTGTATATACGAGTGCTTTGGAAACCTAATCTGAGAGGGGAGACCCACCTGAGACCACGGATCGCATGCTGCTGTGGTGGCTGCCGATGCGCGAGCGCAGCTCCATGCTGAGCGGCGAGACGGCCACCCCATCTCCGGCCATGGTAGTGGTGGTGGTACAGGTCAGGGTTGCCGGCGTGGGCGAGATGGGTGGCAAAGGAGCCGGCGGCTGGCCATCGCAGTCGTCTATGGTAAAGGTCACCGTGGAGGTGGAGCCACCTTCTCCGGGAGGCGGTGCCTGCAGCTGTTGCTGCTGCTGCTGCTGCATAATCATCTGATGCTGTTGCGGTTGCAGTACTTCCGAGCTGGGCCGTGACTTTACCGATGTCTGTCGGTTGTAAGGCGGCTGCTGCTTTTGAAAAGACGCCGCCATAGCCGCCAGCGAGGTGGTGGAGCTGGCCTGCCGGAAGGGCGTTGGACCCGCTGAGGTGCCGGCAGGTGGGGTTCCCGGCGTGGCCGGTATAATGATGAACTTGTGGGCCCGCGCCGAGGGCGAACGTATGAGTCGCGCCTGCTCATCACCTTCGTAGCAGCTCTCCGCTCCGCTGTCCGAGAGCTGGCTGTGGCGCAAAGGCGTTAGACCGGCCTGAGGCGTGGTCCGACTCGTCACTTGGTCAGGTAAGCCAGCGGTGGCATCTTTCTTGTCTGACATTGTTCTGGTAATGCTGGGGTGTCGTCGCTTTTAGTTGCTAGTTGCTAGTGGCTCCTGGTCACTTTATCATAAAATCATGTTTGTCTCGCGAGGCTGCTGGTTTTTGCACTGGTCCACTGATGATGATGATGCTGCTGCTGGGGCCGCTCTCATAGCTATCATCATCGTTGCGGGTTCTGTTTTGTCACAATTTTAAATCACATTTAAACCTTGGATTGCACAATGCGGTGCTAGTTTCCTGCTATTGTTTGCCGCGTGAGTTTAGGCTTTTAAATCAAAACGAACTGAATCACATGTGGAGGAAAGCAGCGAGTAATCTTTATTGGCCTTAATAGAGCAGAGATTACTTTCTTGAGAGTAAGTTTCTCTCCCCCGATTTTAATATAAAAATTAAGGTTGTTGTTTCTTCCGAAATTTCTTGGGAATTTACCAAAATAAACATTCTGTGGACTTTCACAACTCATTGCTCCCCCATAAAAAAAGTGGTGCTCTTTCAAGTGGCGGGCATTTTTATGTGCACTTGATATATTTCTCGTATTTGTTTATATAAATAAACAAGCTCGAGTTTTGGCCCATTTATATATTATTTTATCACCGACCACACACAGATAAACGCGAGCTCCCCCTCCACTCCCTCACTCACTGTGAGATACTCGCACTCAACTCGACAGATACAAATTTGTATCTTATCGGCGAGGGGCTCCAACCTTAAAGGTTTCTCCCCCCAGCTCCGCTCTTGGCGACTGCCTTTCTCCGTGGGCTTTCGTTTTTATTTTTTCTGGTGATGGCTTTGAGTGACGCTTGCCTGCCAGTTTTGACCATATCGGGCTCTGTTCGACAGCAAAGACAGCGCAGAATTAATTTGAAAGTTTCCACGGACTACGTCATGGGCACGCGATCTGCTCCAGTGACTTTCCGGTCACGACCCGGTCACTGAATGTAATTAATAATTACGCATCTTGCACTGTATTTGCGATATAAATTCATCACGCTACGGGGCCTTTCCTCGTTGTAATATGGAAAATAAGCCACAGTAAAATGTAAATTTCTGACTCGCGAGAGAACGTCTAGTGAGCTAGAAAACATGCCAATGCTAGAGCCGATCGTATTTACATAACTGTCTAGGGGGTAAGCCTCTTAAAAGATCGTTCTTCTCTCTTTTAATAATGATCATCTGTTGGGGCTTTTGTGGTTTTATTTCAGCCAAAACTTGATTGATTGCTGGCAACCGAGCAAAACCAATAAATCATTTATGGTGGGATGTGGTAACTGATAGCTTTTAGGGCTGAGAAAACGAAATCTTGGGTAATTGCTTTCTACAGAGAAGAACAATGGGTCACCAAGATATATAAGTTCTCCTGTTATGAACGTAAACCTTCTACAGATGTTCCTATTCCTGGACCATAAAAAATAGTTAGCACCCCCGGCAACTTGTTAATGAAAACTGTGCCCATCTGTTGCAAAAGTCGTCATTATACAACTTCGGTTTGTTTGTTCAGTTGCTGAATTTAATGATTGCTTTGCTGCACTCCAAACCAAAACAAATAATATTCACGGCCAGTAAAATAATAAAATTTAACACTGAAACACGAATCACCGCTGATAGATAGATAATCGCTCACACACTTTAATTATGATAATCAGAGCGACATCAATTGCCGCTTAATAATGGTAATTTTATTCATTTTGCTTGATTCACATTTTCCTGTCGCCGCTTAATTCATTTGTTTCCATTAGGGAGATTCATTCATTCGCTCGAACAATGCCTAATTTCAATCATAATACTCGTAATAACATAATCTACACACACATTTTAGATCAAGATAACGCGGCGTATACTTGATGTATGCCGATACCATGCGATTGCAGTTCAACTTTCCGTAACACCACTTTCCACGTACGTTTGAATGGCCCCCGGCGTATTCGCTTTGAATTATGGATCCGTCGGCCCCGAGCGAAACGTGCCAACACGCGCGCCGTCAAATGTCAACTGATCCAATCCCAAATCCACGTTTGCGAATATCATTTACACTGCGGCGCACCACAAACCAGGTCTGCTCTCTGTCTATCTCCCGCTCTGTGGGTATGGTTCTCTCTCTCGCTGGCGGAAGACTCTCCCGGAGAGCTTGGTGTGTTGATAGCAGAGGGGCAGATATGAAAGGAACCACTGCCCGTAATGGGCATTATGAGCTACGGGTTAAGCTAGTTGCTTGAATATTAATTCAGATTAAATGGGCCGACAAAGAAGAAGCTACAGTAGCTTGATTGTCCAGATTCGAGGCAGTTTCCAATTGAAATGCTGGCTTTAAATTTAATAAAATAATTAGCAAGCTTCAGTTTTAATCAGAAATAAGTCACAATCTTGAATTTTGTTTATTTATATTTATTTATTTATTAGTTTACAATAAGCGATTACAATTATGTTCGTTTCTCGTTTTTTCTTCTCTTTTACAAGTACAATTTAACTATTGTGTTTTCTTTTTACAATTAGAGAGCTTTCTTATTTCATTTTTAATATTTGCTGCCAGTGCAAAAAGTTGTGTTTACTCAGAGTTGAACTCTGTGTTTAAGCATTTTTTAAAATATATTTTTTATAGCGGTTCTTCCAAAGAAAAATAAAAGTGTTTTTTAGTGAATATTGTGAACGATGCTGGGTTATTTTTTATAATTTGTGCACTTGTTTAAATCACTCCCGGGAAGGAGTTCTCTGGTTTATCTTGGGCTTATTAAGAAAATAATTTTATGCCTGGCTTGGGTTCGGATTTGTGGAAAGACCTATAAACAATAATAAGCTACTAAAAATACCATGGGGATTGCCTGTTTTATTTACAAATTCTGTCTGTCTCTTTGTGTGTCGTTCTGAGTGCGAGTTTATTTCATATTTTATGGTATTTTACTATCAAGAAAATTCCCTTTCTTCACGTTCGGCTTAAAGTAGTGACTATACATTTTGTTTACGTTTAATAATATTAATTTAAAACTTCATTTTTTAATAATTTAATTTTATCCAGACCGCCCGCAGCTCGCCAAACAGACCAACCACTGATCAGCCCCCAGCAGGATCGAACACGAACTGTAAACAGGCGCCGGAAGCGGAAATTCGCTGCTTTGCTTCCGGCGCGTTGACAGCTTCGAGCCAAATCCTGAGAGAGCATATGGATGGGTAGGTGAGGCAGGCTCGACAGCCCTGGTTCGTTGCCTTTTTAAGTACTTTCTACTTTCTTTCGTCTCTACTACATATTAGTAAATTAGTGGAAGTATCTCTTTTGCATTAAAAACAATCACAACAATTTAATATTAATTGACTAAAAAACTACAAAAATAATAGGGGTTATTTGTATATAGTAGAGTGTAGTAAGAGGTCGGAGGGGGAGGGACAGAGGTCAAAATCAAATCCTCCATTAGTCGTCGTTGCGATTAAAATTATAAACAAACCTAGTGTTTCCTATGCAATATAGATATATAAGATATAAGATATCCTTTGTGCGCTGTTGACGCCTCAGTGGCAGTAATGGTTCTGCTTTCGCTACAAGTCCTGGACAGGATTTCGCGTGTGCCTTGAGCCTTGCTCTTGGTTCTTCATGCGTGTGTGTGTGTGTGTGTGTGTGATACCTAGGGCTTGTGTAGAATCCATCTAAGGACAATCGTTGTCATATTGTCCTGTGGTTTTACGAGGGCCACACGCGAAATGTCCTTACTGCTAGAGAGAGTATTATTCTGGAGTGCATTGTTCGGTCTTTTGTTGGAAATCAAAGGCAGTTTTCAATTTTAACAGGCTAGTATCGTGTTTCGCGATTATTATAAAATTACAGGAAGTAGTCTCGCGTGTGTGTGTGCGTGTGTCTGTGCTATAATACAAGTGTCCTCGTCGTCGTCGTACCCACACCCTAAACGTTTATAGGAAGTCCTTAGTTATGCATATAGTGTAACAATATTAATATTGATAATCGACTAATGAAGAAGTTGCCGTTAGAGGACGAGAATTCGTTTGTAGTTGCCCTCCGTCCGTACAAACGCTACGCGGAACTCTCATGTTAGTGGGAAGAGAGGAGAATACTAAACGTTAATACAATTAGTAAAATTATTTTCTTAAGCTACTAAATTACGAGCATACTTTTCTCGCTTTGCTTTTTACACTTCATTTCTTCATTTTCTCTTTCTTTCCGAGTTTCGTTTCACAAATGTACTTTTGTTTTTCTTTCATTTCTTTCACGCTTTAGTTATAGTTTCTGTTTCATTTTCCAGAACTTTTTGCACTTTTTTGCTTTTCAAATTCACATTGATTTCATTTTCTTTCGATTTTCCTACAGACTAAAAGATATAGCTAGGTGTTTGTGTATGTCAGTGTGTGTGTGTTTTACGTTTCATTTAAGATATGTAGTCCGGCGTGGGCTCGGGCACAGCGTCGGGATTGGCGAACAGAGGGTTGGGAAACTCTGGCGGGTGGGGCAGGGGGGCAATGGTCTTGGGTCTTCTTCTGTAGGCCATAAGCCAGCAGGAAACCGCCACGGCCACGGCCACAAGAGCCAGTAGAGCCGTGATGACCAGAGCAATGATCAGGCCCACCATCGAAACGCAAATATCCTCAACGCGCTGAGCCGCCGGTTTGACTGGAAAAGAAAAGCAAGAGATATTCAAATTAGATTGATATAATACTAAGAGAGATATATCTCTCGATTGGAGGTGGAAATAAAATAGATTGTAAAATCGATTAATTGATTTTTTTTTTTCAATTATGCAGTACATTGATATACATTTTCAGAATCGCTTTAATCACTAGAAACCTATTTATTTCCAGCTCTTCTGTCGAGATACATACATATATGCACGTTCCCTATAAAGTATAAAGAGGACTACTCACTGTTGGCATCATTCAGGCCCTGGCCGCTGCGCTTCTCGAATGTGAGAATGGCATTCGACGAAATGGTAATCTCTTCGCGCAGTTGACCCTCCACACCCGAGTTGGTGGCAATGGCGGTCGTATCGGTAGAGTTATCCGCAATGGCGCGACGGCGACGCCCGAAGGCATTGTAGCCGCCGCAGTTTACAGGCTGGCAGCGTCCAAAGCAGACGCGTATGTTGCACTGGAAGCGGATGTTGTCGCTGGACGGGAACTTGAAGGCATTGAAGCTGGCTAGAAGGCTGTTAGTATCCGGGTTGTACTCCCAATTGCCAAAGATACTGGTATCGGTGGCGCAGCCATTCTCATCCGTGACCAAATACTCATTCTGGACATTGTCCTCCATGGTCTTGGCTATGCAGGAGCGGGCAAAGCCTCCATAAATGGCTGTTTTTGAAGAAGGAAATGTTTTATTATATATAAGTAATGCTTTTAGATATGGATATTTATATTAAGAAAATATTAAGATTAAGATTTTTTAATTATAAAAATTATTGAAATAAAACTTGGACAACAAATTCTTAAGAAGTTGGGCATTCATAATAAAAAATAAGAAACAATTAAATACCTTTTACCCCTCCCTTAATATATAATACTTACTGGCTGGTTCCACGTCCACTTGCAACTTGAGATTGTCGCCGATCTCGGCCGAGTTGATCTCCTCGCCCTCGTTGGTTATGATTCTCATCTGGCAGATGGGCGGCGGTCCTGTGTTGGCTATTGTACCAGCAGTCGTCAGCATGGACACATTAAAGCCCAGGGTAACGTTCCTTTCGCCCGTCTGGTAGACACACTTGATGTTGTAGGCCTGAGCCTTGTAGGTCACGAGCTTGGGATGCTTCTGGATGACCAGCACAAAGCTGGCCACATCCTTCACGGCCTGCATGCTGCAGCTACCAAAGTGAACGCGGAAGATCTCGGTGCGTGGGACAGTTTCTCCGGCCAGATTGACCACTCGTCGGCACTCCTCGTCCTTGCTGTGACCCTTCACATACAGAACTCCATTGAAACCGGGCTCTGTGATGTGGATCTCCACCTGGACGCCATCGGCCAGACAGCTGACCACCATGTCGGGTCGTGGGAAATCGGTACGGAAGTTGGTGTGGTTGCAGTGGAGGTCGGGATTTCCTGTGTAACCAGTTATGCACTGGCACTGGGCGCGATGATTGACGGCATTGCAGAAGGCATTCACTCCGCAGGCCTTGGTCAGGCAGGGATCCTCACAGGTCTTGGTGTCCAGGTTACAGAAACGGTTATCGGCGCACTGATCATTGCTGGTGCATTCCGGTGGCTCTTCCGGCTGGCATTCGCCGCGAGGCGTCAGACGGTAGCCCAGGTCAATGGGGCAAGTACAACGTCCGCGTTCGTCAATTACCATTCCACGCTCCAAGGCACACACGCAGTGTCCACTCTCATCGATGCGGAAGCCCTGCTCCACTTGGCAGGGAGTGCAGTACTCGTAGATATCTAAGGCAGTGCCCGGCGGGCAGACACACTGTCCATCCACGTCCCGGACAAAGCCCTTCTCGATGACGCACAGAGAACGCTTGTCGCACTGCACGGCCGCATTGCCGGTGTAGCCTTCCAGGCACTCGCAGATCATGGTCCTAACGGGCAAGGTGTCCCGGACGCGGCACTCTGCGTTGACTCCACATGGCTGGGTGGCATTGCAGGGATTCACGCACTCACCGCGCAGGCAGGCTCGTTGACTAGGACAATCCGCGTCGCTGATGCAGATGGGCACCTGGCGCTCTGACTCGCAGCCATTTCTTCCAGGCACGGTTCCTGGCGGGCAGGCGCATTGCGGCCGATGCTGGTACACCTTGCACAACTCATCCTGCGCACAAATCGCAGTGGTGGCGCAAGGATCATTGCATTTGCCATTCACGCAAGCCTTGTCCGTGGGACACTCATCATCAGAACGGCATCCCAAGGGAGTACAAGCAATCCTGGCATTTCCACCATGTCCTGGAATGCACTCGCACACGGCGCGATGCTCTATGGCCAGGCACTGGGCATTGGTTCCACACTGCTCGCCCTGGCAGGCGGGCACGCAGAGCTGGTTGCGGCAAGCGTGGGTTCCTGGACAGTCGGAGTTGATGCTGCACTCGATCTTGGAGCACTCGAACTCGGGATTACCCTCGTAGCCCTGGCGACAGGTGCACACCGGCTTGTGGTCCTTGATGCGGCACTCCGCATTCAAACCGCAGTTGCAGGGATCTCGGCAGACGCCATTAAGGCAGGACTTATCCGCCGGACAATCCGAGTCAGAGATGCATCCTCCCACCTTGGTGATTCCTGTCGTGGGCTTGCAGCTTCCACTGCCGCTGCTGATGTATCCATCGGGGCAAATGCAGATCATTGTGCGCACAGGGGAAGTGGGCGTCACTTGGCATTGGGCAGGCCGTTGGCATGGTTCCAAAACCAGACAGGGATCCACGCACTGTTCGTTGATGCAGGCCTGGCGGGCAGGACAGTCGGTGTCCAGCCGGCAGAGGGGTTGCGGTGGGGGTCGGCAGTCCACGTAAGGATTACCCAGGAAGTCGGCGGGACAGCGGCACACGGCCAGGTGATTCTGGGCCCGGCATTCCGCTCGCGGAGCACAAGGGTTGTGGTAGACGCAGGGATTAACACACTGCTCATTCTGGCAGGTCTTGTCCGTAGGGCAGTCGTTGTTGCTGCTGCAGCCGATGACGCGACAACGCTCGTATGGATTACCGCGGTAGCCACTCAGGCAGCGGCACTGGGCACGGTTGGACTGGACATAGCACTCGGCATTGGGGCCGCAGGGATCGTTGATCAGGCAGGGATTGATGCAGTCTCCATTAACGCAGGCCTTGCCCGAGTCACACTCGCTGTCCACGCGACAGCCGATGGAGCGACAGGCGGCATAGGGATTGCCCTCAAAGCCGTCCTGGCAGCTGCACACAGCGCGATGCTGGGTGACCTGGCAGATGGCATTGGTTCCACAGTTGCAGGGATTGCGGCACTGTCGATGAATGCAGGCCTCCTGATCGGGGCAGTCCTGATCGCTCTCACATCCCGGCGGACTAGGCAGCACCAGCTGCCGGCACTCGCCACTGGCATCGGGCACCTGGGATTCGGGACACTCACAGACCATGGTTCGCACTGGAACGCTGTCCAAGACGCTGCACTGGGCAGATCTGGAGCAGGGTGAGAGCTCTGTGCACGGGTTCTGGCACTTGACATCGATGCAGGCTAGGCCACTGGGGCAATCGCCATCATCTCGGCACACAGGCTCTGCCAGACGCGGCTCGCAGTACGAGTAGGGATTTCCCAAAGGCAAATGCTCCGGGCAGCGACAGACAGCGCGATGCTGCAACGCCTGGCAATGGGCATTCTGGGCACAAGGATTCTGCTGGCCACAAGGGCTCACACACTGGTTGGATACGCAGGCCAGGTTGGAGGCGCAGTCATAGTCAGAGTGGCATTCCAGGCGCAGGCAGCGCACAAACGGATCTCCCTCCAAGCCCACAGGACAACGGCAATTGGCGCGATGATTCCGTCCAAAGCACTCGGCATTCAGGGAGCAGGGATCCGTGATCAGGCAGGGATTGACGCACTCACGGTTGAGACACTGCTTGTCGCCGCTGCACTCGTCATCCGACTGGCAGCCAATGGGAGCGCAGCCAAACTGGGCATTGCCCGAGTAACCAGGCTTGCAGTAGCAAACAGGATGATGGTTCTTCACGGAGCACTCGGCATTGGGTCCACAGTTGCAAGGACTCACACACTGGGTGTTGATGCAGGCCTCGGTGGCGGGGCAGTCGGCGCTGGACTTGCAGCCCACGGTTATCACTCCAGAAGCTGGGGGAGATTATGATGTTAATTGACTTTGCCAGGAAGGTTATAATATATTGCTAGACTTACGTGGTATGCAGCGATCCTGAGGATGCCCAGTGTAATCTGGGGGACAGCGACAGATGGCCTTGCGGTTCTGCACATGGCAGTAGGCACCAATGCCACAGGCATCCGCAGCGCAAGGATTCACACAGAGCTCATTGCGGCAGGTCTTATCTCTGGGGCAATCATCATCCCGAGCACAACCTGGAGCATTGGGTATTCTGGGTCTTTCCACCTCCGTGGAGTAGCATTCGATGCGTGGATTGCCCTGGTAACCCTTCGGGCAGTTGCACTGCGCGTAGTGATCCCGGGCCGTACATTGGGCATTGACGCCACAGCGTTCCAGGCGGCAGGCATCTAGGCAGTTGCCATTCGAGCAGATTTCAGGATTGGCGCACTCCGAGTTGTGTTGACAGCCCACGCTGACAGTGGGTCGTTTAATGGCCACACAATTGCCAGAGTTATCGGTCACAGTGTCGCTGGGACACTTGCAGATCATAGTACGCAGCGGCAGGGTGTCCAGGACATTGCAGGTCTGCTGGGGCGTGCAAACGTGAGGACTTGCGCAGGGATCTGCGCATCTCTCATTGATGCAGGCCAATCTTGAGGGGCAGTCGGCATCCTGGACGCACTGCGGCTTCGGCGTCTTCTGTGGTATATCGCACTGGACGAAGGGATTGCCCTGGTATCCGGGTCGGCACTCGCACTGAGGCTGATGGCGACGACCCACACACAAGGCATTGAGAGCGCAGGTCTCCTGTTCGCAGACCGGACGGCAGACACGATTCAAACGATCGCAGGCCTCGTGATCGGCACAATCCTCGTTGTATTGACAATGACCCGTGATGCAGGAGATGAAGGGATTGCCCTGGGTTCCGGCGGGACAGCTGCACACGGCCTGGTGGTTCTGGGGCAGGCACTGGGCACCGCTGCCGCAACGCACCTGGCCATGGGTGCAGGGATTCACGCAGTTCTCGTTCAGGCAGGCCTTGTCGTAAGGACAGTCGGCATGGATCTTGCACTCAGCTAAAGGTTAACACGGATGAGTGCCTGATTCTTGGAGGGATTTTCATGTTAATACTCACGTTTGTAGCACTGAACCTGGGGGTCACCACCCCATCCTGCAGGACAATAGCAAATTGGACGATAGTTCTGCACGCGACACTCGGCATTGCCGGCGCAAGGATTGGCTTCGGCACAGGGATCCTGGCAACGCTGATTGATGCAGGCCTCATTGGCCTGGCACTCCGAGTCATGGGTGCAGCCAGCAATGATTACAGCTGGAGTTGAGATACCATTTAAATTTAAAGTAAACAAGGATTAAGGAGATTGTGAACTTACGTGGCTGATAGCAGTTGGTGAAGGGATCTCCTTGGGTTTCTGGCGGGCAGCTGCAGATGGCGCGATGCTGCTGGGCCAAACACTGGGCTGTGCGGGCACAAGGCGAGGCATCCAGGCAGGGATTGACACAGTTACCAGAGCGACAGGCCTCCGTGTCCTGGCACTGATCATGCGAAGTACAGCCCTGGTCACGAGCGGGTTCTAAACCATAAAATCAAAGATTAGTTTTCATATTTTTAGTTTAAAAAAAGCTTGCAAAGTGCGGCCAGTGTAGAGCAGTTAAGAGTTATAGAGTGCATCTTAAGGATACATATATACAAGTACAAGGTGCAAGGCTATAAAAAGGATTTATATTTAATTTGTATATTTAATAAAAACTGCTGCTGGAATGAAAAAAGCAAAACTCAGAAATAAAGCATAAATAAAGGATCATTATCCTCTTAAGCAATCCTCAAGCAACTTAATCTTCTACAAACTTTGTCCTTAACCCACCTTTACGACATCCTATATCAGCGTCACCCACATAACCAGGCTCACAGCGACAGATCATGGTGCGCAGAGGAAGAGTATCCACCACCTCACAGATGGCATTGGCTCCACAAGGATGTGTGACCGCGCAAGGATTCTTGCACTCGCCTCCAAAGCAAGCCAGTTTGCTGGGACACTCAGCGTCCATGGTGCAGCCCTCGGGTTGAGCTGGGACCAAATCACACCTAACCGCCGGATTGCCGCTGAAACCCACTGGACAACGGCACTGGGCACGATGATTATCCACTCGACATTGGGCTCCAATACCGCAATTGCAAGGATCCTCACAGCGTTCATTGCGGCAGGCCAAATGGAAGGAGCACTCGTCATCCGAGCGACACTCGGGACGCTCGCAACGGACCAAGGGATTGCCTCGATAACCGTCAGGACAATGACACCTGGCTCGGTGGTTGAAGTCAGCCCGGCAGATGGCTCCCGTTCCACATTGGGTAAATCCACAGGGATCCACGCACTGCTGATTGATGCAGGCCTCCGTGGCGGCACATTCGCCATCCGATCGGCAGCCCAGTAAATAGCAGTGCTGCAGGGCATTGCCGGTATAACCCTCGTTGCAGACGCACAGCGGTCGATGGAGCTGGACATGGCAGCGTGCCTGTTGGGCGCACAGGTTGGACTGCTCGCAGGGATTGCGGCAAACCTGATTGATGCAGGCCTTGTCATTGGTGCAGTCATTATCGCTAATGCACTCCGGTTTGGGGGGCTGAATCTCAGGGATCTGCCTCAGGCACTCGGCATATGGTGAACCATAGAATTCCGGTGGACAGCTGCAGACAGCCTTGTGGTTGATCGCCCGACAAATGGCATTATTGCCGCAGGCATTCAGGCAAGGATCACGGCACTTCTGGCTCACACAAGCCCTATCCCTGGAGCAATCTTCGTTAATCACGCACTCCGGATAGCTGCAGGTGGCGGCTCCATTACGCACACGGCAAATACCATTGCTGCGGCACGGCGAAGGCTGGCAGGGATCCACAGGTTCAGCCTGGCGAGGCTGCTCGCATTGCACGAAGGGATTGCCCACCATATTGGGCGGACAGCTACATACAGGACTGTGGTTAATTGTCTGACAAACGGCTCCAAATCCACACTCTCCCACGCAGGCATCCACGCACTTGGCATTGATGCAGGCCCGATCCTTGGCACAGTCAGAGCTAAGAGTGCACTCAGGGCGACAGCCCTGTGCCAGAGGGTTACCAAAGAACCCTGGCAGGCACTCGCACACGGCCTTCTCGTTTTGAATCCTGCAAATCGAGTTGGGTCCACAGGGCGACGGATAGCAGGGATCCGAGGGAGGTGGCGGGGTTAGTAAACGCGTGCACTGCACAAAGGCATTGCCTGTATAGCCCGCCGGGCAGGAGCAGATTGGTATGTGATTATTCATGCTGCAAATGGCCTCCAGGCCACAGACTCCAGGACAAGGATCCTGGCACTTGTTACGGATGCAGGCCTGGTTTGCCGGGCACTCGGAGTTGCCCACACATTCGGGGCGACAGCCCTCGTAGGGATTGCCTATGTACTCCGCCTGGCTGCACTCGCAAACGAAGTTCTCGCCCTGCACACGGCAGATGGCATTAGTGCCGCAGGGAGAGGGGTAGCAAGGATTCTTGGGAGTTGGCGGGGGAGCGGGTATATCTGGAAAATAAAAGGTAATAAAATGGGTTAGGTTAAACGAATATATTTTAGACCTAATCTGCCTGGATTACAATATGCAAACTTGGGGTAAACAGGGGCAAGGAAAACCTAATAAAGGTCACTTGGGGAAAGGGACTCGTCTTTGGTCAATTACAAGTCAGTTATAGGATTCAGATCAGACATTTTTAAGATATAACCTCAGGGATGGACGTAAGATTAAGTTCAGACATTTTTAAAGAAAAATTTCAAGATAGGACTCGGATGCTTACTTTGAGGTATGGCCTGGCAAATACGGAAAGGATCACCAGTCATGCCCGCCGGGCATTGACAGTTGGGGGTGTGCAAGGTAACCCTACATTGGGCATTCTGACCACAGCTACCAGGACAAGGATCAGCGCACTTCTGGTTCATGCACGCCAAAGTATTAACGCACTCATCGTGACTGACACACTCCGGCCGGCAGTTCGGCGGTGTGCCTTGGAACTCCGGCAGACAGCGGCACTCCGCCTGATCGTTGACATTCCTGCACTGAGAATTGGGACCGCAGGGCGAGGGCTGGCAAGGATCGCGTACGATGTGTGGTAACCTAGGAATAGGACTGCACAGGGCATAGGCATTGCCGGTATATCCTGGGCTGCATTCGCACTGAGCCCTGTGCTGGATGGCCTGGCAGATGGCATTCAGGCCACACTTGCCCGGACACGGGTCCATGCATTTGTTGTTGATGCAGGCATGCACCTGGGAGCAGTCGGAGCTGGAATAGCATTCCAGGCGGCAATTAGGCGGCTGGCCAAAGTATCCAGTGAGGCAGGAGCAAATGGCATTGCCGTTCCGCTCCAAGCACTGGGCGTTGGCGCCGCATGGCGAAGGCAGGCAGGGATTGGGTGGTGTTGGTGGTGGATCATCGCGTATGGGCGAACAGGATACAAAAGCATTGCCCGTCATCCGCTCGGGACAGTGGCACATGGCAATGTGGTTGACGGCATCGCAGAGAGCATTGGGGGCACAGTGTCCCGGACAGGGATCCACGCACTTTTGGTTCACACACGCTCGGTTCCGGGGACAATCCGAGTTCAAAACGCACTCTGGACGACACCCGATGTAGGGATCACCCTGGTACTCGGGCAGGCAAGAGCACTGGCCATTATTGCACAGAGCATTGGCTCCGCAGGGCGAGGGCTGGCAGGGATCGGAGGGAGCTGCAAGAGAAAGGGGGCCTAGTTTAGAGGAAACCTCGGGACATTCGGTTGGCTGGGGGATCATACTCTTCGGTGGTGGCGGTGGTGGCTGCAAGCGACAGCTGGTGAAGGGGTCTCCCGTGTAGCCCGCAGGACACGAGCAACTTGGCGTATGATTGATGACACTACACTGGGCGGCAAAGCCACAGGCTCCCGGACAAGGATCACGGCATTTCTCGTTGATGCAGGCCAAATTGCTGGGACATTCCGCATTGATGGTGCACTCTGGACGGCAGTAGGGCGCCGCTCCCACATAGTTGGGCAGGCAGGAGCAACTAGCTCCATTATTGACCACCCGACACTGTGAGTACGGTCCACAGGGTGATGGTACACATGGATCACGGACATCCTCCGACTTGGGTGGCTTCGGTGGCGGCTCCAGCAGGCAGCGGGTCAGCGCATCGCCGGTGAATCCTGGTAGGCACGAACACAATGGACTATGGTTCCTCACATGGCACTGGGCATTCAGACCACAAGCCCCGGGACATGGATCCTGGCACTTCTGGTTGATACAAGCCTTGTCCGCGGGACACTCGGCGCTAATCACACACTCCGGCCGGCATGAGGGCGGCGTGCCCACAAACTCCGGCAGGCAGGAGCAGATGGCCTGTCCCTGGGATTCGCGGCACTGGGAATTGGCACCACATGGCGATGGCTGACAGGGGTTGACATACTTCGGTGGGGTGGCTAAAGGGAATTTAAAGGATTTTTTCTTTTAGGATTTTTGGCACTCGAAAGCAGGGCGAAAGCGAAGCAGTGATTAAAAGCGACCCAAAAGCAAGTTTAACTATTCCTAAAGCTAGCATATTGTCACAGAGCAGGGAGAACGAGTCCTCTGGAAGACGATGAGCTGGAGATTATACAAATGAGGTAGCTGAAATAAGATTGGTTTAGGGTAAGGTTGAGTACAGCGTTGTTGTTTGAGAGAGCAGAGTTCCGGGATAAAATATCACAGCGTTTAGAATGATATCAAGTGTAAAGGGTATTTAAGACAGGAAATATCCTTTGTATAGGTTTTAATATCATTTTCTTTAGCTTTGGCATTGTAGCACAGGGTTTATTATCGTCGAGAGTATGAATGTGGTTAGGGAGAGCTGAGGATAAATATCACAGGGTTCAAAATGATATCAAGGAGCAAGAATATCTTAGACAACAAATATCCTTTGCAATGGGTTTGAGTCATTTTGCTTTGGCTTCACAAGGTTTTATTATAGACAAGAATGTGTATGTGGTTAGAGGAGAACGGAGTTCAGCTGGGATTGTGTTGGTCAATACGGCAGAGACAGAGACAGAGGAGGATTAAAGAGTTCCCTGCTTAAAAATAAGATCACTTAGCTGAGGATTAAAAAAATGTGTTCATTTAGAGTGCAGCGTTGTTTTTTAGAGCAGTAAAAACTTCTAGGATTAGGTTCGACTTAAAATAAGATGGCACAATATCACAGAACAAGGTCAATGGGTTTAGGGTTTCCACGAAAGGCAGCAGAGATTTCAAAAAATAAATAACCATATTATTGCTTAAAGAATAAAGCCGCATTAGGTTCAATATAAGGCATAACCCAAAATATATCTTCTTACGTTCTTGCTGCACTAAGCGACAGCTGAGATAGGGATTTCCCACAAAGCCCGGATGACACTCGCACACCGGACTGTGGTCAATCACCTGGCACTGGGCATTGAAGCCACAAACCCCGGGACAGGGGTCGCGGCACTTCTCCTGCATACAAGCCCTGTGGCTGGGACAGTCCGAGTTGACAGTGCACTCGGGTCGGCAGATCTCCGACGGATTTCCATAATAACCCGGCAGACACTGGCACACGCTCCAGTCATTGTGGGGTAGGCAAATGGCATTCACCCCACATGGACTGGGACTACAAGGTTGGATTCTAACTGGAGGTGGACTTGGCTCTGGTCTCCTACAAATGCTGTACGCATTGCCCACATAGCCCTCGGGACAGTAGCAGATGGGACTGTGGGCCACAACTCGACAGAGGGCCGACTGGCCGCAGCTGCCGGGACAGGGATCCAGGCACTTGTAGTTGCGACAGGCCTTGTCCGCCGGACAATCGGCGCTGCTTACGCACTCGGGCCGGCAGAAGGGCGGTGTGCCATGATACTGGGGACGGCAGGAGCACCGAGCACCGGCCGGTGTGGCCTGGCACTCGGAGTTCGGACCACAGGGCGAAGGCTGGCAGGGATTAACCACTTCGTCGCGTTCTACGGAAGGAATAACTGAGAGGTAAGGATTAGTTTGCAGTCTGGGAGAATCTTGGGAAGCTGTTTCGTTACCTATGGGCTGGCAGGCCAGCAGGGGATTGCCCGTCAGGTGGGGTGGACACACGCAACGGGGACTGTGGTTTTGCACGTGACAAATGGCACGAAGACCACAGGCTCCCGGGCAGGGATCCCGACACCTGAGATTCAAGCAGTACTTGTCCAGGGGACAGTCAGAGTTCGAGGTGCACTCCGGACGACAGGCGGGGGGAGTGCCCATAAAATCGGGCAAGCAGTAGCAAATTGCCTGCTCATGATAGGGGCGACATTGGGCATTGCGTCCACAAGGAGACGGTTGGCAGGGATTGACTATGGGAGCTCGCTGCGGCACAATGGCTGGTAGAGTCGAGGGAGGTACAGTGGCAGGCAGCGTGGGCGTGGGCTTGGGTTTCGGGTCACATCTTACAAAGGCATCGCCTTGCATTTGTTCCGGACACGAGCAGATGGCCAAGTGGTTGTACACCTTGCAGATGGCATTCAATCCGCAAGTACCTGGACAGGGATCTTGGCACTTCTGTCTAATACAAGCCTTATCTCTGGCACAGTCAGTGTTGAGTACACACTCCGGCCGGCAGCCCACATAGGGATCTCCTCGGTACTCCGGTATACAGCTGCACTTTCCATTGCTGCACACCGCATTAGGTCCACATCTCGATGGGTAGCAAGGATCCTGCACTGCCGTCGGTTCACGTTGAACGGTGGCTATCGGCGTGGGTTGGCAGGAAACGAAGGGGTTTCCGGTGTAGCCCGCTTGGCAGAAGCAATTGGGCACGTGATCATGGACACGGCACACTGCGTTGTAGGCGCACATTCCTGGGCATGGATCACGGCACTTTTGGTTAACGCAGGCCAAGTGCGAGGGGCAATCCGAGTGGACAACGCACTCTGGTCGGCAATTGGGCGGCGTTCCTCGGTAGTTGGGCAGGCAGACGCAGGCAGCAGCTCCAAAGCGATTGTGACACTGGGAGTAGGGACCACAAGGTGAGGGATAGCACGGATTGAACTCAAAGGCCGGCCTTGCCACGTCGTAATGTGGACGAGCTGGGACGTTAATTACTCCAGGAACTGGCTGTGGTCTCTGGGTATCGTAGTGAATGACCTCTTGAATCGGGGTTTGTGGGGTCGCAGGTATGGGTTGTGGCAGCGAAGGTATGTTGATAATTCCAGGTCTCGGTGTCGTTGAAGGTTGTGCAGGTTGTGGCTGTGCTGGAATATTTATCACGCCAGGAGCAGGTGACTGAGGCACCGATGGTATGTTAACCACACCGGGCCTTGCTACAGGAGTTGGCTGTGGCGTTGGATAGCTAACAACCTGAATTGGTGGATTTTGTGTCGGATACGTAGGCTGGGGTACGGATGGAATATTGATCACTCCAGGCGTCGGGTGCGGTCGTTGCGTTTCATATTGGACATCCTGGATTGGTTGTTGTGGGATCGTTGGCGACGGTTGCGATGGGATATTGATCACACCAGGAACTGGCGATGGCACAGGTTGAGGCACCGAAGGAATATTGATTATTCCTGGAGCCAGAGGAGTTGGTTGTGGCGTTGGGTAGGTCACATCGTAAACCGGTGGATTTTCAGGTGGATATGTTGGCTGCGGCGCCGAGGGAATGTTTAGCACTCCAGGTTTCGGTACCGAGATTGGTGGAGTTGGTTGCGATGGGATATTGATCACACCAGGAGCTGCCGGTGGCCCAGGTTGAGGCACTGAAGGAATATTGATTATTCCTGGAGCCGGAGGAGTTGGTTGTGGCGTTGGGTAGGTCACATCGTAAACCGGTGGATTTTGAGGTGGATATGTTGGCTGCAGCGCCGAGGGAATGTTAATAACTCCAGGTCTTGGTACCGGGATTGGTGGAGATGGTTGGGATGGGATATTGATCACACCAGGAACTGGCGATGGCACAGGTTGAGGCACCGAAGGAATATTGATTATTCCTGGAGCCGGAGGAGTTGGTTGTGGCGTTGGGTAGGTCACATCGTAAACCGGTGGATTTTGAGGTGGATATGTTGGCTGCGGTTTTGAAGGAATATTAACTATGCCTGGCGTAGGTGCAGGTGGATTTGGAACTGGGCTTGGAGCTGGTATATAGATGGGCTGCTGGGTTACCGGATAAACAGGTCGTGGCGGCGAGGGAATATTTATCACACCCGGCCTGGCCGGCGGAGGTGGATAATATACATCATATATGGCCGGGCGCTGTACCACCGGGGTGGTTGGCGTCGAATACACAGGCTGTGGCACAGAATGTATATTAACCACACCTGGTTGAGGGGCAGGTGTCGTATTTGGCGCCGGCAAGAAGATAGGTCTTTGGGAAACTGTGGGAGTTGGCTGCGTTATCGATGGAATATTCACCACTCCAGGTTGTTGAGGGATCGGATATTGGAAAGCTGGATAGTTGACGTCATAAACAGGTGGATTGGGTGTGGGATGCACTGGTTGAGGTGCTGAAGGTATATTTATTACACCTGGTCTTGGAGGAGGCGTTGGTTGTTCAGGTGAAGGTATAAACACTGGAGGCTGAGGTGGCGCCGGTATTGGATGAGGAACTGAAGGAATATTAACCACTCCAGGTTGTTTAGGAACTGGAGCAGGTGTCGTAGGGTAGTTAACATCGTAAACTGGTGGATTGGGTGAAGGATGCACCGGCTGAGGTGCTGAAGGTATATTAATTATTCCTGGTCTTGGAGGAGGCGTTGGTTGTTCAGGTGAAGGTATAAACACTGGAGGCTGAGGTGGCGCCGGTATTGGATGAGGAACTGAAGGAATATTAACCACTCCAGGTTGTTGAGGAACTGGAACAGGTGTCGTAGGGTAGTTAACATCGTAAACTGGTGGATTGGGTGAAGGATGCACCGGCTGAGGTGCAGAAGGTATATTAATTATTCCTGGTCTTGGAGGAGGTGTTGGTCTCTCAGGTGAAGGTATAAACACTGGAGGCTGAGGTGCCGCCGGTATTGGCTGATGCACCGACGGAATGTTGATCACTCCAGGTTGTTGAGGAGTTGGAGCAGATGTCGTAGGGTAGTTTACATCATACACCGGCGGATTCGGAGAAGGATAATCCGGCTGAGGCTGAGATGGGATATTCAGCACTCCAGGTTGTTGGGGAATCGGTGTCGGATAGTTAACATTATAAACAGGAGTCTGAGGTATAGGATAGCTCGGCTGCGGCACTGAAGGTATGTTAACAACACCCGGCTGTGGATAAGGTGGTGGAGATGGATTCACTGCCGAAGGTATGAAAGCAGGTCGCTGAGATGTCGGAGGCACCGGGCTTAGCACAGACGGAATGTTTACAACACCAGGTTGATGTGGAACAGGATACGCTTGCGTTGGATAGTTGACATCGTAAACCGGAGGCTGAGGTGAGGGGTAACCAGGCTGGGATACAGATGGAATATTCACTACTCCAGGTTGTGGGGGAATCGAAGCCTGCGCTGGATGGTAAACTGGCGCTGGGTATACAGGCTGCGGAGACGAAGGAATATTGACTACTCCCACAGGTTGTTGAATGTGCACTAGACCAGGTATGGCAACCGGATACGGAGGCGAAGGTGTGTCATATACAAGGGGCCTCATAGGTGTTTCTAATAAAATGGGCAAATGGTTTTTGTTAGGCGAATCTTCCAAAGATTTTGTGACTTCAATTATATCCTTACGTTTGGGATTCTCGTAGCAACGCGTGAGAGGATCACCCGTGTGCGTGGCTATGCAGTAGCAGATGGGACTGTGATAGTGCACGCGGCACTCGGCATTAATGCCGCAGACTCCGGGGCAGGGATCCACACACTTGTGCTGGACACAGGCCTTGTCGTACGAGCACTCTGAGTTCAGGGTGCACTCGGGACGACAGTTTGGCGGGCTACCATAGAACTCGGGCAGACAGGAGCAAACGGCCTGGTTGTTCGAGGGATGACACTGGGCATTGAGACCACAGGGCGAGGGGTCACAGGGAGTAAGGGCTACTACGGGAGCTGATGGGGAAGGAAATATATTATGTAGATTGAACAGAGACTTGTTACTACAGGGATGCTTACATTGCTGGACTTCTGGCACCACTGGCGAACAGTACGCCAAAGGATTGCCTGTATAGCCCCTGAGACACATGCACTGCGGCAGGTGATCCTGGACATAGCACTCGGCATTCAGGCCACAAATGCCGGGACAAGGATCGCGACACTTTTGTTGGACACATGCCCTACTCGAGGGGCAATCGGAGTTCAGGATGCACTCGGGTCGACAAGCGTCATAGGGATTGCCGTAGTACTCAGGCAGGCAGACGCAGGAGCCCACACTACCTCGCTGACTGCACTGGGCATTCGCCCCACAAGGATTGGGCTCACACGGATTCACATAGGGCTCTGCATACTGGAGAACTTCAATAGCAGTTGTAGGCGGGACAGCAGGATACGGCTCGGGGCGAGTTGGCGGCAGGCAAGAGGTAAAGGGATTTCCGACCAAACCGGGTGCACAAACACAGTTCGGCTGGTGGTTGACGGTTCGACAGATTGCGCTGAAGCCGCACAGGCCCGGGCATGGATCCTGGCACTTGCGATTGATGCAAGCCCTGTCGCTGGGACACTCGCTGTTGGCAATGCACTCGGGCCTGCAATAAGGAGGAACTCCCAGGTACTCGGGCAAACAGCGGCATACAGCGTTACCGCCTTCATGGCTACACTGAGCATGGGGACCACAAGGCGAGGGCAGGCAGGGATCGACAGGCTCGCGCAGAACCTGGACAGGCTCCACCCTCACCAATTGGCACTGGGCATAGGGACTTCCCGTGTAACCCGTCGGGCAGAAACACTGTGGACTGTGGTTGATCACGCGACACTCGGCGAGGTAGCCACAGGCTCCAGGACACGGGTCGCGGCACTTTTGATTCACACAGGCCAGACTCGGCGGACACTCGGGGTCACTCACGCATTCTGGGCGACAGGCAGGGGGACTGCCATAGTAACCAGGCAAGCAGGAGCATATGGCCTGCGAGCCAACTTCTCTGCACTGTCCATGGGGGCCACAGGGCGACGGATGGCAAGGCTGCAGCTCGGAATAGGGCGCCTGAAGTGGTGTGGGCTGGCACAGGACAAATGGATTACCCTGGTATCCAGCCGGACACTGACACTGGGCCACATGATTGTGTACTTGGCAGGTGGCTCCCGATCCACATGTACCAGGACAAGGGTCCTGGCAACGATTGCGGATGCAAGCCTTGTCCCAAGGACACTCGGTGCTCAGTACGCACTCCGGGCGACATCCCACGTAGGGATCACCCAGATACAAGGGCAGGCAACTGCATATACCATTGGCACACTGAGCATTGGGACCGCAAGGCGAGGGCTGACAGGGATCATCTGCCACAACAGAAACGGGAGCGGGTGCTGGTGTCGGAGCTGGATAGCAGCGGTAGAACGGATCCCCGACATAGCCTCGAGGACACGAACAGCTGGGCACATGATTGAGCACATCGCATTGGGCGCTTAAACCACAGGCACCTGGACAAGGATCCACGCACCTCTGATTGACGCAGGCTCTGTGACTGGGACAGTCTGAATTAAGTGTACACTCGGGTCGGCAGTGAGGAGGAGTACCAAAGTAGGAGGCCAGGCAGGAGCAAACCGCTTGTCCGTACTCCACTCGGCACTGGGCAAATTGGCCGCAAGGCGAGGGTATACAGGGATCTGGTGAGTCTCGGATAATCGGGGGCGGGGGAGGTGGTAGGGGCAGGCAGCGCATGAAAGGATCGCCAGTGTAGCCAGGATAACACGAACAAAGAGCTCTGTGTTGACTGGCCTGGCAAAGGGCGTTCTGACCACAGGTTCCCACACAAGGATCGGTACATCTTCTTCCCACACAGGCCCTATCGCTGGGACACTCGGGATTAGTGGTGCATTCGGGTCTGCAGGCTGGAGGGGAACCAAAGTATTCGGGCAGGCAGCGACATACTGCCTGGCCCAGGGACTCGGTGCACTGAGAGTTGGGACCACAGGGTGAGGGCTGGCAAGGGTCAAAGTGGACAACATGTACAGCTGAAGGACACAAGAGGAGATATTGGGAATAATATTCAGGGTTAGTGCAAGGGTTAATCGATTGACCGGGGGGAATCTTCTTACGTTCTGCCTGGACCACATGGCAGTGCCGATAGGGATCGCCGCTATATCCGGGATAGCAGCTACAGCTGGGCACGTGGTTAACCACCTGACACTGGGCATTGGGGGCACAGGTTCCGGGACAGGGATCGCGACAATGTTGATTCAAGCAGGCCAAGTGGCTCGAGCAGTCCGAGCTGAGTACACACTCGGGTCGACATCCCTCGTAGGGATTGCCGTAGAACTCTGGCAGGCACTGGCAAGCACCGGCTCCTCCTCGTTCCCGGCACACGGCATTGCTGCCGCAGGGGTTCTGCGAGCAAGGATTAATTTGCTCCCTTTGGATCTGTGGCCGGGGATAGCAACCGGTGTAGGGATCGCCAATGTAGTCAGCGATGCAGATGCACGAGGGCACGTGGCTGATGACCTGGCAACTCGCAGCGTTGCCACACAGTCCTGGGCAGGGATCTCGGCACTTTTGGGCTATGCAAGCCAACTGACTGGGACACTCGGAGGAAGTAATGCATTCCGGACGGCAGTTGGGCGGTGTTCCAATGTACTCCTTGAGGCACTTGCACACGGCCTGGTCACCTTGGCTGGTACACTCCGCGTTAGATCCGCAGGGCGATGGCGAACAAGGATTTAATGGTTCCCTTTGGATCGGTGGAGGCGGTGGCACTCGCTGGCACAGGAAGAAGGCATTGCCCGAGTATCCCGCGGGGCAGCTACAGTGCGGCACGTGTCGAATAACCTGGCATTGGGCAAATTGCCCACAAGCTCCGGGACAGGGATCGCGACACTGTTGATTCAAGCAGGCCAAGTGCGGGGCACAGTCCGAGTTGATGGTGCACTCGGGTCGGCACTTGGGTGGAACACCGAAGTAGCCTGGCAAGCAAGAGCAAATGGCCTGTCCATTGGCCACGCGACATTGGGCATTGTTTCCACAGGGTGAGGGTTGACAGGGATTCTGGGGTTCCACAGGAGCAGCTAAGGATATGATGGATGTGTTAAAAGGGGTTTGTGGAAGATTCTGGCTTGAAAACCTACATTGCACAATGGTACACTGGACGAAGGCGTTGCCCGAGGTTCCTGGCGGACAATTACAGGTGGGAATGTGATTCCTCACTTCGCACACTGCTCCTACACCACAGGCTCCGGGACAGGGATCCTTGCACTTGCTGCGCTGACAGGCCTTGTCCCTGGCACAGTCCGTGTTGAGAACACACTCCGGCCGACAGCCCACGTAGGGATTACCCTCGAAGTCGGGCAGACATGAGCACTGGCCACCGGAACTGCACACGGCATTGGAACCGCAAGGCGAGGGATTGCAAGCATCGCGAAGCACTGGAGTTGGCGGTGGTGGCGTTGGCCGGCAGCTAATGAAGGGATTTCCCTCATAGCCCGCCGGACAACTGCAGATGGGGGTGTGGTTGATGACATTGCACAAGGCTTGGAGTCCACAGGAACCTGGACAAGGATCGCGACACTTTTCACTGATGCACGCCAAGTGCGGAGCACAGTCCGGGTTAATCACACACTCCGGCTGGCAATTGGGCGGAGCTCCAAAGTACCCAGACAGGCAGGAACACACTGCCTGGTTGCCTTGCGAGCGACACTGGCCAAAGGTGCCGCAGGGAGAGGGAACGCAGGGATCGCGATAGGTTTCCTTGGGTGGATCGTAACTAATCTGGGGCGCTGCAAAGGGTTTGGGGTTAGGAGTACAGCTGGAGGAGTCCAAATAAATCATAATCTTACGTATGCGCTGGCAACCACTGATGGCATCACCCTGGAAACCTGGTAGGCAACTGCAATGCGGACTATGGTTAATAGCCCGACATTGGGCATTGCTGCCGCAGGCTCCGGGACAGGGATCCACACAGTGGTGTTGCACACAGGCCAAGCTCAAGTCGCACTCGCTCGAGATGGTACACTCGGGCCTACAACTAGGAGGAGATCCAACAAAGTCGGGCAGACAGGTACAGAAAGCCTGACCGTTCGATTCCCTACACTGGGAATTCGGTCCACAAGGCGAGGGCTGACAAGGACGGGAGGGTATAGGTTCGGGCAGGGCTATCGAGGGAAATTCAAGGTGAGTTTTCAGTTTAATATCATATTCAATAATCTTACGTTCACGCTGGAGATCACAGTATGCGTAGGGATTGCCCTGGTAGCCTACCAGACAATTGCATCGCGGCAGGTGATCCCTCACTTGACACTGGGCATTGGGACCACAGGTTCCGGGACAGGGATCGCGACAATGCTGATTAAGACAGGCCAGGTGGCTGGGACAGTCCGAGTTGAGCACGCACTCGGGACGACATCCCTCATAGGGATTGCCATAGAACTCCGGCAGGCATTGACATGCTCCGGATCCATTCCTTTCCGTGCAGAGAGCGTTGGCTCCACAAGGACTGGGCACGCAGGGATTGAGTGGTTCTGGTACATCGCGCTCCACTTGACAGCCTATGAAGGGATTACCCCGATGACCGCCAATACATGTGCACATGGGCGTGTGATTTATCACATAGCACTCGGCATTGGGACCACAGACTCCGGGGCAGGGATCGCGGCACTTCTGATTAAGGCAGGCCAGATTCGTGGGGCAGTCGGAGTTGGATACGCACTCGGGTCGGCAGTTGGGCGGGGTTCCAATGAAGCTGGCAAGGCAACTGCACTGGGCATTTCCTCCCTGGTCCCTACATTCGGCATTAGCTCCACATGGCGACGGTCGGCAAGGATCAATGGGGTCCTGTCTAACGGGCGGTTGAAGCTCTCGGTGACAGGCCACGAAGGGATTTCCCGTATACGATGAAATGCAGTGACAGATGGGGCTGTGATTTATCACCCGGCAGTTGGCGTTCAGGCCACAAACGCCCGGACAAGGATCGCGACAATGTTGCTGCAGGCAAGCCAAGTGAAGGGGGCATTCCGCATTGCTGACGCACTCCGGACGACAGGAAGGTGGAACTCCTATGAAATCGGGAAGACATGAGCAAACTGCCTGTCCGTTGATGTTACGGCATTGGGCATTGGGTCCGCAGGGCGAAGGCTGGCAGGGATTAATGACATCCCTAACAGGTGGTGGTGGCAGAGGTCGGCACTGACTAAAGGCATTGCCAGTCATTCCCGGTGGACAGTGACACATGGCCACGTGTCTGTGAACCTCACAGATGGCATTCGAGCCGCAGGTTCCGGGGCAGGGATCCACACACTTGTTCCTTACACAAGCCTTGTTCCAGTCGCACTCCGTGCTCAGCACACATTCCGGGCGACAACCCACCAAGGGATTACCCATGAACTCGGGCAGGCAGCTGCACTGGCCCTGCTGGCAAACGGCATTCGGGCCACAAGTGATCAGAGAACAGGGATCACTGATTTGAGGTGGGGTATCCCTAGCAGGTGGCGGTGGAGCATAGCAGGATGTGAAGGGGTTGCCAATCAATCCAGGTAAGCACTGACACGTCGGATTATGGTTCACCACCGTACAGAGTGCACTGAAACCGCAGGCTCCGGGGCATGGATCGCGACAATGCTGCTGCTGGCACGACAGATGAGCAGGGCAGTCAGGATTGATGGTGCACTCGGGTCGACAGTTGGGCGGAGTGCCAAAGTAGGAGGGCAGGCAACTGCAAGTGGCAGTTCCCTGGTTATCCCGGCACTCGGCATATTGGCCACAAGGCGAGGGCACACAGGGATTGCGATAGACGTCCAACTGAGGCAGTGGGGTGGCTGTAGGGAGGGGAAAGATACAGGGTAAAGGTGGGTCTCTTTCCCTAATGAGGTAATCTTACGTGGCAGGGGCAAGCAGCGCGTAAAGGCATCACCCGTGAAACCTGGGCGACAACTGCAAATGGGAGCATGCTGGAAGACGCGACAATCGGCATTGGAGCCGCATACTCCTGGACAGGGATCACTACACTTTTGCCTAATGCAGGCCTTGTCGTGGGGACACTCGGAACTGATCACACACTCGGGTCGACAGTTGGGCGGACCACCCACATACTCGGGCAGGCAGGAGCATATAGCCTGATCGTTATTTTCGCGACACTGCGAGTTGGGACCGCAAGGTGAGGGCTGGCAGGGATTAACGTATTCTTTAAGGACAGCTACACATAGAGACGGAGAGGATTGGCTTAACATTTGATCCATTAAAGCGGAGAACACACTTCACTCACGTTTTTCTGGCACTTGGCAATAACGGTAGGGGTCACCTATGAAACCACTTAAACAATGGCAAGTGGGCAAGTGGTTAATCACCCGGCACAAAGCATTGAGGGCACACACGCCAGGACAAGGATCTCGACACTTCATCTGCTGGCAGGACCTATCCGCCGGACAGTCGTTATTCGTCACGCACTCGGGTCGACAGGACTCGTAGGGATTTCCATAGTACTCGTGCAGGCATTGGCATGAACCAACATGGCCTTCTTGGCGACATATGGCATTAGCGCCACAAGGACTTGGCGAGCAGGGCTGAATAATCTCCTCCTGCTGAATCACTGGGATTTGGCGGCAGGAAGTAAACGGATTACCAGTGTAGCCTGGCAAGCAGTAGCACATGGCCGTATGGCTGATGACATGACAATTGGCATTGGAGCCACAGGTGCCCGGACAAGGATCAGTGCATCGTTGGTTCAAGCAGGCCTTGTCGAAGGGACATTCCGAATTTGTCACGCACTCGGGTCGGCAGTTGGGCGGTGTTCCAATATATTTCGGCTGGCAGCTGCACTGAGCCTGATCGCCAATAGCCTGGCAGTTGGCGTAGGGACCACAAGGCGAAGGCTGGCAAGGATGCTGCTTGGGAGCAATTTCATCACGTCGCACTGGCTCTGCGAAGCAACCCAGGAAGGGATTTCCATTGTATCTTGGCGGACAACTGCAGATCGGTGCATGGTTCACCACATGGCAAAGGGCATTGAAGCCACATGTTCCCGGACAGGGATCGATGCAGTGCTGCCGCTGGCAGGCCAGTCTGGGCAGACAATCCGAGTTCTGAGTACATTCCGGTCTGCAATTCGGTGGCGTTCCAATGTAATTCTCAATGCAGGAGCACACAGCGTTGTTGTTGGAGACACGACAGCGGCTATTGGGACCGCAGGGCGATGGGTAGCAGGGATCAACTGGCTCAGAATATACAGGCGAAGGTGCCTCGCACTGGATAAAGGCATTGCCCACCATTCGGTCCGGACAGCGGCACATGGCCAGGTGGTTAATCACATCGCATATGGCATTTGGAGCACAGGTCCCCGGGCAGGGATCCACGCACTTGTGACGAACACAGGCTCGATTCCTTGGGCAATCCGCATTTAAGACGCACTCCGGGCGACAGCCGGTATAAGGATCTCCTTGGTAATCGGCTAGACACGTACATTGGCCATTTTGGCACAGGGCATTGGCTCCGCAGGGGGACGGGTTGCAGGGATCGTCAAGGGCAATGGGCTTGGCTAAGGAAGGGGATGGGGTATATTACACTTGGTCTTGGACACATTTTTTACTTTACGGTTCTTACGTGGCGTTTGTGGTTTAGGGTAGCAACTGGAGAAGGGATCACCCACATATTCCGCTGGACAAATACAATTGGGCACGTGGTTGTGCACTCGGCATAGAGCATTGTAGGCACAAGAGCCTGGACAGGGATCCCTGCACTTTTGATTGATGCACGCTAGACTGGACAGGCACTCTGAGCTCTGGGTGCACTCGGGTCGGCAATTGGGCGGCAGGCCAAAGTAGTTGGGCAAGCAGGAGCAGATGGCCTGACCCTGGGACTCCCTGCACTGGGCATTAGCCCCGCAGGGGGATGGCTGGCAGGGATCGCGTACAATGTCGTACAGGACATGGGTGGGTGGAGCTAAGTAAAGGGAGGTTAAGAATTGCCTTGACTCTCCTACTTAAAGACTACTTACGAGGTATTGGATAACAGCGGGTGAAGGGGTCTCCGGTGTAACCAGCTTGACAAGAGCAAAGTGGAGCATGGTTCCGGACCTGACAGTTGGCAAAAGTGCCACACATGCCGGGACAAGGATCAATGCATTTGTGTCGGACACAGGCCTTGTCCAGGGCACACTCCGAGGAGACTGTACACTCGGGTCGACAGCCCGGTGGAGTGCCCAAATACTCCGGCAAGCAGGAGCAGGTGGCCACTCCATTTTGTTCGCGACACTGAGAGTTCGGACCGCAAGGAGAGGGTTGACAAGGGTTTACATACTCCCGGACAGCTGTAAGAGATTTAGAGAAGTCTAGAAACGGATTTCGGGCATGGCAGGGAATCCCCTTACGTTTGGCTTCAATGCTGCAATAGCGATAGGGATCTCCAACATAGCCAATCAGGCAGTTACAGGTGGGCAGGTGATTCCTTACAAAACACTCTGCATTTTGGCCGCAGCTTCCGGGACAGGGATCCCGGCACTTCTGGTTCACGCAAGCCAAATGAGAGGGGCAATCGTAGTCAATCACACACTCGGGACGACAGCCCTCATAGGGATTGCCAAAGTACTCCGGCAGACACTGACATGACCCAATGCCGTTTTGCTGCCGGCACTCAGCAAATGAGCCGCAGGGATTCGGGTTACAAGGCTGCACTACCTCTACCGGGTCCCTTTGAATGGGTGCACAGCGTACAAATGGATCGCCACTGTAACCCGGCTGGCAGTAGCACATGGCACTGTGACTGATGACCCGACAGACTGCATCAATTCCGCAAAGACCCGGGCAAGGATCCTGGCAACGATTATTGACGCACACCTGAACTAGGCTGCACTCTGCATTGGAGACGCACTCTGGCCGGCAGTTGGGCGGCGTGCCAAAGAAGTTGGCCAGGCACGAGCAGGAGGGTGTGTCTCCCACACGGCGGCACTCGCTGTTTAGTCCACAGGGCGAGGGCTGACAGGGATCTTGGGGCACTACATCCCGTTGGGGTTCAACTAAAGGCAGGAAGGGGCATGGGTTAAGTTATTGTCTTCCCTGGGAATGGATTCTCTGTTAAACTTACTAGTCCTATGACACTGGACGAAGGCATTGCCGGTATAGCCGGGCCTGCAGCTGCAATACGGGCTGTGGCTTACGGTACGGCACTCGGCGTAGGCCCCACAGACTCCGGGACAGGGATCGACGCATCGCTGGTTCTGGCAAGCCAAGCTGGGGGCACAATCGTAGTTGGTGCTACACTCGGGTCGACAGGAGGGCGGCACCCCATAGTAGTTGGGCAAGCAGCTGCACACCGCCTGGCCATTCTGCTCACGACACTCGGCATATGAGCCACAGGGCGAAGGATTACATGGATTACGGTACACATCCACTAAGGAACAGGACATGAATAAACTGGGGTTCTCTAGGAAAAGGAGATTAGACCTACATTGGACTGGGGAACACTGGACAAAGGCATTGCCCGTCATTTGTTCAGGGCACCGGCACATGGAAATGTGGTTGACCACCTCACAGATGGCATTGGTGCCACAGGTACCGGGACAGGGATCAGTGCACTTCTGATGTATGCAGGCCAGATGCCGGGGGCACTCCGAGCTAAGGACACACTCTGGCCGGCAGGCCACATAGGGATCTCCCTGATACTCGGCCAGACACTTGCATTCTCCTTGGTTCAAGCAAACGGCATTGCTGCCGCAGGGGCTGGGATGGCAGGGATCGGGAGACTCGTCACGGACTATTGGTGGAGCTGTATACGGGAGGGTTTCTGTCTTAGAAGGCAAATGGTTTAGGTAGCAGGGAAAACTCTTACGTGGCGCTGGGTGGCAAGCTAGAAAGGCATCGCCCACATAGCCCCGCAGGCAGACGCAATTAGGAACATGACTGATCACTCGGCACTCGGTCTGCTGACCACAGGCCCCAGGACAGGGATCCCGGCAGCGTTCTCCGATACAAGCCAGGTGACTTGGACACTCCGCATTAAGGGTACACTCTGGTCGACAGTGCGGCGGAGTGCCAAAGTAATTGGGCAAGCAGGAGCACACAGCCTGATCTTGCTGATTCCTGCAAGAGGAATACAGGCCACAAGGCGAGGGAAGGCAGGGATCGCGGTAGGGAGAAACGTCTCTTAAAGGTGGCGGTGGGGGAACTAGCAGCGTGTAAAGGAGTTGGGTTTATATTTCGTTAAATCACACTTCAAAGTTATCCTTACTCGTTGGACGGGACAAACAGCGCACGAAGGGATCACCCGTCATGCCCGAGGGACACCTACAAAGGGGACTATGATTGCGCACCTCGCACACAGCCTGCTGGCCACACACACCAGGACAGGGATCAACACACTTGTAGTTGATGCACGCCTTGGTGGGGGCGCAGTCAGAGCTCGAGGTACACTGCGGGCGACAGTTGGGTGGGGCTCCCTCGAACTCGGGACGACAGGAGCAGACGGCCTGCTCGTTGATCTCGCGACACTTGGAGTTGGGGCCGCAGGGAGACGGCTGACAGGGGTTCACATACTCATGGACAATAGCTAGTTACGGTTAGAATACAATACTTGGGATTAGTGACTACGTCAACTACGACCGGATTAGGCTCGACTACGGGAATAATTGGAACTCGCTTACGTTCTGGCGGCTGGCTGCAGTAGCGGTACGGATCACCGATATATCCAGCGAAGCAGTTGCACATGGGCGTGTGGTTTATCACATGGCACTCGGCATTCTGGCCACAGCTTCCGGGGCAGGGATCGCGGCACTTCTGTTGCTGGCAGGCTCGGTTTGAGGGGCAGTCCGAGTTCAAGACACACTCCGGGCGGCAGCCTTCGTAGGGGTTTCCAAAGAAATCAGTCAAGCACTGGCAGGAACCAGCTCCATTCCTCTGGATGCACTCGGCGTTGGCGCCACACGGCGAGGGATGACATGGATTGATGATCTCCACATCGGCCACGATGGGCTGGCACTGGGTGAAGGGATCACCCGTGAGTCCGGCATCGCAAATGCACATGGCTGTGTGGGAGACCACACGGCAAATGGCACTGACTCCGCACAGTCCAGGGCAGGGATCGCGGCACTTTTGATTGATGCAGGCCAAGTTCGATGGACACTCCGAATTAGCCACACACTCGGGCTTGCAGTAAGGCGGTGAGCCCACGAAATCCGCAAGACACGAACAAGTGGCTGTCTCGCCAGCAACGCGACACTCGGCATTGGGTCCGCACGGCGAGGGACGACACGGATCCAGAGGCACAATATCCTGCTGTGGCGGTTCAATAATTTGCTGACAACCCAGGAAAGGATTGCCCGTGTAGCGGGGTAGACAGGTACAGAAGGGATTGTGATTAACCACGCTGCACTGTGCATTTCGACCACAGGAGCCGGGACAAGGATCCACACACTTTTGGTTCACGCAGGCCAGTCGGGACAGGCACTCTGCATTCGATGTGCACTCTGGACGACAGAGTGGCGGGGTTCCAAAGTATCCTGAGACGCAGGAGCACACTGCCTGCTGGTTAACCTCGCGACACTGTGAGTTTGGCCCGCACGGAGAGGGTTGACAGGGCTGGACAATGGCGGGTGCTGCAAGGAAGACATGGGGTTGGGACTCCGGAGAATCAAAACAACACCGAGAAGAGGAATATTTACGTGGTATGGGTTGGCACTGAATGAATGCATTGCCCGCATAACCATCTGGACAAGTGCACATGGGTACATGGTTGAGGACCTGGCAAATGGCATTGGGAGCACAGGTTCCAGGGCAAGGATCGAAGCACTTGTTCCGCGAACAGGCCAGTTCCCGCGGACAATCTAAGCTGGTGATGCACTCGGGCCGGCAGCCGCTGTAAGGATCCCCATGGTACTCGGGAATGCAGGTGCAAACCCCATTGCTGCACTGGGCATTCGGTCCGCAGGGCGAGGGATTGCAGGGATCGTCGAGGTTAACGGCTAACAAAGGAAAGTTTTGAGTTCTTCTCATCACACAAAGAGATTCGTTCCATGAGGCTTACGTGTTGGTGGAGGCGGTGGCACAGGTTGACACTGACTGAACGGATCACCCGAGTATCCTGCCGGACAAGTGCAGCTGGGCGTGTGATTGACCACATTACAAATGGCGCCATAGCCACAGGAGCCGGGACAGGGATCTCTGCACTTCTCATTGATGCAAGCCTGGCTGCTGGGACACTCGGCATTGATGCGGCACTCGGGACGGCAGTTGGGAGGAGCTCCTAAATAGCCAACCAGACAGGAACAAGCAGGAGCATCTCCTTGAGCACGGCACTGGGAGTAGGGCCCACAAGGAGATGGAACACAAGGATCAACCGGGGTCTTTTGCACTGGTGCCACGGGTTCCGCTTTTTAAATAAAACGAAGGTTAGGAGGGGGTCAAACTTGGGAAGAGTAAATAACTTACGAGGTTTAGGGAAGCAGCGGAAGAAGGGATCACCGGTATAACCGGCACGACACGAGCAAATGGGACTGTGGTTAACCACCCGACAGACAGCCTGATCCCCACAAGTGTTGGGACAAGGATCCACACACTTCTGGCCCACACAAGCCTTGTCTATGGCGCACTCCGAAGATATTGTGCATTCGGGTCGACAGGCGGGTGGAGCACCCACATATTCTGGGAGGCAAGAGCAAATAGCTTGCTCGTTGACCTCGCGACACTGGGAGTTCGGACCACAAGGCGAAGGCTGACAGGGGTTGACGTACTCCTTGATGGCTATAAAAGTAGGAGACTCATTGGGTTCTGGATGGTTCAAAGGACTTCCGTTATTATTCTTACGTTGTTGTTCTGGAAGACACAAGCGATAGGGATCTCCGGAGAAACCAATGATGCAGCTACAACTGGGCACATGGTTAAGTACATTGCAGAGGGCATTCTGGCCGCAAGTTCCCGGACACGGGTCCTGGCACTTTTGCTGTTGACATGCCCTGTTAGAGGGACAATCCGAATTGATGACACACTCTGGGCGACAGCCTTCGTAGGGATTGCCAAAGTACTCGGGCAGGCATTGGCAGGAGCCAGCATCCTGGCGAGACGTGCATCGGGCATTTACGCCACAGGGACTTGGATTGCAGGGGTCCAATTGGTCAAGCTGTTGAATCCTCCGCTCGGTGCATATGGTGAAGGGATCACCCTCCATGCCCTCGGGACACACGCAGCTCGGCGTATGCGATATCACGCGGCATATTGCTGCCTGTCCACAGAGTCCTGGGCAGGGATCGCGACACTTTTGCTGAATGCAAGCCTGGTTTGTGGGACATTCCGAGCTGGTAACACATTCCGGTCGGCAATTCGGCGGAGCTCCAATATATTCCGCCAAACAGGTACACGAGGGTAAGTCATTCACTTCTCGGCATTGGGAATATGGACCGCAGGGTGAGGGCAGGCAGGTTTGCCTGGGCGGTGGCACAGGAGGCTCAATGATGGGTTGGCAGCTGACAAAAGGATTACCCGTGTAGCGCTCCAGGCAACGACAGAAGGGACTGTGGTTCGTCACATGGCACTGGGCATTGCGTCCGCAGACGCCCGGACAAGGATCACTGCACTTCTGGTTAAGACAGGCCATATTCAAGGGGCACTCGGAGTTGGTGGTGCATTCCGGACGGCAGAAGGGTGGGCTTCCAATAAATGGCGAGATGCAGGAGCAGATGGCCTGCTGGTTGGCCACGCGACACTGGGAATTGGGTCCACAGGGCGAGGGTTGGCAGGGATTCTTTGGCACGTCGAATTCTGTGAAGTGGGTTTATAGTATCTAAAGCAACCAATGGAGGAGGAGGTTGTCTTACGTGGCACTGGACTACACTGGATAAAGGCATTGCCTTGCATCCTCTCTGGACAGCGGCAGTTGGGTATGTGGTTAAGGACCTCGCATATGGCATTACTGGCACAGATTCCGGGGCAAGGATCAACACACTTGTTCCGCACACAGGCGCGACTGCGGTCACAGTCCGTGTGGAGAACACACTCCGGCCGGCAGCCAGTATAAGGATCTCCGTGATACTCGGGCAGGCAAGAGCAAACTCCGTTGTTGCATCTTGCATTAGAGCCACAGGGCGAGGGATTGCAAGGATCCTCCGGTGGCACGGGCTCTTGGACTGATTCAGGGAAAGGTAATGTTAAGTTTCTGCTCTTCAATCTAGTCTGAGAATAGTTCTTACTTCTCTGCGGCGGCTCGGGATTACAAACGCTAAATGGATCGCCGATGTAACCCACCCAGCAACTACAGATGGGCGAGTGGTTAACCACATTGCACTGCGTGTTCAGGCCACAGGACCCAGGACAGGGATCGCGACACTTTTGATTTATGCAGGCCTGATGGCTGGGGCACTCGGCATTAATGGAACACTCGGGACGACAATTGGGCGGAGTGCCCAAGAACTGGGCCAGGCAAGAGCAAGATGGTGTGCCATGAATCTCGCGACACTGTGAGTTTGGTCCACAAGGCGAGGGAACACAAGGATCAAGGGGTTCGCGTTCAATAGTCACTGGCGGAGGAGCTGGAATTGAGTTGTCTTGGTAACCATAATCTGTTTTATTTTGGACTCTGCTAGGTTTCTTACGCGGCTGACGGTAGCAGCGGGTGAAGGGATCTCCAGTGAAGCCACTGAGGCAGGTACAAATCGGATTGTGGTTGCGCACTCGACACTCGGCCTGTTGGCCGCAGACATTCGGACAAGGATCTATGCACTTGCGGTTCACACAGGCCTTGTCGGCTGCGCACTCCGAGCTGCTGGTGCACTCCGGTCGACAGGCAGGTGGGTTGCCAATGAACTCTGGCAGGCAGGAGCATACCCCCTGGTCGTTAACCTCCCGGCATTGGGAGTTGGGACCGCATGGCGACGGCTGACAAGGATTAACATATTCACGTTGTGCTACAAAAAACCAAAAACAACGACGATGGAGAGCAAATATTTGGGGAAAAACCTCAACATCCTTACGTGGTTCGTTGACTATAATGCGACATAGGCTGTACGGATCGCCGGTAAAGCCAGGCAGACAATTACAGGTGGCCAAGTGATTCACCACCTGGCACTCGGCGCTCTGCCCGCAGGTTCCGGGACAGGGATCCTTACATTTCTGGTTCACACAGGCTAAATTCGAGGGGCAGTCAGAGTTCAGCACGCACTCGGGACGGCAGCCATCGTAGGGATTTCCAAAGTAGTCGGGCAGACATTGGCATGACCCGGCATCGCCACGTTCCTCGCATTTGGCATTGACGCCGCAAGGACTGGGATTGCAAGGCTGGATAATCTCAATAGGGGCATCCCTGACGGGGCTGCACTGACTAAACGGATCTCCGGTGAAGCCGCTGTCGCACAAGCACATGGCCGTGTGACTAAAGACCCGACAATTGGCATTGGCTCCACACAGACCCGGGCATGGATCGGCGCACTTCTGATTGATGCAGGCTCGGTTCGTGGGACACTCGCTGTTGGATATGCACTCGGGTCGGCAGTTGGGCGGGGCACCTATGAACTCGGCAAGGCATGAGCAGGAAGGTGACTCTCCCGAAACCCGACACTCGGAATTGGGTCCACATGGAGAAGGCTGGCAGGGATTCTGTGGTCTCTCCTCGCGTTGTACTGGAAAAACGTTTGTCTTAGGCACGGGAGCAGAATCAGTCGAAATCCAGGATGACTTACTCAAAGGCTGACAGCTAACGAAAGGATTTCCAGACATGCCTGCTGGGCATCGGCAGAAGGGACTGTGATTGACCACATTACAGAGGGCATTGAAGCCACAAGTACCAGGACAGGGGTCACGGCATTTCATATTGTGGCAAGCCTGATCGGCAGGACAATCGGAATTGCTGACACACTCGGGACGGCATTGCGGCGGACTGCCCACATAGTCGTTCAAGCAGGAGCAGACCGCGGTCTGCTGCACCACACGGCACTGACTATTCGGACCACATGGTGAGGGCTGGCAGGGATTCTGGATTTTAGCGGGAGCCACCGGTCGGCACTCGAAGAAGGCATTCCCGGACATTTGCTCGGGACAGCGGCAGATGGGAATGTGGTTGGGGACCTCGCAAAGGGCATTCACGCCGCATGTTCCAGGACAAGGATCGATGCACTTGTTCCTCACGCAAGCCCTATCCCTAGGACAATCCATGTTCAACACGCACTCAGGACGACACGAGACATAGGGATCACCCTGGTACTCTGCTATGCAAGAGCATTGACCATTTCGACAAAGGGCATTTGAGCCGCAAGGTGAAGGATTGCAGGGATCATCTGCAACTGGTGGCGCGGTGGCTACAGTAAGGAGGAAGGAGGAGGAAGGTAAACAATTGCTGGATTTCTCAAGTGTTTCAGGACACCTACGTTCTGGAGGCTTAGGATTACAATTGGTGAACGGATTGCCGATATAACCATCGATGCACGAGCAGAGAGGCGTATGATTGATGACACTGCAAAGGGCGTTGAGTCCGCAGGCTCCGGGACAGGGATCGCGACACTTCTGATTGATGCAAGCCAGCTGACTGGGACATTCCGAGTTGATAGTACACTCGGGGCGACAGTTGGGAGCCTGGCCAATGAAGGTGGCCAAGCAGGAGCAAGCAGGCACTCCATTGATGTTTCGGCACTCGGAATTGGGACCACAGGGCGTGGGCACACAAGGATCTCGCAGGGGTTCATCTTTGGTCTCGATAGGCGGGGCTATGGTTTGGAATATTTTACAACTCTTGTTTATCTCGGAGCAAATAAGGGTGATCTTACGTGGAATGGTAAAGCAACGCGTAAAGGCGTCGCCTGTAAACCCGCTGAGGCAACTGCAAATGGGACTGTGATTGCGCACCCTACACACGGCATTACTGCCACAGGTGTTCGCCGTGCAAGGATCTACGCACTTCTGGTTAACGCAGGCCTTATCCGCGGAGCACTCCGAGGAGATGGTGCACTCTGGCCGGCAGGCGGGTGGAGTTCCCACAAACTGGGGCAGGCAGGAGCAAACCGATTGCTCATTGGACACGCGACACTGGGAGTTGGGACCGCAAGGCGTGGGCTGGCAGGGATTAACGTACTCGTTTTGGGGGGCTACAGTACGGGAGGGACATGAGTAAATGGCAAGAGGGATACTCCATTAATTGCTTACGTTCCGGCTGACGAGTGCATAGGCGGTATGGGTCACCCACATAACCAGCCAGGCAATTGCATGTGGGCAGATGGTTGACTACTTGACAGTTGGCATTGAGACCACAGGTACCAGGACACGGATCCTGACACCTCAGCTGCTGGCAGGCCCTGTTCGATGGACAGTCCGAGTCCAGCATACACTCCGGGCGGCAGCCCTGATACGGATCTCCAAAGTATTCCGGTAGGCACTGGCAGGATCCAACGCCATTTCTATCGCGGCAGACGGCATTCGTTCCACAAGGACTTGGGTTGCAAGGGGTTCGGATCTCTATGTCTCTCACAATCTCCGGATTACACTGTACGAACGGATCTCCGGTAAAGCCCTGCAGGCAGATGCACTGCACCGCATGGCTGACCACACGGCACTCGGCATTGAGGCCACAGCGTCCTGGGCATGGGTCCACGCACTTTTGATTGACGCAGGCCATCTGGCTGACACAGTCCGAGCTGGTCACACACTCAGGCCGGCAATTGGGCGGGCGTCCTATGTAGGTTTCCAGGCAGGAACAAGCGGGGGCTTCTCCCACAGGTCGGCATTGGGAATAGGGTCCACAGGGAGATGGGCGACACGGATCAGTGGGCACAACATCGCGAATGGGCTCAACTGGGAAAAGGTAATTCTCCTTTAAATGATGACCCTTGGTGGCTTTGGAATTCTTACTCTGAGGCTGGCAGCGAATGAAGGGATTGCCCGTAAAACGATCAGGACATGTGCAGAAGGGACTGTGGCTGACCACAGCACAATTAGCTCCAACACCACAAGTGCCAGGACAAGGATCTCCACACCGTTGATTCAGACAAGCTTGCTGAGGGGCACACTCCGAATTCGAGGTGCACTCTGGACGGCATGAAGGCGGAGCTCCAATGAAGCTGGGAAGGCACGAACAAACTGCCTGCTGATTAACCTCGCGGCACTGAGAGTTAGGGCCACAAGGCGATGGACGGCAAGGATTGGTTACAACTGAAACTATTGGTGGATTTGATTTGGGATTTTTAGAGGAAATTCTCAGGGGAAAGGTATAACTCAAAGACGTACTCTGCACGGGGGAGCAGCGGATGAAGGCACTGCCGGCAGTGCCATCGGGGCATCTGCACATAGGCACATGATTGATGACATCGCAGATGGCATTCTCGCCACAAGTGCCCGGACAGGGGTTCAAGCACTTGCTGCGCAGGCAGGCCTTGTCCCTGGAACAATCCGAATTCAAGACGCATTCCGGCCGGCAGCCGGAATACGGATCTCCATGGAACTCGGCCAGACAAGTGCACACTCCACTGTTGCACTGGGCATTGGCTCCACAAGGTGATGGGTTGCAGGGATCCACATATTCGCCTATCAGGGGAGGAGTTACTTGGTTTAGACAGAAGACATTTTGCTGACATTCCTCAGCCTTACTTTGCACAGGTTCGGGCGGGGCAGGACGACAGCTGCTAAACGGATCACCCGTAAAGCCAGCTGGGCATACACAGATGGGCGTGTGGTTGACCACATTACAGTTGGCGGCATAGCCACAGGATCCGGGACAGGGATCTATGCACTTCTCCCGTATACAGGCAAGATTGGAGGCACACTCAGCACTGATGGTGCACTCGGGTCTACAGTTGGGCGGGGCACCTAGGAATTCGGGCAGGCAGGAACAGGAAGGCACACCCTGTACATTACGGCACTGACTGTTTAGGCCACAGGGCGATGGCAGGCAGGGATCGCGCTCAACACGTTCGATTACGGCAGGTGGGGCTAAGGTGGATATATTACTACTATGAACATCATCAAGGGGGCACAAACTCTTACGTGGCAGGGCATAGCATCGGGTAAAGGAGTCACCGGTGAATCCCTGACGACACTGACATAGAGGACTGTGATTGCGAACACGGCACTCGGCATTGAGGCCACATGTGCCGGGACAGGGATCCTGGCAACGCTGGCTGATGCAAGCCTTGTCGGTGGGACACTCGGTACTTAACACACACTCTGGTCGGCAGTTGGGGGGCAGGCCAATGTGGAGTTCTAGGCAGGAGCACACAGCTTGACCGTTGAGTTCGCGACACTGAGAGTTGGGACCGCACGGCGAGGGGCGACAGGGCAGAGTAGGTTCGGCCAAACGAATCGCTGGAAAAGGGTGGTTCAGGGCCATAAAAACCTGGTTTATGGTTGATGTTTATGGTATCTTACGTTGTGCCGGTTCCACATGGCAGTAACTATACGGATTGCCCGTATATCCGATGCGGCAGGTACAGGTGGGCAAGTGGTTTGTGACACTGCAGTCGGCATTGGTGCCACAGGTGCCTGGACAGGGATCCCGGCACTTTTGCTGCTGGCACGCCTTGTTCGAGGAACAGTCCGAGTTCCGAACGCATTCCGGACGACATGACTGATATGGATCACCAAAATGATCGGGCAGACACTGGCAGGAACCAATGCCATTCCTTTCACGGCAAACAGCATTCGAGCCGCAGGGATTGGGTTCGCAGGGGGTCACCTGTTCATTGACAATGCGCTCTAAAGGGAGGAGTAAGAGATGGAGTCGTATGGGAGGGAGAGACAAACGTGGACAGAGATTAGCATTTTTAGCTCTCGATCGATCTGGGTTTAGTACATTTTTGCAACACACCTGGCGTTGGCTTTGGCAACTGATTAATCCGTTTGCAGTGGTGGTATTATTGTAGCGGGATTAGAGTACGAGTACGAGTTAAGGTGTTGGCATTAATCGATCCTCTGGAGGACAATACGGTTCAGGTGCAGCTAACGCTTCGTTTAGTTTTGGTTAAACGTTTTTTTTGTGCTGAATTGAGTGCTTTGGCAGTGTTTATTTTTATTGTTTGTTGGCAGTGTTTATTTTATTGCTTATTGTTTTGTGGTGAGTGCATAAGTAAAACAAGTGTCTATTTGCGAGGTTATATCATTTGATTTATTGTTTGCTCGTTGTTAAACAACTTATATACGCTACTAAGGTTATACATTTTAAATATTACTAATTAGGTTCTAAAGCAGTACATACTGTACGTATCTTTGGCATTTTTCGAAGGCAATAATTTTGGACAAGGGTCTGGGTCAGATTTAAGGTCAGGGTCAACAACAACGCTGTACTCGATTCAGGGGTAATTGGGTTAGGTTCAATTTGGGGTAGTAAGCGGAGTGGAGAGACTTGGGGCCAAATAACAAATTAGGTAAAAGCATTTCGCGTTGATTATCTCCCAAAATTCAAATACAAATAAATCCTTTTCGAGTCGACAAACAACAATATCATCAAGGGTTAGGAGGCAAAGGTCAAGGAGGCGGGTGTATTTCTTTGTGAGGCATTAAAGGTGGCATATAAGAAGCAAAATTAAAGGCGTGACAAGTTTGCATATTGTAATATTCAGGCGTTAGGGGCAGTATAAAAGCAAGTAGGTAAATATTGACTAAAACTAATTATAATCTTTGACTACCCCACAAGACAGACACATCCAAGAGCCACCAAACACTCAGACAACTCGTACAGAGTGCGTGCTTCTTGAATTTTGCATTTTGCTCAAGTGATTTGTGTACTTTTTGTGTATAAAGAACATGTAACTGAACTTTTGTAACTTTTCTTTGCAATGCATTGTGCCTGTGTGTGCGGTAACCATAGATCATAATGTAAGGTGTAAATAATGTGATACAAAAAGCTGTCTAAGAGCGCATTAGAACAAGTTGAACGCGGATGAGGTGAAAGGAATTTAAAAGTGCCAGCAAATAGTGTTTTCCAAAAATAAATACTAGCAATTACAACGGTTGTAATTGCTATAATATGTTTAACATATTTATATCTCATTATAATGCGCTTCTAATGAAGGGAAACTTTGCTTTTCAAGGGCTATACTGGGTTTGATTTGGGATTTTAATTTAAATTTTTATTAATTTTATTTAGATAGCTGTAAAAATATGTGATAAATAACATAAAGCATATAATTTTTTATGTTATCTTGGTAGTTTCAAATTGGTTCTAAACGTTTTTAAAGGGGAATTTTAAGCAGGGTTTGATTGAGGTAAATTTAAAAAGGTACGTTTCCAATTCTTTCAACTAACTTCCCAAGGCGTAAACCCATGTCTTTGCAGTGCAATATTTATCCCTATAGTAAGCAGCCAGAACCCACAACATTGTTGTTTATAAGCTGGCTTACGCCTTGGCCTAACATCTGGGTGAGTAAATGAAAACTTGGTCCTACCTTGCTCCTTCTGACAGCCGGTGAACGGATCTCCAGTATAGCCCACATCGCAGGTGCAGATGGGTTGATGATTGGCCACATTGCAACGGGCATTGAATCCACAGGCATTCACGCACGGATCCGAGCATTTCTGGCGTATGCATGCCTTGGTCGGCGGACATTCCGGATTGATGGAGCACTCTGGTCGGCAGCTGGGTGGCGTTCCAATAAAGGTGGCTGCACACGAGCAGGCGGCATTACCATTCAACACCTTGCAATCGGAATTTGGACCGCAAGGTGAGGGTTGGCAGGGGTTCTCCGGCGTCGGTGGTATTGGTTTGCGTTCCTCTTGGTAGCATCTCGTGAACGGATCACCAGTGTAGCCCGAATTGCACGAGCAGGAAGGATTGTGATTGATAACCTGGCAGCGGGCAAACTGGCCACATGCTCCCGGGCAGGGATCCACGCACTTTCTCTTCACACAGGCCGTTTGCAGAGAGCACTCGGAGCTGACGATGCACTCTGGCTTGCAGGCCGGCGGTGAGCCCAGCATGCCCGCTTGGCAGGCACACACGGGTCCTTGTCCAGATATTTGGCATACGCTATTGGGTCCGCAAGGATTGGGTTGGCAGGGATCCTTCGGCACAGGCGTCTCCTGGCGACAGTGGACAAACGGATCACCCGTGTAACCCTGCAGGCAGCTGCAAATTGGGATGTGATTGGAGACATCGCACTGCGAGTTCTGGCCACACACTCCCGGACAGGGATCCACACACTTCTTATTCAGACAGGCCTTGGTTGGAGGACAATCCGTGCTCAGAGTGCACTCGGGACGACAGCCAGTGTAGGGATCTCCTCTGTACTCCGGCAGGCAGCTACAGATGCCATTCCTGCACTCGGCATTCGATCCGCAGGGCTGCAGGTCGCAAGGATCCTCGCTCTGAAGGGGTGGAGGCTTCGTTACAGCCTCAATCACCTCGACGCACTGGACAAACGGATCGCCGGTGAATCCTCCACGGCAAGTGCAAATAGCCAGATGGTTCTGAATGCGACACTCCGAGTTTACTCCGCAGGAGCCGTCGCAAGGATCGCGACACTTCTCGGCAATGCACGCTCTGTCCGAGGCACAGTCCGTGTTCACGATGCACTCGGGTCGGCAGTTGGGCGGCGCTCCAATATAGTTGGGCAGACAGGAGCAGGAGGCCTGCTCATCTCGCACGCGACACTCTGAGTAGAGGCCACAAGGCGAGGGCTGGCAGGGCCTCACCGGCTCCTCCTTGGGTCTTGGCGGCGGCGGTGGTGGTGCCGGATAACAACGGGCAAATGGATCGCCCGTCATGTCCAAGGGACAGCTGCAGATTGGGTTGTGGTTGATCACCTCGCACTTGGCATTCAAACCGCACGTCTTGGCGCATGGATTGGCGCAGCGGAACTTGTGGCAAGCCTTCGTCGAGGGACATTCGGCGTTCACCGTGCACTCCGGCTTGCAGTTTGGCGGAGCACCCACAAAGGTCTCCAGGCAGGAGCATACAGCCAATCCATTGGCCAGGCGGCATTTACTATTGGCACCGCATGGCGAAGGAACGCAGGGATCGGCCACGGGTGGCGGAGTGCTGACCTCCACACGGCGACAGCTTCCGAATGGATCCCCGGTGAATCCATCGTTGCAGACACAGTTGGGTACATGGTTCACAGCATAGCACTGGGCGTTGAGGCCACAGATTCCGGGACAAGGATCCTGGCACTTGTTGCGGATGCAGGCCTTGTCCGTGGGACAATCCGAGCTGAGCACGCACTCTGGGCGGCAGCCCTCGTAGGGATTGCCCTGGTATTCATCGATACACTTACAGGCAGCGGCTCCGTTCCGTTCAATGCACTCGGCATTCGCTCCGCACGGCGATGGCTGGCAGGGTTTCACTGGCTCCTCCTGCTGCTGCACGCACTGGACAAAGGCATTGCCCGCAAAGCCTGGGGGACAGGAGCAGGATACCGTGTGTCCAATGACGCGGCACTCGGCGTTTGTGCCACACGAATCAGGGCAGGGATTGCTGCATCTGTTGTTGATGCAGGCCTGAGTGGACAGGCAGTCCGGATTAATGATGCACTCGGGTCGGCAGTTAGGTGGCGAGCCAAAGAACTCGGGCTGGCACTGGCAAACTGGTCCATTCCTATCCGGCTTGCAGATGGCGTTGGGTCCACAGGGCGACGGCACGCATGGATCTGTGGGTTCAGCATTCTTTACATCAGGCAGCATGACTATCTCCAAGCACTGCTTGAAGGGATCACCAGTTCGGCCAGGTGGGCAGCCACAAATGGGACTATGATTGATGACCTCACAGCGGGCCTCGCGCCCACAGGCAGCGGCGCAGGGATCCACGCACTTTTTGTTAACGCAAGCCTGCAAAGCGGAGCACTCGCTGGACACCACACACTCGGGACGACATTGGGGCGGGGCACCGATGTAGCCCTCCAGGCAGGAGCAAACTGCATGTCTGTTGACATCGCGGCACTGGCTATTGGCACCACATGGCGATGGGGAGCAGGCCTCAACAATGGGATCCTCGACAATGGGCTTCACGCGGCAGTTGGTGAAGGGATCACCCTCGTAGCCCTGGAGGCAGGAGCACACAGGGATGTGGTTCATGACCTCGCACAAGGCATTGTTGCCGCAGACTCCAGGGCAGGGATCCACGCACCGATTGCGGGTACAGGCCTTGTCCCGGGGACAATCCGCCGACAGAGTACATTCCGGGCGGCAGCCTTCGTAGGGATTTCCTTGGTAATTATTCTGGCAGCGACACTCACCCGCAAAACAGTCTGCATTCTGGCCACAAGGACTAGGATTGCAAGGGTCGTTTATGACATCTGGGACTCTCTCCTCTGGCTTCTTGGTGCAGCGCACGAAGGGATCACCCTCGTAGCCCTCGATGCAGTTGCAGATGGGCAGGTGGTTGAGCACATGGCACTTGGCCTCGAATCCACAGGATCCCGAGCAGGGATCTCCGCACTTCTGATTGATGCACGCCTCCGTAGGTCCGCATTCAGAGTTCAATACGCACTCCGGTCGGCAACGAGGCGGGGCTCCAATGTAGTTGGGCAGGCAGGAGCAGGCCGGACTGTTTCCCACAATCTGGCACTTGGCATTAGGTCCGCAGGGTGAGGGTACACACGAGGCCGGTGGCGGGGATGGTGTGGTTCCTGGGGTAGTAATGGCCACCCTGGTGCACTGAACAAACGGATCTCCGGTCATGCCGCGCGGACAGGTGCAAATGGGACTATGGTTCTTGGTGTTGCAAATGGCACCAATGCCGCAAGTGTGCAGGCAGGGATCCACGCACTCCTTGTTCACACACGCTCGTTCTGGTGCACACTCGGCGCTGACTACGCACTCCGGGCGGCAGTTGGGCGGCTGATTCACAAATCCTCTCTGGCAGGAGCACACTGCCTGGTTGTTCATGGACCGACAGTTGCTGTTGGGTCCGCAGGGTGAGGGGTTGCATGGGTTTAGCGGCGGTCTTGGAGTAACTGGCACGGGTTTGCAGCTATAGAAGGGATCTCCTGTGTATCCTGGTGGACAGTTGCAAGTGGGCACATGCTTGTCCACTGTGCAAATGGCATAGTCGCCGCAGATATTGTCGCAGGGATCGACGCACTTGAAACGCACACAGGCCTGTGCCGGCGAACATTCGTCGTTGATCTCACACTCGCGCCGGCATCCACGCTGGACATCGTAGGGATTGCCGTCGTATCCGTCGTGACAGTAGCAGGCTCCAGCTCCATTCCTCTCCCGGCACTCGGCATGGGGGCCGCAGGGCGAGGGTTCACAGGGTGAAGTCGGCGGCTCTGTGGACGGCACAGTTCGTATGAGTTGGCAGCCAAAGAGAGGCTCTCCCTCATAACCGTCGGCACAGGAGCAGACGGCATTATGCTGGACCACCTGGCAGATGGCATTGTTTCCACAAGATCCTGGACACGGATCGACGCAGCGTTCGTTCTGGCAGGACAAATGGTTCTGGCACTCGTCGTTGTTGGTACACTCCGGCCGGCAGTTGGGCGGACGACCGATATAGCGGGTCTCGCAGGAGCAAGCAGCCTGATTGCCAATAACACGGCAAATGGAGTTCGGTCCGCATGGCGATGGCACGCAGGGGTTGTCCGAGTTCTTGCCCACTTCGGTGGGCAGGCAACCAGAGATGGGATCTCCCGTCATTCCAGGCTGACAGGTACAGATAGGATTGTGGTTCACCACCTGGCACTTGGCATTGTTGCCGCAGGAGCCGCGGCATGGATCCTCGCACTTCAGGTTGATGCAAGCCCTGTTCTGGGGACACTCCGAGCTGACCACACACTCCGGCTTACAGCTGGGCGGGGCTCCAATGTAACCCTCCAGGCAGCTGCACACGGCATGGCTGTTGGTGTCCAGACACTGGCTATAGGGGCCGCAGGGCGATGGCTGGCAAGGGTTGTCCGGGCGGCGGGTAACCACCTCGATAAGGGAACAGGCACGATGCGGATCTCCGGTATAACCATCGAAACAGTTGCAATTGGGTCCGTGATTCAGGACACGGCACTCGGCATTAATGCCGCAGGCTCCGGGACAAGGATCCTGACACTTGTTGTTGATGCAGGCCCGCGACCGATCACAGTCATCGTTCTGGACACATTCCGGCCGGCAGCCGCTGTACGGATCTCCAAAGTACTCGGGCAGGCAGGCGCAGGAGCCAGCACCATTACGCTCCCGACAGATGGCATTGGCGCCGCAGGGACTGGGATTGCAGGGATTTCTGGGTTCCTCCGGGGGCGCGACTAGAGGAGAAAGTGGGGAAAAAGGGGATTCAAGGATTAGATTGAAATCAAAGATAGTCATGAGCATGCTTTAAATATTACTTTGCTGTACAATCGCACAGCCGGAGAACGGGTCTCCGGTGTAACCAGGCACACACTCGCATGTCGGCCGGTGCTTAATGACCGTGCACACGGAGTGCAGGCCACAGGCACCGATGCATGGATTCGTGCAGCGCTGGTTCACACAAGCCAGATTCGCCGGGCAGTCGGCACTGCTGAGGCACTCGGGCCGGCAGTTGGGTGGCCGGCCAAGGTAGTCCGGCAAACAGGAGCATGCAGGTGAACCGCGGACATCGAGGCATTTCGAGTTGGGTCCGCACGGTGAGGGGATGCAGGGATTACCGGACTTTTCGGCGGGCGTTGGCTCCACTATACCCACACATAGACATGCCATAGCACACACAGTTACACAACAATTTACATAGGTTCAGAGGAGGATAGTTTGATAGTGGTTTTACAGAGAGTGTACATAAAATAAAACATAAATAAAAGAAAGGAAAAATCAAACATTAAAGAGTGTATATACATGCAGGAAATCAGGTGGGAGTTGGGCAAGCTAAGTGGGAGGAGGTAATCTAGGAACCTTAAAACCCAGGGCTCTTTTGATTCTTAAAAAGAAAAGTAAACTTTATACTAATTCATGCTATTCTAAAGGAATATCTCTCCCATTTAGCTTTCACCCACTCCTCTCTCTCTAGTCCAAGAAGGACCTAATCATGCTTACACAATATCTTAGTGCATCGGTTGAAGGGATCTCCGGTAAAGCCTGGGGCACAGGAGCATGCAGGATAATGGTTAATGACCTGGCAGCGGGCCTCTATACCGCAAGTGCCCGGACAAGGGTCCACGCACTTCTGATTCTGACAGTTGAGATCTTGGGCACAGTCCGAGCTAATGATGCACTCGGGCCGGCAGCTTGGGGCTGAGCCAACAAAGCCTTGGAGGCAGGAGCACACGGCATGGCCGTTTACTTCACGGCACTGGCTGTAGGGGCCGCAGGGCGAGGGTCTACAGGGATGTTCATCCCGTTCGGCTGAAGGGAAGTACGAGGAGGATGAGTTCAATTTCTTGGCCATTTGGTTAGTGGTTAAGGAAACCTACGTGGCGGGGGCAACTGAGGTATTTCACGGCAAGCACTCGATGGATTTCCAGTGTAGCCTGCCAGGCAAGAGCAGCTGGGCAGGTGATTGGACACGCGACACTCGGCGTTCAAACCACAAACACCCGGACAGGGGTCCACGCATTTCTGGTTGACGCACGACTTGTCCCGCGAACAGTCACTGTTAACCACGCACTCCGGACGACAGCCGCTGTACGGATCACCGAAATACTCCGGCAGACACGTACAGGAGCCGGCACCGTTGCGCTCGCGGCACTCGGCATTGGGGCCACAGGGTGAGGGTTGGCAGGGCGTCAGGCGCTCGTCGGGTTCGGGCAGACCTAGCGGTGGTGGTCATTGGGAATACGAAATTAGGACGCTTTCCAAGAGGAAATCTTACAAAAGCTTACGTTGCGGATTGCAGCCGGCGAAGGGATCACCAGTGAAACCGTTGTCGCAGGAGCAGACGGGAGAGTGATTCACCACACTGCAGTAGGCATTAAAGCCACACGATCCCGGACAGGGATCCTGACAGCGCTCGTTAATACAGGCCAAGGTGGCCGGACACTCTGTGTTAAGGGTGCACTCCGGGCGACAGTTTGGAGCCCTGCCAACAAAATTCGGCAGGCAGGAACACACACCCGTCTCGCCCACAACACGACACTGGGAATTACGACCGCAGGGACTGGGAACGCAGGGATTCTCATTTGATTTGGGTTGCTCAGGCTCCTCCTGCCAGGGGGCACAGCGTACGAAAGGATCGCCGCTGTATCCAGCGGGACACGAGCATATAGGATTGTGGTTGGTCACCTTGCATATGGCCTCGTTGCCACAAGTGCCGGGACAGGGGTCTACACAGCGCTGGTTCACACACGCCCTGTCTTGGGAGCACTCGGAACTACCCGAGCACTCTGGCCGACAGGCGGGCGGAGTTCCAATATAATTGGTAACGCAAGAGCAGACCGCATGCCCGTTCACCTCACGGCACTGGCTATAGGGACCGCAGGGCGAAGGACGACAGGCTTCCACGGGTGGGGCCACTAGAAGTTATGATCATTCGTTATCTTGAAAATTTTGATCTCTACAGAGAGTGGGTCAATTTTTATGTTTTCCACAAAAGTTAACCCACTCTGGGAAAAGCTATATCCTACATTTTGGTATCTCCCGACAGTACTGCGAGGGATTGCCCGTGTATCCGGAGGGGCAACTGCAGCTGGGGGCATGGTTAATCACATGACACTCGGCGGAGACGCCACAGACGCCTGGACAGGGATCGCGGCACTTGTTGTTCAGGCAGGCGCGGTTCTTTGAGCAGTCACTATTCAGCACGCACTCCGGACGGCACTCGGTGTACGGGTCTCCATTGTACTCCGGCAGGCACAGGCAGGAGCCCACGCCATTGCGCTCCTTGCATACGGCATTGGCTCCACAAGGACTCGGGTTGCAGGGTTGTGCCACCTCGGGCGGAATAATAACTAAGGGTGGGATTAGGGAGGGGAAAGGACAACGATTAAGTATCTATCTGGAGGCCCAGACATCATTCAGGATCCCTTACTCTTCGGACTACACTCTGAGAATGGATCCCCGGCATAACCTTCGAGGCAGCGGCAAATGGGTCTATGATTATTTACAAGGCAGGTGGTTTGGCTGCCACAGGTACCGACACACGGATCCCGGCAGCGCAGATTTATGCAGGCCAAATTGCCAGGACACTCGGAGTCCGAGGTGCATTCCGGCCGGCAGTTTGGCGCCCTACCCACATAATGTTGCAAGCATGAGCAGACCGCCTGCTCATTGGCCGCCGACACCCGACACTGAGAGTTTGGACCGCATGGCGTTGGCACGCAGGGATTTTCGTGGACAATGGGTCGCTCTACATGCACCAATAAACAAACCATCACAGGACACCACCAATGGATAAACGGCATGCACCAAAATAAGCCATACAATATAGAGTACATATAAGAGAGAGATAAACATAAAAGATAAAGATATAATATAGAGGATGCAAGTAATGTTGAAGCAAGGTACAGTGGTGCTCATAGACTTAAGCCACAAGACTTCAACCAAGAATTTTAACGAAAATTAAGAAAAGTTTTTATTCCACAGCTCCAATTATTTGTGTCACATTAGTTCTATATATCAGTGTTCTAATAAAAGAATAACCAAGTTATAAAAATATATATTCAACGAAAAATTAAAAAAATCTGAGACCAACCCCAAAATGTCCTGCTCACATACTTAAGCCACCTGGAAGAAAATGATCCAAAAAGTTAAAATTTGCCCAATATTCCTTATAATTTTAATAAATTTAGTTTAATATTAAGTGGGATGACCTTTCTGATTAAGAACAGCGGAGCAACGCTTTGGCATTAAGCCCACAAGACGTGCGCACTGTTGCGGGGTGATTTTCTTCAACTCTTCCTGCAAAATATGCCAAAATCGTTTTTTTTTTTGCTGTTTTTTTTGGCCAACGACTTGTTTAAGAATATCCCACAAGTTCTCTATAGGGTTCAAGTCGGGGATCTGCGGTAGCCATTGCAAAACATTGATTGTCTCTTGGCTAAGCCACGACTTGACTATCTTGCTGGTGTGTTTCGGGTCGTTGTCCTATTGAAATATCCAGGCAAGTGGCAAATTATCGGCATATTCTCCAGATAAATTGTTAATAAGGATGTCCCTGTACATTTCGCCGTTCATAATGCCTTCTATCTTCTTTTGGAGACCTACGCCCGATGCGGTGAAACAGCCCCAGACCATAATCGAAGCGCCACCATGTTTAACGATCTTTTTCGTGTATGTTTGATTGTTTGGATCGACGAATCCAAGTTTAATGTCTTTGGGAGTGATGGTAAACCATATGTACAACGTCCTCCCAACAAACAATTGGACCCCAAATACACGAGAAAGACCGTTAAACATGGTGGCTCTTCGATTATGGTCTGGGGCTGTTTCACCGCATCGGGCGTAGGTCTCCAAAAAGAAGATAGAAGGCATTATGAACGGCGAAATGTACAGGGACATCCTTATTAACAATTTATCTGGAGAATATGCCGATAATTTGCCACTTGCCTGGATATTTCAATAGGACAACGACCCGAAACACACCAGCAAGATAGTCAAGTCGTGGCTTAGCCAAGAGACAATCAATGTTTTGCAATGGCTACCGCAGATCCCTCGACTTGAACCCTATAGAGAACTTGTGGGATATTCTTAAACAAGTCGTTGGCCAAAAAACAGCAAAAAAAAAACGATTTTGGCATATTTTGCAGGAAGAGTTGAAGAAAATCACCCCGCAACAGTGCGCACGTCTTGTGGGCTTAATGCCAAAGCGTTGCTCCGCTGTTCTTAATCAGAAAGGTCATCCCACTTAATATTAAACTAAATTTATTAAAATTATAAGGAATATTGGGCAAATTTTAACTTTTTGGATCATTTTCTTCCAGGTGGCTTAAGTATGTGAGCAGGACATTTTGGGGTTGGTCTCAGATTTTTTTAATTTTTCGTTGAATATATATTTTTATAACTTGGTTATTCTTTTATTAGAACACTGATATATAGAACTAATGTGACACAAATAATTGGAGCTGTGGAATAAAAACTTTTCTTAATTTTCGTTAAAATTCTTGGTTGAAGTCTTGTGGCTTAAGTCTATGAGCACCACTGTATGTAATGAATTTCGGATGATGAAATGGATTTGGTGAGAGACTGCACTTAAATAACCCTGCAGGAAATGTCTTTCATTTGAAAGGATGCATGGACAATACAGTTCTGTCACTAAGATGGACTCTCAGGACTTATATCTTTAGCAGTTTTACGGATAAATAAGGAGAAGATAAAAAAATTCTATTTTAACCGCCTCTATTATGACAAGACTTTCAGACAAAAAAAAAACACAATATCTTTATAAAAATTATAACCCTGCAGGGCAATTTAAATCTCCGGCTGCTGGCCGAAGCTCTCTTTCGACACTCCCTGTCGATGCTTACTCTCTTGCGGGAAGCAGCGCACAAAGGGATCACCACTGTAGCCGGGACTGCAGGAGCAGATGGGATTGTGGTTGACCACGCGGCACAGGGCATTATTGCCACAGGTACCGGGGCAGGGATCCTTGCAGCGTTCGTTGATACACGACTTGTCCTGTGCGCACTCCGAGCTGCTCATGCACTCGGGCCGGCAGTTGGGCGGAGAACCAATATAGTTGGGAACACAGGAGCACACTGCATGACCGTTCACCGAACGGCAGTTGCTGTACAAGCCACACGGCGAGGGTTGGCAAGGGTTTTCAGGAACTATGGGGTCGGGATCTACATAAAGTCAGCAATTAATAAAGATCCTAACTAAAGGCCTATCTTGCAGAGATATTCAAGCTCCTAGGTAGGGTTTTGGGAGGGAAGAGTGCTTCAAAAATGCAGTCAGAATTTTAAAAAAAGATCAAGTCATTTATAAACCCAGAAGAGGAAACACCACTACCTAAGTAGCTTCCATCACTGCTAACTTCTATCGAGTTCTTACAGCGTGGCGCTTCGGGCACCAGATGGCAACCAACGATGGGGTTACCCGTGTAACCAGGCAGGCATTCGCAATTTGGAGCATGATTAAAGACCGCGCATTGGGCACTGTGGCCGCACATTCCTGGACACGGATCCACGCACTTCTGGTTGACGCAAGCCCTCGACCGGGGACAGTCCGAGTTGATGACACACTCGGGTCGGCACTCGACATACGGATCGCCAAAGTACTCCGGCACACACTTGCAGGAGGCGGCTTGATTCCGCTCCTCGCACAAGGCATTCAGGCCGCAAGGACTGGGCCGACAGGGTTGGATCACTTCAATGGGGGCTGTTGGGGGATTGGGGTATTGAGTATCTCTAACCAGGACAAATTTGCAACTAAAAAAACCTACTCTCAATAATCTTGTAGCAACCGGAGAAGGGATCGCCGGAGTAACCGGGCTCGCACATGCAAACCGGAGCATGGAGGCTGACATGGCAAAGGGCATTGTTGCCACAGGAACCAATGCAGGGATCGGCGCAACGCGCATTCACGCACGCCATCCTGGCCGGACACTCGGAATTGATGCTGCACTCTGGCCGGCAGCCAGGCGGACGTCCTATGTAATTGGTCAAGCAGGAGCAGACCGCTCCACTACTGGACACTTGACACTGAGAGTTTGGCCCGCAAGGCGATGGCACACAGGGATTCGGCGGTACAATGGGATCGGGTATGGGCGTTGGTTCTATAAGAGCATTACATTTTAAGTTCGAAACTGTCCAAGCGGGGAGACTACCTAATGGGAACCTACTTCTTTCGGGCACGCACTGATGGAAGGGATCCCCTGTATACCCGTCGTAGCAGCTACAGATGGGCGAATGATTGGTACAGCGACAGCGGGCATTATAGCCACATGTCCCGGGACACGGATCTTTGCAGCGTTGATTGATACAGGCCCTATCCGAGGGACACTCGGCACTGGTCATACACTCGGGCTTGCAGTTGGGCGGAGCACCCATGTAGTCTGGCAAGCAGGCGCACACGGGGCGGTCGCCAGCCACATGACAAGTGCTGAACAGGCCACAAGGCGAGGGTCTACATGGATCATGGGGCAGGGGCAGATACATATCTAGGAAGGGGAAAGGAAGGAGCAATTAAATGGGAACTCCATAGAAAGAGGGGGGGATTGATATGCGGGGAAGAATTTTTAAAGACTTCAAGGACTCAAGACACGAAAGATGGATTTACTCAATGGATATAGAAAGGACATAGTTCCCTACAGATCAATCCCTCCCTTGGTCTAAAGAGTCATACTTGATGGTCTCTCGACACAGGCCCGCAAGGGATTGCCAGTGAAGCCTGGCTCGCAACTGCACACGGGCTGATGATGGGCCACCCTACAGATTGCATTAAATCCGCAGGCATTGGCACAGGGATCCCGGCACTTCATGTTTATACAAGCCCTAGTGCCAGGACAGCCGCTATTCTGGACACACTCCGGCCGGCAGTTGATATATGGATCACCGAAATAGTTTTGAATGCAGCTGCAGGAGCCGGCACCATTGCGTACGCGACAAATGGCATTGGCCCCACATGGCGATGGATAGCACGGGTCGGAGGGTGGGTCTGGTACCACGACTATCGTATGGTCATGAAAATAGCAAATGTTGATGCAGGCGGAAAATACAGAGCAATGTACAGACATGGTAAACTTAAGGCTAAATTATAAAAATATAAATATATGATATACATAGATAGATAAAGGTATATATATAGATGTGAGGTAGAGCTGGAAATAAAATGGATTCTATAAGAGATTAATAGATGCAATACATAGGTATACATTTTCAAAATCAATTTAATCGAAATGTTTTTAATGAAAAAAAATCTATAGAAAATCGATTTATTTCCAGCTCTTATATTTAGATGAAAGGCTACCATTATATGTACACAATACAAGGAACATGCAAAGGATGTATATACCACAAGCCCAGTACTTCCAGAAACACCACTGAAAGGAACATTTAACATTAAGGGCACGCCTCGAGCACACAGCTTCCGTGCTCCTGGAGAGGATAGCAAATAATTGAAAGGCAGGTACTCACTCTCTCGCATGCGGCAGGCGGTATACGGATCGCCCTCGAAGCTATCAATGCAACTACATGTAGGCTGATGGTTCTGCGTCGAGCACTGAGCATTAAAGCCACAGATGCCGATGCAAGGATCCTCGCAACGCTGACGTATGCATGCCCGGTTCGAAGGGCAATCCTGATTGATTGCACACTCCGGTCGGCAGTTGGGCGGAGCTCCAAACATTCCAGCAGCACAAGAGCACTCGGCTCGGTTGTTAACATTGCGACAGTTGGCATTTGGTCCGCAAGGACTGGGCAGGCAGGGATCCACATTACGTGGGGGTTCTGACGCTAAGGGAAATCAATGATATTTTAAATTCCGCAGGTTAAGTCTAGGTAAGGATATACTTACGTTTGGGCACACATTGTTCGAATGGATCGCCGACATAGTTGGTGGGACAGGAGCAGATCGGGTTGTGGTTGTTCACCTGGCACTTGGCATTGAAGCCACAGGTCTCAGCACAAGGATCCGAACACTTCTGGTTGATGCAGGCCAGGTGCTGGGCGCACTCCGAGCTCACCACACACTCCGGACGGCACTGAGGTGGGGCCCCAAAGTAACCCACCTGGCAACTGCACGTGGGATGACCCTCCACCGTGCGACAAATACTGTTGGGTCCGCAGGGATTCGGCTCGCAGACGCTGACGGGTCCGACAATTGGAACTCGCTTGCAACCCTCGAAGGGATCACCCTCGAAGCCACGGGAACAGCTGCAACTTGGCAAGTGATTAACCACCGCACACTCGGCATTTGCTCCACAAGCCGCCGTGCAGGGATTCCGGCAGTGCTGTTTAATGCAGGCCAGCGACGAGGGACACTCCGAGTTGTAGATACACTCCGGACGACAGCCGGTGCTGTAGGGATCCCCAAAGTATGGCTCGATGCAGGTACAGCGAGCGGCATTGTTGTAAGGCGTACACACAGCATTCTCGGCGCAAGGATTCGGATAGCAGGGACCAAAGTCATCACCTGGTTTCTCCACACTCGTCTTGGAGCAGCTGATGAAGGCATCGCCCTCGTATCCCTGGTCGCAGCTACAGTGAGCCGAGTGGGCAATGACCGTGCAGCGGGCATTGTGTCCACAGACATTGGCGCACGGGTTCTGGCACTTCTCCTGGATGCAGGCCTTGTCCGCCGGACATTCACTGCTCAGCGTGCACTCCGGCCGGCAATATGGCGGGCTGCCTATGTAGTTGGCCACGCAGGAGCACACGGGACGGTTCTGTTTGATCTGGCAAATGGAGTTGGGTCCGCAGGGGGATGGCACGCAGGGATTCTTTGGCACGTCGACCTCGCGTCCTGGATCCTGGATGGGCGAGCAGGCCACGAATGGATCACCCTCGAAGTTGGGCTCGCAGGAACAGATCGGATTGTGATTCAAAACTTCACAACGGGCTCCACCACCGCAAATTCCAGGGCATGGATCAGCGCATCTCTGATTTAGGCAGGCCTGGTTCGGAGCACACTCCGAGCTGACCACACACTCCGGCTGGCATACAGGCGGAGCACCCTTGAAGTTGGGCAGGCAGGAACAAGCGGCATAGCCGTCAGGCGTGGCCAGGCAACGCGAGTTGGGTCCACAAGGTGAGGGTTCGCAGGGCAGAGGCCGCACAGGAGGCGTTACAGGTGGCAAGTAGTAAGGATTGCAGGCAATAGAGGCATCGCCACTGTATCCCTCCGGACAGATGCACACCGGCGCATGGCTGACCACACGGCAAACCGCATTGATGCCACAAACTCCGGCACAGGCCTCCACGCACTTGGCATTCAGGCAAGCCTTCTCCGCCGGACAATCGCTGTTAAGGACACATTCCGGCCGGCAGCCAATGTGCGGATCTCCGAAGTAACCCTTCCGGCAAACGCAGGCCAGTCCGCTGTGCTGACGCTTGCATTCCGCATTGGCACCGCAATGGAGTTTGGCGCAGCTGGGCTGGGGCGTTGGCACAATCACAGACTGAGTGGTGCACTGTTCGTAGGGATCTCCAAACAATCCCGTGGGACAAGCACACACCGGATTGTGCTCATACACATTGCAGATGGCATTGCGTCCACAGGAACCTGGGCAGGGATCCAGGCAGCGGTGGCCCAAGCAGGCCAGGTCAAAGGGACAATCCGAATTGGCCACGCACTCGGGTCGGCAGCGTGGGTTTTGCTGGGCATTGGGTCCAAAGCAAGGATTACACAGAGCCACGCCATCGCCATGGACCGAGCAAACATCATGGGGTCCACAGGGAGATGGGGCACAAGGATCCCGCGAAACATTTCTAAGGACTCCAACAGGCACACACTGCAAGAAGGCATCGCCAGCGAATCCGTCCAGGCAGAGGCACACTGGCGTGTGCTGGCGCACGTTGCATATTGCATTAATGCCGCAAATAGTTCCAGCGCATGGATCCACGCACTTGTGATTGATGCAGGACAAAGTTTCCCCACAATCCGAGTTGATGTCGCACTCTGGCTGACAGCCAGACTGGGGATCTCCCAAATATCCAGGCAGGCAGGAGCAAACAGCGCGATTGTTCAGCAGCTTGCACTCACTATTCCTGCCGCAGGGACTGGGCACACAGGGATTCGTCTTGGGATGATCCAAAGCATAGCATCGGACTCCCGGGTTTCCAGTTAATCCCGAATTGCAGGAGCAAACGGGATGATGCTCCTCCACGCGGCAGCTAGCTCCTTGGCCGCAGGTTCCTGGACAAGGATCGTAGCATCGGAAGCCCATGCAAGCTTTGCTGCTGGGACAATCTGCATCCACCTGACACTCATAGCCATGGCAGCCAATCAGAGATGTTGGATCACCGGACAAACCGTCGGGACAGACACAGGCAGTCTGCCCATCGCTAGCCACCAAACAGTTGGCATTGGGCCCACAGGGATTAGGATCGCACACGGTTCGGCTGGGCTCACGGCAGCCCTGATAGGCATCGCCCACATAACCAGAGCGGCAATAGCATTCCTCGCGATTACCGGCCACATAGCAGTCAGCATTTCGGCCACAGGGTCCAGGCTGACACAGTTCAATGGTAACGGCCGGCTTGTCACACAGCCTGAAAGGATTTCCAATCTTGTTGTCCGGACAATAGCAAACGGGCTGGCGAGAGGAGTCACAGATGGCCCCGGTGCCACAGGGGTTGGGATCGCACGGGTTAATCGGCTCCACACAGCCACGAATTGTATTGGGGCTTTCCACATATCCCGGCAGGCAGGTGCACTTGGAGAAGCCATTGCTGAGCACCGAGCACTGAGTGTTGGGACCGCAAGGTGATGGGTCGCAGGGATTCGAGGGCAGCTCACAGGGAATCGAAGGAGGTTGTCCCTCATACTCCGGCAGGCAGAAGCAAATGGGCTTGCCCTCCACGCGACGGCAACCCGAATTGGGGCCACATGGGTTTGGAGTGCACTCGTCTCCTTCCGGTACTAGATTTTTGGGTATTTGGTTTAGGGGAAAAGTGAAAACGTAAATTTCTAATTAATACTCACTGCAATTTTTGAAAGGATTTCCGGTGAGACCCTTGGGACAGTAGCAGATGGGATTTCCATTGTCCAGCTCACACAAGGCATTCAAGCCACAAGGATTGGGTTCGCATGGGTTTTGGGGCGGTCGGCAGCCCACCTCGGGGTTTCCGTTGTAGCCCGGCGGACACTTGCACACACCACGATGATTGACCACATCGCAGAGGGCCGAGGCTCCGCACTGGCAGGGCGAGGAGCACTTGCCATTGATGCAGGCCTGGCTTGAGTCACACTCGGAGTCCGATCGGCAACCCTGACTGGGCAGGCACTGCACGTAGGCATTGCCCAGGTAACCAGGCAGGCAGCGGCAATCAGTGCCGTGATTCACGGGAATACACTCGGCATTTTCGCCGCACGAATCCTCTTGGCAGGGATTGATGCAGCGCCGGTTGAGGCGATCGCACAGCTTCGTCGGCGGGCAGTCCTCGTTGTATTGGCAGACATGGGAGCGTGCTGTGGTTAGGATTACGGTGCGATTCGGTTGGATCGGTGTTGGTGTATTTATAGATTGTTGGTTTTGGTTTTTAGAGTTGGTAGGACGGTACAAGTTTTATACATGTGTCGTGGCATGGTGTACGGGATTTTTGTACAGTGTATGCAAGAGAAATTGTTGTTGGAAACGAGACATGGTGAGTCATTAGCAGAGGATTTTTAGACAGCAGAGGTGCTATTGCATTTGATTTTGGGAATATACTAACCTGGCTGGCAGCCTACCAATCCATTGCCCTGATAACCATCCACACAGCTGCATTCGGCGGCGTGATTGGTATTGATGCAAACCGCATTCGTGGCGCAAGGATCATGAACATCACAAGGATGCTGGCAGCGCTGATTAATGCAGGCCTCAGTGACGCCGCAGTCGGAATTATCAGTGCATTCGACTGGAAAATTATTTGATTTTATATTGTAATTACAAGTATTATAGTAGTGGAAAAATATATGGAGTATTGGTATGTAGAATTCGTTATAAATTTTTGGTAGTTGAGTAGCCCAGTCATAAAATGAATTTGTTGATTAATTATTAGTTTCTTACTTGAGGTTTGAGTGGGCACACATTTGACCATCGGATTGCCCTCATGGCCCTGCGGGCAGGTGCAAATCGGACGATGACTCTTGGCCGAACACTTGGCACTCGCCGCACAGATCTTGGCAAACTCGCACGGATCCTGGCACAAGCCCATGTAACAGGCCTCGCTCTCAATGCAGTCGTTGTTAGATTGACAGGGTTCGGGTGTTTTCGGTGAACCCGGCGGTTCTACTTGTTAGAGAGGATTTTAGTGAGTTAAAAAAGTTAATTCTTTGTTGGTGAGATTTTAAATCAGATTAAATGATAATAATATGTACAGGGGCTATGCTAGTTATGTACAATTTGTTGTATTTTTTATAACAAAATTAAATTAATTATAAATGCCAGAAAACATAATGCCCTATACATAAGAAATTATGTACAAATTGATCAGTATTAGTGCCACTTTGGGATAAATGTTGTAAGCTGAGTTTATCCCAAAGTGGCGTGCATTTCACATATATTTGCAGTTGTTATACCTTTCTTACGGCAATTTCCCAGTTTACAGTGCTCGTTGTGAGCACAGTTAGTATCTACTGTACATGGGTTAATTAATGAGATTTCAGTTGTTGTATTGCCTAGAGGGGCAATCATGGTGTCGTAGACCTCAGTGGTGGTGCCCTCCGTGGTGGGCAGTTCAAGGGGCCTGCCCGTTGTGAAATCTTCGTTGGAAGTATCCAGCCGAGTGGTCTTTTTGGGCTGGGATGTGGTACGACCCTGATTGCCACTACTTATATCTTCGCCACGCAACGTGGTTGTTGGAATCGTGGGCCTCGGCGTTGGTGTATCGGTAATATTGTTTTCACCATCGCGGTACCGTCTTGTGGCATCGGTATGGGAGGTGGTGCTTTCTGTGTCTGGTTTCTTACTGTGGTTCCTACTGGTCTGGTTAGTAGCGCTTGTGATTGTGCTCGATTCAGTGCTAGTGGAAGAAGTGGTAGTAGTGGTGGTTGTTGTGGTGGTGTTGGCCCTTGCAGTAGTAGGGGTCTTTTTGACGCCTGTGTTTGGGTTAGCTGTTGTTCTTGGTTTCGTTGGTATCTTGGTAGATGTGGAGTTCTTGGTAGTAATAGTTGTTATTGTTACATTAGCTAAGGAGAGAGATGTATTTACACGGGTAACGGGAGGTTAATTTATATATATTAGAATATGTACACATCGTATTTACACCTATTATTATTAGGTTTCGATTTTGGTTTACAAATAAAAAGACTCTTGCTAAACTTACCCTTGATACAAGCACCGGTTGTGGGATCGCAATTTGCCCCTGGTGGACAGTGCTCACAGCCAGGAGTACGACCAGTTCCCGAGCACGAAGGCTGATGGTTCAGGACACGGCAATCCTCATTGCGGCCGCAGGGATTGTCGTAGGTGCAGGGATCCACGCAGAGGGCATTAATGCACGCCTGCTGTGAGGGGCACTCGTTGCTCGATGCGCAACCAATTTCTGTTCGTAAGTAATATTCATGCATCAGTTAGGGTATTTTAAGTAGATTTATTATAACGCAAGGGTGCGTAAATTTTACGTCGTTATAATTAAATTCATTCCTTTTAGGTCAAGAATCCTGTTCGGTAGGTAGTTTTCTCTTTCATTAATTGTTCAATGCAGTTAGTAGAGCTTTTCATTTTGCATCCTTATTCTAACTTTTAAACTAGGTTCAGGCATATTAAAAACTGTAGCAGTCTCTAGAGTTAGTTAAATATATAGTTTAGTTTTTATAAGTTGCTTAATAAACAACATATACACATGCAAAAGCGATAAGTGAGTTAGTGCATACTATATACTGATAAATATAAGGCTTTGTTATGATTAGTAATCCCAATACCACATGCAATATTTTCCTTTACTACTTACTACAGGCTAATACACTTACGGAACATGATAAAAGTTTAACGACAGCGAAGTCTAGATACTAAATATATACAACAAAATCAACACAGATTAGCACACAATTGAAGGGTGTTGCGAGGTAACATGCGAGTTGGGGTCTTTCCAAAACATAACGAAGAACGAAAAACGAGAAACGAGTAAAACATTCAGAATGGTGAAGACAATGACACAGGGTTTGATGATGTTTGCAGCAGGCATTCTCAGGCAGACAACAAGCAGGCAACTAACATGAACGAGCAACAAAACAGATCGACATGCAGGGAATAACTTCCAGGAATCGACATTCGATCAAAAGCTCCCTAGTGGACACACAGAGTTCAAACTATTTCAGGTGCTGCTCGTGGAGATCGGTAAGAGGTGCAAGGAGTTCAACAAAACAAAACTGAAGAAGCAGTATATAGAGACAGGTCAGAGGCAAATGTATTTGAAAAAGTAGACCACAAAGAAGACACGGAACTTTGCGAGGAATAATAACGAATGGATGCATGCATGGTGTCCGTACGGTTCGGATAGCTGATCCGCCACATATATATATATATGCCACAAAAGGTAGGATAATGGCTGGAAATCCGAAGGGAAGAAAAAGAGAAATGACATCCAACTGAAGTAGGCAACTACGATTTGCCAGTTATGTGATTGGCGTTGAAAGTAGTCGGCGATGCCATGATGCCAAGAATTTACCGCAACCCTGTGGTTCCTTGCAATTCATTCAATATGATTCGATAACAACTTACACATATTTACACAACTTTAGTTACCTGCTTTCATAGAACAATCGGGTCTATTTACATCATCGGCGGTGCCACAGAAGCACATTGTGGTGTGGTTCAATGTACGACAAATAGTAAGATTGCCCACAGTGCAGAGATTCTTGAAATAATCACAAGGCGCTACGCACAGCCCCCCTAAGCATGTCTCGTCGTCAAAGCAGTCTCTGTCTGTCGCACAGGTCATTGTTCGCTCAGTCGTGGGAGTATCGCTCATAGATAAATCTGTAGCATTTGGAGTTCCATCCGAAACTGAGTTCAATACCGACATAGGAGTAGAAGCCACAAGTAGCGGAATAGTTTCCATATCCTGAGTAAGTTCTGTCGTTTGCAGAGTCGTATATACACGGGTAGTACCCCGCGAGATATATACGGGTATTTCGGTTGTTATAGTAGACCCACTGTCTTCATTTGGAGGATCTGTCTGTTTTTTATTCTTTCCCCATGAAGTAGTACCCATTGGAATATGAGTGGTAACGTCTGGAGTCATTGACGAAACTGTGCTCACAGACCGGCTAGTTGGAACTTCAGTAGTAAATACTGTCGTCTCATCTGTAATTCTTCCTGTAGTAGTACCCATAGAGAAGGTTGTGAATGTTGAGTCAGACGGAGGAGTTTGCCTACTAACAGGACCTGTAGTTTTTTCCTCGATAGGCGTTTTTGTCGTTGCTTCAGTTACTTGACCCCTAGTTGTTAAAATCGGAATATGAGAGGTGGTTTCTGTGATGATTGCCGAAGCAGTACCCTTAGACCGACTAGTTGGAGCTTCAGTAGTAAATATTGTCGTCTCATCTGTAATTCTTCCTGAAGTAGTACCCATAGAGAAGGTTGTGTCTGTTGAGTCAGGCGGAGGAGTTTGCCTACTAACAGGACCTGTAGTTGTTTCCTCGATAGGCATTTTTGTCGTTGCTTCAGTTACTTGACCCCTAGTTGTTCCAATCGGAATATGAGAGGTAGTTTCTGTGGTGATTGCCGAAGCAGTACCCTCAGACCGACTAGTTGGAGCTTCAGTAGTAAATATTGTCGTCTCATCTGTAACTCTTCCTGAAGTAGTACCCATAGAGAAGGTTGTGTCTGTTGAGTCAGAGGGAGGAGTTTGCCCACCAACAGGCCCTGTTGTTGTTTCTTCGCTGGGTGATTTTGTCGATTTTTCAGTCACTTGTCCCCTGGTCGTTCCAATCGGAATATGAGAGGTAGTTTCTGTGGTGATTGCCGAAGCAGTACCCTCAGACCGACTAGTTGGAGCTTCAGTAGTAAATATTGTCGTCTCATCTGTAATTCTTCCTGAAGTAGTACCCATAGAGAAGGTTGTGTCTGTTGAGTCAGAGGGAGGAGTTTGCCCACCAACAGGCCCTGTTGTTGTTTCTTCGCTGGGTGATTTTGTCGATTTTTCAGTCACTTGTTCCCTGGTCGTTCCAATCGGAATATGAGTGGTAGCTTCTGTGGTGATTGCCGGAACAGTACCCTCAGACCGACTAGTTGGAGCTTCAGTAGTAAATATTATCGTCTCATCTGTAATTCTTCCTGAAGTAGTACCCATAGAGAAGGTTGTGTCTGTTGAGTCAGGCGGAGGAGTTTGCCTACTAACAGGACCTGTAGTTTTTTCCTCGATAGGCGTTTTTGTCGTTGCTTCAGTTACTTGACCCCTAGTTGTTAAAATCGGAATATGAGAGGTGGTTTCTGTGATGATTGCCGAAGCAGTACCCTTAGACCGACTAGTTGGAGCTTCAGTAGTAAATATTGTCGTCTCATCTGTAATTCTTCCTGAAGTAGTACCCATAGAGAAGGTTGTGTCTGTTGAGTCAGAGGGAGGAGTTTGCCCACCAACAGACCCTGTTGTTGTTTCTTCGCTGGGTGATTTTGTCGATTTTTCAGTCACTTGTCCCCTGGTCGTTCCAATCGGAATATGAGTGGTAGCTTCTGTGGTGATTGCCGGAACAGTATACTCAGACCGACTAGTTGAAACTTCAGTAGTAAATACTGTCGTCTCATCTGTAATTCTTCCTGAAGTAGTACCCATAGAGAAGGTTGTGTATGTTGAGTCAGACGGAGGAGTTTGCCTACTAGCAGGACCTGTAGTTGTTTCTTCGATAGGCGTTTTTGTCGTTGCTTCAGTTACAATCGGAATATGAATGGTAGCTTCAGTTGTGATTGCCGGAACAGTACCCTCAGACCGACTAGTTGGAACTGCAGTAGTAAATACTGTCGTCTCATCTGTAATTCTTGCTGAAGTAGTACCCATAGAGAAGGTTGTGTCTGTTGAGTCAGAGGGAGAAGTTTGCCCGCCAACAGGCCCTGTTGTTGTTTCTTCACTGGGTGATTTAGTCGATTTTTCAGTCACTTGTCCCCTGGTCGTTCCAATCGGAATATGAGTGGTAGCTTCTGAGGTAATTGCCGGAACAGTACCCTCAGACCGACTAGTTGGAACTTCAGTAGTAAATACTGTCGTCTCTTCTGTAATTCCTCCTGAAGTAGTACCCATAGAGAAGGTTGTGTATGTTGAGTCAGACGGAGAAGTTTGCCTACCAACAGGACCTGTAGTTGTTTCTTCGATAGGCGTTTTTGTCATTGCTTCAGTCACTTGTCCCCTGGTCGTTCCAATCGGAATATGAGTGGTAGCTTCTGTGGTGATTGCCGGAACAGTACCCTCAGACCGCCTAGTTGGAACTTCAGTAGTAAATACTGTCGTCTCATCTGTAATTCCTCCTGAAGTAGTACCCATAGAGAAGGTTGTGTATGTTGAGTCAGGCGGAGGAGTTTGCCTACTAACAGGACCTGTAGTTGTTTCCTCGATAGGCGTTTTTGTCGTTGCTTCAGTTTCTTGACCCCTAGTTGTTCCAATCGGAATATGAGAGGTGGTTTCTGTGGTGATTGCCGAAACAGTACCCTCAGACCGACTAGTTGGAACTTCAGTAGTAAATACTGTCGTCTCATCTGTAATTCTTCCTGTAGTAGTACCCATAGAGAAGGTTGTGTCTGTTGAGTCAGAGGGATGAGTTTGCCCACCAACAGGCCCTGTTGTTGTTTCTTCGCTGGGTGATTTTGTCGGTTTTTCAGTCACTTGTTCCCTGGTCGTTCCAATCGGAATATGAGTGGTAGCTTCTGTGGTGATTGCCGGAACAGTACCCTCAGACCGACTAGTTGGAACTTCAGTAGTAAATATTATCGTCTCATCTGTAATTCTTCCTGAAGTAGTACCCTTAGAGAAGGTTGCGTCTGTTGAGTCAGACGGAGAAGTTTGCCTACTAACAGGACCTGTAGTTGTTTCTTTGATAGGCGTTTTTGTCGTTGCTTCAGTTACTTGACCCCTAGTTGTTCCAATCGGAATATGAGAGGTAGTTTCTGTGGTGATTGCCGAAGCAGTACCCTCAGACCGACTAGTTGGAACTTCAGTAGTAAATGCTGTCGCCTCATATGTAATTCCTCCTGAAGTAGTACCCATAGAGAAGGTTGTGTATGTTGAGTCAGACGGAGGAGTTTGCCTACTAACAGGACCTGTAGTTGTTTCTTTGATAGGCGTTTTTGTCGTTGCTTCAGTTACTTGACCCCTAGTTGTTCCAATCGGAATATGAGAGGTAGTTTCTGTGGTGATTGCCGAAGCAGTACCCTCAGACCGACTAGTTGGAACTTCAGTAGTAAATGCTGTCGTCTCATCTGTAATTCCTCCTGAAGTAGTACCCATAGAGAAGGTTGTGTATGTTGAGTCAGGCGGAGGAGTTTGCCTACTAACAGGACCTGTACTTGTTTCCTCGATAGGCGTTTTTGTCGTTGCTTCAGTTACTTGACCCC